ACAGGCGTTTCTCTTAATATCTTGCGATTATTCAATGCTGAATTTTTCATTGCCGAATATGTTGTATAGCTTAGATAATGTCCTCAAATGAAAACGATAACCACCCTACAAGATACTACTAACATTGAAAAAGAAATTGAGTATACTATACGCCGAGAGACTGGTATCACAGCATAACGATAAGTAAGTGAGGGCGTCAGGCCACCGCGACTGCAACCTACTAAATCCTTCATTCCTCAGCGTACTTGTTCACCTTCACCCAGTCATAATCCTTGATAGTATTAATGACATGGAACCTCACTTTTCCATTAAACGAAACAAATTTTCCTGACCCAGTCATCATTCTCGTATCACATCCCTCCTACTTTAATACTAAGCAACCCCCACGGTCGCCATGTAGCCTAACACTTCCCATCACATTGATAATAATCATGGCACCCAACGACCCGCACGGCCCGGACTTAATTACACGTAGATAATTTGACACAGCCTCAGGAACTACTTACTAGTCGTGGTTCATCAATACACACCACTACGTAATTAAGGCCAGAAGTTAGCCGAACGGGCGAATCAAAGCGGTCATCTGTGGCTATAAGCCCCACGTAATGTATGGGTGTAGCGCGGGGGATAGTCGGTGGGGGTGATGTGGATTCATCTTGCGGTCTCGCGGTTGGGGTCCAATTTGAGTATAGTTGGCGTATTATCGCTCGTGAAGCCCAGATAAGTCGGTGGCTATGTCGCTACTTAGTTCAGGTTGATGAGGATGTAGGAGAATTATCGTACATTCACATTGATGATGCTTTCTGCGTTCTTGCGACAATCCCTGAGCGGAAAAGACAAACAAGAAAAGGGGAAAGAAAAGAAGAGAAAAGAAGAAAAGAAAGGGACAAATGTTTGGTATCATCTGCCACCAACCAGACCGCTAAGCAACATACTACTATGGAAAGCTTGAGAAATTGGTTGAGGCTTGGGTAGAAGCATTGTGCTACGAATTCTCCTGCTTTAGCGGAGGAATGAACGGTATCTTCTCACGATCCGTATAGTTTGACCTGGTGGAAGACTTCTTGATGAGAGGCTTCAGCATACTTATCTTGAATGACAGACATCTAGTGAACCCTAGAAAAGCTATATATTATGATTAACAGTTGTAAGTTGTCTTCCAATCCTATCAAAGCTAAATAAAGCTTGGCTAAAAGTGCGAAATTTCTAGAAATTTCAGATGAAACACATGCAAAGCACACACTGGGTCTAGCGCATGAGCCTTGGTGTCGGTGTTAGCAAGGGGAGTACAAGCACTTAATTAGTCGCTAAACTTGGCGGGGTGCAGCACCCCCATGTATGACAGGGCTGCATCATGCTAAATGGATAATTAGTTCCGCCCCATTTTCAAGGGTAAATGATTGCTATACTCTCGGGACGAAGTGCGGCAGACCAAGTATTGTACTGCCCATAGAATCACTGATCATGGAATAGGATTTGATGCATTCTGAACGACGGAAAGTAAAGTGGGATCTTCAGTCTCCAATGATGTTACTATCCTACTTCAGCACAGCATGGCTCAATTTCCATCTGCGGCTTAGCAAGGCAAACAATTAGACAACCCCAGTTCTCTACTTTGAACAATTTGTGCATCGAATGAAAGGACCTTTGTCGAATCCCTTATCGGCTGCAATGTACTCACTCCCCAGAATGGGGACTTGAAAGACTCAGAACGGTCCATTGCTGGATTAGCCTTCACGATGCATAGATCACTCTGCCTGTTCTTTCTTGATTCCCATCAAATGAACTTATCCCCTCAACAGATCTCAAACTGGTAGAAAGTTATAAGGAGAACCAAGCATCAATTCTCACACCGCTAGAGACAAGGTGGATTGCCATATTGAGTAGGCTGTGCTCTTCGATTCTTTGCGAGGTACTAAACCCAAACAGGCAATTGAGATGTTCGGGAGAGAATATGCGGGGATGCTATGCCTGTTGCAGGGATGATAGTCGCCGCACTAGCCCATTAAAGGTCTAGTAGCTTGAGATGGATTGCCGATCGCCGACCGGGCCCTGCCTCAGCCCCAGTCCTTGTGGAACGCGTCGAAGATTAACAACACCATGCCAGACCTAACTAAGTAATAAAGTTGCGATGATGGGGACTGCGACAAGGCTGTCAATTTGGGGGCCGAACTCAGCCTCAACCTGGAAAAATTAACTCCGATCGGTTTGATTTGATCATGGGAGATTACAGTCTACGTGAAATGAGCTTATAAAGAGCGTTGGAGTACCGGCTCTCAACCTGTCTTGTACCTGCAAGCTTTCCTCAATTCCCTTCTATCTTTCTTAGAATCCTCTCATTAGACATCATGACGAGGCAGACTTCTCTCGTTCCCAGGCTACTAACGCTAGCCTCACTAGCCGCACTCTCACAAGCAGAGCTAGGCAAGATCCAATGGAAAGGATCCTGCAACTTGACCACTTATCCGGCATTGATCTGTGGAACACTAGACGTGCCATACGACTACACGGAGTCGAATTCCAGCAAGACACTGACTCTCGACATCGCCAAGTGGCCTGCGACCAAGAAACCAGTTTCGGAGCCCATCATATTCAACTTTGGTGGACCTGGTGTCAATTCGTTCGAGGGCCTTGGGCTTTATGGAGAGGAATTTCAGGCGTATGTTGCAGTTCTGCTTTGATACCGCATCTTATGCTGACTGACATTGTTCTCTAGTATTCTTGGAGGTCACAATGATTTGATAGCTTTTAACAACCGGTTTGTCGCTCTTCTCTTGAGCTAGAAACATCTACTAACGTTGTACCTTTATATAGAGGCGTTGGAAACACCATCCCGTTCTCCTGCTACAGCGATGACGCCACCCGTGAACTCGTCGCCCTTCAAGCTCCTAACGACGGCAGAGCGTCCAGCACGGCTTTGGGAGAAATCTGGGCCCAGAACGCAAACATCGCACAGGCATGCTATGCTACGAACAATCAAACGGGTAGTCTTATTGGAACTAGCTTTGCTGCAAGGGACATCATGCAGGTCGCTGATGCGCTCAGTGGAAAGGATAGTTTGGTCAACTACTGGGGTAAATATCACGGCTGAACCGAGTTTATACTTTTGCTGACAATCTACACTTTAGGATTCTCATACGGCACTACAATCGGTGCTGTTCTCGCAGCCATGTTCCCGGATCGAATGGGGAATGTCGCGCTTGACGGAGTGGACAACCCCAGAGAGGCTCTTTATGGATAGTGAGTGGCCCTTGAAGTTTGCCCGATCTGGTATGATTCAGACAGCTAATTCCTTCCGAAAAGCAACGCACAAGCGGTTGTGGACGTCGACAAAGTTTTCGAAGGATTCTGCACGGGCTGCATGGCCGCACCGGACCTCTGCCCTATCGCCAAGGAGTACACCAGCGCCGCCAACTTGGAAGCCGCAATTTACCTGATGCTGGAAAACCTCAAGTACAACCCGATTGCCATTCCCGAAACCGGTGGAATCGTAACTTGGAGCGACGTCAAGTCGACCATTTTTGAGGCCATGTACCTGCCAAGCTCTTGGCCCTTGACCTCTGAGCTTCTTTACTACGTGCAAACCCGCAACACAACGATCCTTGGCAACTCTGAAGTATACGACACCATCAAATCCTACGGTCAATCGGCTTCTTTGACTTCGGCCTCCGATGAGGTCGGCACGGCCATTACATGCTCCGACAAGCATCGATCAGCCACCATTAAAGAGGTCCTCCCGTACATCAAAGCCAGACAGGCTCTGACCAAGATCGGAAGTGATGGCTCGGACGGCGACATGAGATGCGCGCAGTGGAACCCGAAGATGTTCGCCAAGGAGCGCTACTCCGGTGACTTTGAAGTCAAGACAGCCAACCCGGTGTTGATTCTGAGCAACACTTACGATCCAGCAACTCCTCTTCCCGCAGCGAAGAACCTGACAGAGACCTTTGAAGGAAGTGTCTTGCTCGAGCAGAACGGATACGGTGTATGTTTATACTTCCCCTTCTCATCACCATAAAAAGTGAGCAAGCAGCTAACCTACTGGTGACAGCATACTACCCTGTCCATGCCATCTCTTTGCACTGCCAAGGTCGTCCGGGCTTACTTCACCAATGGCACATTGCCCGCTGACGGAACGATCTGCCAGGTGGACGTGCCTCTGTTCACGAACTTGACCTACAAGGATGTGTGGCCGAAGAGTTTCCAACGGAGCGTTGAGTCCAGGGATGATGCGACTATCCTCAAGGCTTTGATGTCGGTCCGTGATAAGATGTCGCGACGCAGGATTTGGTAAGGCTGGTGTGATAGGCGGAAAGCTTGACGTCCTAGAGCATTGAAGACATTCCATTCATACAGTTCTGATTACGGACTGGAAGATGTATTTCATATTTAGAAATTTCAGCCGATTTCGGCTCCCATTTAATGATTATTAGTGTCAGTTTACACTGCTCATATTTTGTATCTCGGTAAATCGATCAGGCTCTGCTTCAAAGGGGAGGTCCCGTGGATCCACTCTGTCTTCTCTAGCTTGCGCCCAGCTTTGCGGTGAGTACCATTTGTCGCTTTTATGCTGGGATAAATAAGGAACATCCTGCAACCAACCCGTTGTCCTAACTAGCTGTGAGTTCCAGACCTGCCTAATAAAAAATAATAGGGAGGCGCTACCGGCTGCTATTCTTATCTTACGCCTGAGGCAGAACTATAACACCTCAGGCAAATAAACATCTATAGTCGAAAGGCGGTATAAAGCTAAAGACGAAGCTATATCTTGTACCTATGAATGCAATCTTACCTTATAAGGTAGGCGGTAGAGTGTGGCATGAGCGAAGGCTCTCCCGAGTCCCAAATAATATTCCCACGAGCATTAGCCTGGGATTGTTGGCATCAATCTTTCCAGTTGTTGCTGTCACATGATATAAAATATTGTGTGAATATAGGAAACGGAAAGTTCCACATTGAACAGTGACTGCGTGAGTCCTGATCAGCAGAATTCTCGATCAAGGACTACCACCCTTTACTACATGTGCCCCTCGAACTTCCTTACTCTCGACTTCTCCACCTATAGTCCTTGCTCCGTCGCCTACTTGCTTTTTCCCAAACATTCCCGTTCCTGCAGCACTCGACAGACACAATGGATCGACCAAGTCACATTATCGACCCAGAAGGAGAGGTGATTATAGTCTTGCGCAATGCCAATTCTCCCTTCGCACCAGACGATTACGATGACATGAATGAAGAAATGAATTCTCTCAAACTCTCAGAAACATGTGAAGGCCAGCCCAATGAGCAACCTGACGAGAAGCGACTTGCCGAAGAACAGCCTTCCGAGACGCCAATTGAGGATGCGCACCTCAGCGAAACACCAGATGGGAAATGTTTCCACATTCAAGTCTCCGCGAAACATTTAATCTTTGCGTCCCCGGTCTTCAGAAACATACTCACTGGAGGTTGGAAGGAGAGTGTGGCTTACCTGTCGAAAGGTTCCGTTGAGATTACTGCCGAGAATTGGGATATTAGAGCGCTATTGATATTTCTTCGCGCAATTCACGGACAACAGAGCCAAATCCCTCGGAAATTATCTCTTGAGATGCTCGCTAAAGTTGCTGTTTTGATTAACTACTATGACTGCAAAGACTCCGTGTCTATTTTGACAGATCTATGGATCAATTCTCTGGAAGAAAGCATCCCCACAACCTATTCCCGGGATGTAATGTTGTGGATCTGGGTCTCTCAGTTCTTCAAACTGTCTTCACACTTCAAGGCATCAACATCGAATGCCATGTCACAGTGTGATGGTTGGATCTCTAGCCGTGGGCTCCCAATCCCCGAAAGAATCATCAGTAAGAACACATAAATCTTGGATGACCTTGGTCTCTAATATAGGTGCAGGGTCAATGAACGAACGTAGGAATGGAGCCATTGAAAAAGCATTTGCCCGTCTTCATAAGATACGTGAAGACCTCCTCAATGGCACTCGAGGCTGTGACTTTGAATGCAGGTCTATGATATATGGAGCTCTCACATTGGGGATGCACTCACAAAATCTGCTTTCATCAACACTTGCAGCCCCTTTCCAGGGCCTGAGCTACCAGAGCCTACTCCAGAAGGTGAAGTCATTTAACTCGCCGAAGTGGAATCATCGTGGGAATTATATGTATGACGAGTGTCGTCCGTCCTTCTTTAATACTTTGGCTGGGGAATTGAATGGTTGCATTGGAGGCCTCGATATTGATTCTCGTTTCAAGTTTCCATTGTTTCGTTAAAAGCCTCGATACTCCGTATAAGTATACTAAATCCATAACAGAACCCATATTTAAGCCTTGCCTTTGATTATCTCTATATATGAGGAATATGTATGTCCGGCTGTATAAGTATAGCGATATGTTGATTACGAAGAGTTTCTCAGTATCGTGCGCGTGAACCTCCTGATTAACTCTATGGTTTAATAGATTCATTACTTGTAATAATAAATGGAACTTCCGATGTTGCCCATAAAATCTTTCTAGAAATATTACTGGGGATTAAAGCATGCTAGGGAGTGCTTGCAATTACTGTTTAATGCTTCAATATATCCATTGCATGTACTTTACCAACTACTCACAACTAGATACCTTCTAAGTACACTTAAACTATGATCATTAGAGGAGACGGAACGAACATTTAATTCCTGGAAAATTGACCGACCTAGTGCACTCATATTTCTTCATACCTTCTCAAAGAGATATAATATTACATTTCATGGTATTTCATTGATGGAAAGACAGAATAGGCGGTTCAAGTCGAGGTTGAGAAGAAGCTATGACTTCTCGTCTGTATTTACAAATTTTTTGAATTTAGACAAGAGCGTACCTAAAAAGAGTCATATAGCTGGAATTTGTAGGTAAAATCTCCCATAAACCCGAAGTGCGAGACCCCCGGACGGCACATTCCTGAGAACTCCCCATAGCCACCCGATCTCCTCCGCACGGACGTGGCTACGCGTGTCTCTAGCCACTAATATCATAGTCGAGACAATTACGAAACTATCATTTATAGCCAGGATTGCGCAAGGCATCTGACAGATGCGGGGTTCGCATGTCGCCATCGATGCTGATACGAAAGCCGTTTTTGTTGGAGATTTGTTGCACAAGCCGGGACGGCAATTGCGTGATGGCTGGGAGTTGTGCTTATCAACCCCATCCCGGTTTCTATATATCTCAGTCAATGTCCCAACCAATGTAGAATCTCAAGGCATTCTATCCACTTGGAAAATATCAGTTCAATTACATTGTAAATATCATGGCTCCTGGAATCTCTGCAGATCTCCCAATCCACTCGCACCCCGCATCTAATGCGGACGGCCCGACTGACCAACCACGGTATCCCACTCCACTGAAGCCCAGTGGTGCTTTGGATGAGTTTGCATTTGAAGAGACAACTCCAATCATTGGCCGCGAGTACCCCACCGTCAACATTGTCGATGATCTCCTGAACGCTCCCAACTCCGATGAGCTGCTGCGCGACCTTGCCATCACGAGTACCTCTCCCGATCTACCCCAACTATATCCCATCACCTAACCATGATCAACAGTATCTCAGCGCGGTGTCGTCTTCTTCCGCGCCCAAACAAACCTCACCGATGACCTTCAGAAAGAATTGGTCCACCGACTAGGGCAGCTAACTGGCAAACCCCCCACCTCCACCCTACACATCCACCCGCTGCTGAACAACACCAACGAGTTCGGCACCGCAGACGCCGAAATCAGCACAATCAGCTCTCTCGCGCGCAAGAAGATGTTCGCCCACGATCGCCAACCCAACCGCCGTAGCTACGACTCGGCCCAATGGCACTCCGATATCCAGTTCGAGCCGGCACCAGCTGACTACACCTCTCTCCGGCTAACCCAGCTTCCCAAAACCGGTGGAGACACCCTCTGGGCATCTGGGTACGAGCTCTACGACCGGTTCTCGAAGAAGTACCAAGAATTCTTCGAAGGATTGACAGCGACGTTCGTGGGTGATGGCTTCATCAAGGCGGCGGAGAGAAATCCGAAGGATTACAAGATATACACTCAGCCTCGAGGAAGTCCGCTCAATGTTGGGGATGAGTTGGTGGCTGTTCATCCGGTTGTGCGGACGAACCCAGTGACGGGGTGGAAGAGTATCTTTGCTTTGGGGCCGTTCCCGAAGTATATCAATGAGTTGAACGAGATTGAGTCGGAGGAGTTGTTGAAGAAGTTCAAATCGATTATCATTGAGGGTCATGATCTGCAGGTCAGATTCAAATGGAGGAATGAGCATGATATTGGTATGTCGTTGGCATTTGTTGTGTTGCTTATTTTAGGACTAACACTTGATAGCCATCTGGGACAACCGGAGTGCTTTCCACACTGCCACTTTCGATTATGAAGGCCTTGGTGAGAGATTCGGACACCGGGCGGTGGGTATTGGCGAGAGACCTTACCTGGACCCGAACAGCAAGTCGAGGACCGAAGCACTGGCAGCTGAGGGTCTTCTTTGAGGGTGATCATTCTGATGCTTTGTATGTAAGTGCGTTTGGGTCCGCAAATCGACTTGGTACCGGTAGAGGCAGTGCCTGGAACAGGTGAGTAGAATATGCTACGACATATTATTTCTATTATGATATATACAGTTGACACTGCGATGTTTACTCTCCTATACTGAACAAGGAAATCATGTAATCCATCCCTGTTGGTAGATTTCGCTGTCAAGAACCGTGTACTCCGTGTCACTCTCCTCTGCGGACTGTATCTCGCTTTTTGAACATGACCGTGGCGGCACAATTATGAAGAATAGTAAGAGTATAATTTTTAAATAAATCATTGTAGCTCACATCACGTCCTTCACTTCGGTAGCATATTCTGCGAATTAAATGGGTCGGTGTTGGGGTTCGGACGGCAGACGACAAAAAAACGAAAAAAAGATAATGAGCCCAGCCCGGCTCGATCGGACAACCTTACGATCTGGAGTCGCTGTTGGAAATCTGTTAGAGAATGTTTTGCAACCCGATTGGATGCAGGTGAACTTACTACGCGCTACCAATTGCGCCATAGGCCCATTTGTTGGTGAAAATACATCTACCAGGCCTTATATGTAAAGTAAAATGCATGGTACCGCTGCAAAGTGCGCGCTTTAACCATCATTTACACGGAGAGGAATCGGCGCACAAGGATAGATAGAATCTAGAGTAATCTAGGAAAAACACACACAACCGAGCCAAGCGTTTCTATTTGCAAAATGACATTCATGAGGGTATTTTTATATCAGTTTTGTACATCCGCCCGTGGAACCTCCCTCAAACCAACCTGATACTCAACCTTCTGCTCCATTTCACTCTCCGTTGACGACTCATACTTTTTATTGATATCCTCCAACTCTAACTTCCTCGTTTCTGGGATGAAGAAGTACCCAAATATGACTGAGACAGCAGACAGCGACCCATAAATGAATCCCAGCTTACCACCAATGTCCACATGGCCGGGATCGTCTGCGGTTTCGAGGTAAGGATACGAAAATGTCACAGCGAACCTAATTATTATCACATGTCAGTTTTCATACTAATATCTATGGCGGAATATGTAGGGAAAGGTGTTGCATACTCAGTCACCAGCTTCACAGTATACGCGATCCGCAGAGTCATTTCTCTCAACCCCGCAGAAGGCAACTCCGCACCAAGCACATACACCAACGGCGCCCAGGCAAGAGACCAACCAAAGCTGTAAAGAAGAAGCATAGCGACGATGCCTTCTTTGGCAGCAGTGTTACTAGTGTCTGCGGTACCGAGACCGCCCATTGTCATTAAGGCCGCCGTTTCGAGGAAGCCGCTTATGTGGAAGAGCATTCTGCGGTTAGAATTTGGTGTTAGTGAATACTGAAACATGATTTCTAAGAAGATAACTCACCTCCGTCCCACTACATCACTCAGCGCCGTCGAAATAATCAACGCCCCAATATCAGTCGCATTAGTACCCAGCGTAACACTAAACGCATTGACCGATTTCAACTGCTTGACGAAAAGCGTCCCATACTGACTCGCAAACGCCTGCCCCGAAGCCTGCTGAAAGAAGTTCGCAGCGGCAACAACGAACGTACGTTCACGATTTCCCTTGATAAAGAGATCCTTGAAGCTTTTCTTCTGCAGCTGGGCCGTGACCTTCTGCGCCATTTCGTCGAAATCTTCTTGTATCTCATGTTGGGGTGTGGTTTTCGATCGGTATCGTTTCAACGCTTGCAGTGCTTCTTCTTGTCGGTCGCGGAGGAGCAGCCATCGCGGAGACTCGGGTATTATCCAGACGAGCCAGATGCAAATAAATGGAATCACGAGAATCAAGCCGAAGGGGATTTGCCATGCGGCGTTTGTTGAGATGCCGGATGTGCCTCGTGCGATGCCGGTTACTACTAGGCCTCCGATTTTGATGCTGAGCCAGTATAGGACGCCCATGGCGCCGCGGACGTTCCGGGGGGCGAGTTCGGCGAGGGTGGTTGGGATTACGGCTAGTTGCATTCCTAGGTAGATGTCTGTAGGAGTTAGATGATGGTTTGTATCTGGTCGGGAACAAGGAGGACACTGACAGTGTAATGCTCGACCTGTTAATATTTGTGCGTCTGTTTTGGAGCTCACCACTACTGCTGCACTGCCTAGTGCGTAGAGATTCATGCTAAATATGCACCATTTCCGACCATAGGTATTGCTAATATAACCTCCTAGGAAGACACCTTTCGCAAACAAATCAGCGAAGTTCTCCATAGCTTTGGAAAGTACGATCCTCACCGACAATCTGCGTTCCCGCCTTCAAACTATTTTAAAGCGAAGTGAACAACGGCTTCACCTTATATTTCCCCGTGCTGGGATGATAAACCCCAAATTGGCGAGCGAACGAATCCATGGCTTGACAGGACGAAAACGCCTGGTCGCTGAACCCATAATTAAACGCCGAAACTGCCAGCAGCACGGTAGTGAAAATGAGCATTCTGCTCCATTGCGTTCGAGATGCCATTTGAAGGCAGCTTATTATTGAGATGACTTCCCGACCAGGAACATCTATCAATCAATCAATTAGATAATCAAAGGCCGAGATAATCAGATATGGTGTAATCAGATCATCAGATAATGGTGGCGAACGGATGGCTTGGCTTTATACGTTGCAAGGTTTGCTACGTGGGCGGATGGGCGGAGGGTTTTTCTCCCCCGACCGGTGCGATGAGGGGACGGACTAGACTGGTAATTTGGGAAGCTTGATCGGCTATCATCGCTCGATTCAGAATCGGTGGCATGGTTTCGTGTTCGGGAGTATTCATCATCTCGGGCTTACGAGGCTGTGAGGGATCAGCCTTTTACAGATCCCACGCTGATCATGATGGTGAGTGTCCAATCATCATGAGCATCAAATGCGATTGCTTCCAGGTGACACAAAACATAGCGACCGCTATGCTTGGTACGCTCTGATCTCCTGGATACCTTCCTCATGCTGCTTTCCCCTTTAACCGCGCTTTCCTACGGCGTACTCCGATCAATTTCTTATCTTTTCCCGAGTCTTCCGGTACTGGTACCGTACGGCGTCCTGCAGGCTTACCTTTCCAAGCAGCATTGTTTCACCCTCCCATTGAAGGTATATTATATAGGCTTCGCCTGCATCAGTCGAGCGAAGATTCTTTCATAAATCCTGCCACTACAGAAAATAAGGATATAGAACCACTTTCTCCATCTTGCCAAGCTTGCCAAGCTCTTGTATAGGGCTGTAGGGCTGTAGGGCTGGAGCCAAGTCTAAAGACCCTTTCTTCCATCAGCGTCGGGCGGTTATTAATACGGTTTCCCGAATTCAATTCCAATCTGATACCGGAGGTTAGTTCCACTCCCCCCGGAGAGGGAATTTCCGGAGTGAGCGCACCTTCATAAAGATTTGAATGAGGGGTAATGCATAATCTCGGATATGCATGGTTCTTTTTTTAGCTGTTTGGGTTGTTGGTGAACCACCCACACACTTTGGGTGATTTTGATTTGGTGTGCTGATACCCAAGTTTCACACTTTCGCAGCTTGCTTGTTGCAATCAACTGATGGTTAAGTTGGAGACTAACGAGCCATAACTCCAAAGTAAGTGATATTTTATCACAATTTACTCCGTCGTTGGTCTATTGCGTTGGAACTCGCTATTCCAGGCTGGTCATGCTGGGGTTCGCTTATCCCACGCTACGGCCTGCTCAAGCTTCTATGTCACACATAGCAGTCGCCCCCATTATGCGTGGGGTCTATTTTTTACGTTCAAAGATCCGACGGTATCCACCGCTCTTGTAGAAAACTTGGCCAAAACATTGTAAATAGCCTGAGGCAACTGGACACGAATGTAGATGCCTGAGCTTTCCATGGATCCTTATTGGCATGAAGGAGATATTGCACAATACTAGAATTTGCAGGACGAATGCACCAGTCACTATACCTGACTAGGAAGAGAAGACCGATTCATACACGGCCTTGCCATGTGTTACCCATGTTCTGCACAGAAAGTCCGAACGGACCGTTGCGAAAGCCCGGGCGGTGGTGTGTTACTCAAGCCTGTGAATTTCATGCCTATATACAGACTAGTCAGCGTAGATGTGCGTCTGACCCCTGTACATCTGGGGCAAATGCTACATAGACGTCTGAACAGTCCCTAGTACATACCATTCAAGGGCCTGGGTTTGAATAGCATCACCATAGTATCACGTATCCCAATGTGTACGTTGGACCTGCATTGGAGTTCCTCTGCAGGATGGGGTATGTTTGCTTGTGGTTACCCTTGTCGCACCACTATGTCCAGTGTTCAACTTTACTGCTACTCGAGCACCATATCGCCGGAGAACTGACACGGACATGACAGCTTATATAGACCCCATGAGAGCCATATCGTCACAGCCACCTAGTTTACCCCTCTCATTCAATTGACAGAGTACATCCAAAATGCGCTTCCCAATCCTCACCCTCACTTTTCTCTCTACGATCCTAACCCTTTCCTCCACCACCCACGCCCACCCAGCTCCAAGCACAGACTATCTCCATCCCCGCGGTCAAGGCACCATCACCTTCCTTGGCTCCATCCTTAACAACGGGTTGAAAATCCTCCAGCTAGACAAATCCGTCCGCTACTTCACCCCCGAGCGTTTGAACGACGTCAAGTCTCGCTCCTCAGAAGCACTCCAAAGCCTCGATGAAGCAACAGCGGCTGGAAAATCCATCGGTCACTTCGATCCTCTGAGTAGTCACGTAATTGCTGCATTATGTCCAGCTTTGAAGTCGGTCTATTCTAGTATGATCTATGCTATACGCGATAAGGTAATACCATTGTTTCTTTGAGGTTTTACTGGAATAGTATCGTTTCCAATTGCTAACAATGATAATCAACAGCGCGAGGAGCTAACCGCAGCGAAATACAAAGACGAGATGATCAAGACGCTGGTTGCTCTCCGGGTGAAAAGTCGGGAGTTCGCGGAACTGGTGAAGAAGATAATCATTGAGCCTGATGGATCATACTGTTTGTTTCTGGAAGACTTCGTTGATAAGCGATATTCGAAGACGATTGACGAATACAAGGGGATAGATAGCGGTGGGACAGATGGTGTAGAGGAAGATATCTGGAACGTGGAAGACTGAAAGACTTGGCAGATGGTATGTGGAAATTGCTCTTGGAGAGACTATCTGGGGGGCTATTTGCAGCTAATTGCGGTCTTGGATCCCACCAGTTCGATCCATAGAATGTTGTTAGCATGAAGCAGACACTTGGACTACATAGGGAAAGATGTGGCAGCTTTATGCTGACTGACTCGTGTGTGTGCATAAACTGTGCAGCCGATTTCGGTCCTGATTATGGGCCATATTAAACTTGGCTCGAAAATCCTAACCTACTGCGTATGTTTCATGATGCATTTCACATGACCTCGAGGCCTCACTCCAAACTTTATCAAATCCCAAAAATAGCCCCTTACCGTTGTTATTCTCGTTCTCGCCCAAATTATGATGCGCAGATCCAAGCCACAAAAACATGACGTAGCCACAGCAACACTGAGCAAAAACTCCGCTCACCGCCCAGTCACCGCCTTTTGATATACGGGAAAATTGCTGCCTACGGGTGCATAGACCACCACTGGCGGATAAAAATTTCACACAAAGTCAAACAGTCATGAAAATTGTTGCCGTGGGATATATACATATACAAAAAAAGCAGAAAAAGTAAACATTAATAATAGTCGCAAATCATGAATGGCCCCGTCGATACGCCGAGAGCGCCCGTAATGGAGATAGCCCGGGTTGCGAATTTCACCGAACCGACCAACACATCAGAAACAGATGTCCATATTATCAATTGAGTTGTTTATTTGTTGGCCAGGATGTAGCTATGACACGCGTCAGCTTGTGTTCCCAGTTGAATGTAAGGCGGGAGAAAAGGGCAGCAACACATACTAGGCGTGGATGACACCGGGTACCCAACCCAGGATACACAGACAGATGTTGATGAGGAGATCACAGCTGCATCCAGTGCGCATGAAGACACCCACAAAGGGGAGGAAGAAGGCGATGATGATTTCGCAGCAGCCGCTGTTGTAGAGATGTTAGTTAGTGACTGTCTTTTCAGAATGTGTAACAATGGTGTGCATACACTTTTCCGGGCATGATGGCGGATTATGTAGTTTATTGGTGGAGGTTTTTCTAGAGGTGGATGAGGCCTGTCTCGAGGAGAGTAGAAGGAGGAAAAAACTTCAGAGTCTGGACAATGAAGAACAAACAGATGGTGGTCGATCAGGGGATTTAAAAGATCATAAGGAACGAGAAGTTGTGACGTCACGCCTGATGCTGCGTAGGGCTGAAAGTGGAGCTGACTCGCACGCCTCAAGGATGCCCATCAGGATACGCCGATGACCATGTTTTGATGTAGCCTGGTATTCTCGCACAATCCTTGTCAAACCTGCGTCATGGCAATTTACGTTTCTATCCTCGTTGTAGGGTCATTTCTGAAGCTGTTGTGGCCTGACTGCAAAGGTGCTTCGGAATCCGCGGGCGCGTACAGTACTTCTAGCTTGCTTCCGCTAGATACTCCGTCCTCGGCCAATATTGACATTCAAATACGAGTACGAGGCGCAAGAGTGGACGCCTGGAGGCTCTATGATTGGCTCTCTTGAAGGGCCCGCTCTGATTAACGTTGACGCACCGTCTATTGCCGCTTACCTAAGCGTGGGTATAAGGTTATGCATAAGGCAATATATATATCTTATACTCCGTATTCCTAATTCACACATAGTACTTGCCTCTGGGAGATCATATTAAGATGTGTCTATAATGCTGTTACAGAATCGTGCATAGTACCTGCAAGCTACACTAAATACGTATCAATATTATGGCAGCTTGCATCATCCATTTACTGTGACAGCCCATTCACCCCCGCTCTTACTCCATTTAAGACCAGACGGTCGGAAATTGCAGTCCACAAGAGAGGGAAGTTCGACTTGCAGTGTCTGCTGAGGACATAGTCGCCCATACTGACAGTGCTTTTTCTGTGTGGTTAGAATGCACATCTGCTCTCATATTCTCTTACCAGGATTCTGGAAGATACCGGTCGTGCGAAGATAAAGACTGCATGTTCAAGGAATTACTCGGCGAGATGGAACAGGATGCAATGCCTCATTATTTCTAGGCTTTCCGGAAGGCGCATCTTTCTGGTCCTTTCTCAAACAGACCCCATGCTTGTGAGCATTGGGCTAACGGACTGTCGTGTTAAGGATGGCGATGTATTAGTGCTTGCCCTCGGCCTTCCGGCAGTACTCGTACTTCGTAAAATTGGCCAGAAGGATATTGTAAACGAAGGGGAGGAATCATGCTTCAAGATAGTCGGGAGGGCGTTTGTTGGAGGTATCGCGGAAGTGGAACCCACTCCATTCGTTCAGGACGTTAAGAGTCACCCCCTGATACAATTTTCTATCAAATAGGTCATCATAACTCACAGTTTTGTTTATGTTGTTTTCGAACTTTTTTTTTCTATCTTTCCCCTGGATCTAACGAGTAATTCCTAGTCTGACTCTGCCTGTACAGATCACTGCACTAGCTAGGCATATACTGATAAAAGGATAAAATCTGGCAGTTTCGAGTCTTTAATATCCCAGCTATCATATCAGAGGTCCCATAATTAAACCGTCTTTCGCCTATGATAGCCCGTTGCTCTAAACAACGTAAAGCCCGTACATGCACCATCCACACTATACAATCGACAGACATTTGCCATTGAAACTATTTAGATATCCAAAGTATAAACTGCTAACAAGTTGAGAAGAGATATCAATTGACATAGTTCAATCCATCCAAACCCGCCTAGATAGAACCCCGCAACACCATTTTTATAAAGAAACATAAAACCCCCAAGCCCTAAACACCATGATCTCTCGATTTACTCCAACATAGCCCCCTCCCCAACCTCTGCTGCTCTCTCCACCACCCTCCTATACCCCTGCTCCCGCTTCAATCTCTCCGCATACCCATGTAAGAGCGGATATTCATTCTTCGATATAACCCCCAACATTAACCCCATAAACACCGGCAAGCTCAACTGAATGTCTGCAAGACTGAGATCTTTCCCACAAATATACGGTCCCCCGTCAGGAGCCGTGGCAAGCTGTTCTTCCAGGAACCCATAATGAGTCTTGAACTCCTGGTCCAGGAACTCGGAGTTGACTTTCGATGCGATGAAATTTATGATGGGCTTGAGGAAGAATGGGATGGGAGCATTTTGCAACGCTATTGTTTATCAGTATACCACCAATTACAGGGGGAATTGTGGAAGTGGAGGCGCTGCTTGCTCACCATCAAAAACCAACTTTACCTGCAAAACACTCATCAAACTCCCCTCCACATAACTGTTGTAATATTGATACCGCATCCATGCCTCTGTTTCACCGCCTAGCTCTCGCTCCATTCCGGGCTCGTATTTCCTGGGAATGAGTTTGGCGCCGGTGGCTTCGTCGGCGAAATGCTCGACTAGGTAACTCATGATTGGGGTCGTCTCGGCCAGGATAATCGGTTTGGAGGTGGGAGAGGGCGGCTGGATGGAAATGGTGGGTGACTTTCCCAGTGGGTGGATTTTCTTCAGTTCTGCTGGTGCAGTGCCTGTTGGGTTGCGCTTGAAGGGCTGGATGGAGTAGTCGAGGTGTAGCTCCTCCATTAGCCAGGCGATGCGTTGGGCGCGGGAGCGCTCGAGCCTGTTGGTTTGTTAGTCGTGGTGGGGTATCAAGAGGGATGGGAAGAGATGTACCAGTTAAGGACGATTTTGGCACCGCGGTTTGCGCTCATTTTGCTGTAGTGTGTTGGATATGGTTGTTGTAGTAGTAGGTAATAGATGGCTGGATGGGAGTGAGTGTCGCAGTTCTTGTTGCTGGGAATCCTCAAGGTTATTTATAGTTAGCTTCTGCTGACCTGAATGTGCAGTATGTCGTCAGCCGGAATAATAAAGTTGTATTTATTCTATTCTTTGTCTCTGAGGGACTACTACGACTCCTCTGCTTGGCTAGGAATCGCTTCCGTGGTGCGTGAGTCGGGCATCGCCGGCAGGATGTGCGGGACAGCGTCAGCACTAGTAAATTCTACGGTAACCCATGCAGAAAAGTCAACGCATCAGCTGACAGCGAAATGACCGTTTAGCTGCATTTACGACTGTCAGGCGAGTCCTTTAACAGCCTCATATATCTAACTGATACATGATTGATGTCATCCCTCTCCTAGCGTTATAATTAGATCCAAGCCTCACGCCCAGGCATTGACATCCCCGTGTCCCACAATTCTCTTCCAACACTAACCTAAACCCTAAACTAGTCAATTCCATCGACCCTCTAAGCAACAACACCATTCAACTCATCCGCCGCAAGCTGCAACAAATTTTCCTGTCCCAAAAAGTTCTGCGTATAGCGTGAATTGAACTTCAACACCTTCTTCACTTGATTATACGTATCCACGTCCAACACCAACGGCAAACCACTGACATACCACGCTACACCCTCGGTGCAGGGCGGGGTAGTCAACGACCCAGAGTATGTGTAGATATCGTTGTTCGAGAAATGTCTCGTGACACTACTGAAGTCCAGCAATCCGAGCTCGGTGGAGCTTCCCGGCTCGGAGATCTCATCGACGTTCTCGAATATGGTGTTCAGCAGGGGTGTGCTGTGATCCTTTGTGGAGGTGAGTTGGATGAGGTAACCCACCACGGCGATGTTTCCATCTATGTTTAGAGTTCTAAATCAGCAATCAAGAAAAGTGAGCGCAGGAAGGTGGTTCATGCTGTACCCTCATCCGAAAACACAAAATGGGCTTCCATGGGGAAATGCTCCTCATCGATACGGTGCTCGGAAGGGGTATGGAAGTGGAACTGAGCCAAGGTGTAAGTATTGTTTCTCACGACGAGCGTGCCATTCGTCAAGGGCACTTCGATAGTGGTGCCGAGGTTCTCGAACTCGAGATCGGAAACCGTAGGGATAAAGAGGGTGATGGTGCTGTTATCGACTTTCGAGATCTGAGTGCTGCCGATCATGATCGGGGACTGGTGTGTCCCTGTTGCGCAAGCGGCATTGGCATTCGGGTCGAGCCCATACCAGTTCAATGGGCCTCGCGTGGCAGTATACCCGAAGCTGGGGGCGGTTGCACGCCGGGCGAGAGGGGTGTTGTGGAAGCAGCTAGCTGCGACGGCGGGGATAAGGAGGAGAAGAGACGTTAGATGCATGGCGATAGTAGATAATAAGGTTATCAGTATAACACGGAGATAAGTGTCTTCAGGAATTGAGGACCCTGGGGTTGTAGTTACTCTATATACTAGCATTCTCTGGTTTGTGAAAGACACGGATTGGTAGGTATAATGACGATCATTCTGGAATGTCGTGCTGGTAACATTGGAATACTGAGAATGCGACTTCAATTGTAAGGTGGTGCTCGAATTTTTTGGCGTCGTCTACTCCAGAGCAGCTTGAAGAAGTTGTTAAACTTCTGAAGCATTGCTTCGCGGGAGCGGGTTGGTTGTTCGCCTCTCCACCCCTGCATGCCGAAAACCAAGTTCTGGGAGTGCAGATGCTTAATTCTTTGGCTACCGAACCCTTGCATAGAGAATTTCCATGAGCCATCAGAGACCAATCATCTGTTTGATTGAACAGTTTAAATCCAGGTTTACTCTGGTCAAGTGGCAGCCAACAGCAAGGTACAAGCCACTGTAAATGTTACGTTACTTCAGCAGACGGAAACATCCTCCTTGGGTGTAGCCACTGCAGTCATGGTATTCCAATGCAATGAGGTGACTGAATGTAGGGTTGTCAATCACCTTTGAAGAAATTTCTGGTCTTATAGGAGAGCTTGGCCTCCCTCACTCTGTCATCAGGACAGGTAGATGATAACACTTTTTGCCAATACCCCTAATTCCTTGGGGGTATGTGCCAAGATCGCGCTAATATGACTGTTTAGGGCAAGCAGGACATCGAATTGCAATCAAGTAATGTAATATTTGGGAGGTTAGCCCACCGTGCAACCGCCCTGAAACAATTCTGGTGCTCCGTATCCTGCAGTAAGATCATGCGTCATGGTTGTTTGACTAGAGGAATGTTGTTCCTGAACTTCTGCATTGTGTACAGGTAAGAATCAATGCGATAATGTGGTGTGTCTAATCAATGTGCCAATCGCGAGGTTTATTGAATAGCAACTGGGTATAAAGGGAAACAGGCCCGTCAAACAGGGTGCTGGGACAGGGATTGAAAAGTATTTCCGAGACTCGGTTCATGTACCTCCTACTACTGAATCTGACATCATCCAACTAATTCGCTACACGCTACCCTTATCTCCGAGCCGTATTCCTGACTCATGCGCCCCCAATCAAGCATTTGTCGCCGGCCCCAAACCAGCGCCCGATGTTTCAGATGAATTTCTGACGGGCCCATGCGCCTGCGACTGGTCCTGATCCTACAATGAAAAATCAAGTACATATTAAGTCATGTCCGCCGATGCCATACAGAACTCCTTTATCGAATGTACTACAGAATAATCTGGTTTATACAGTTGCGATGAATCAGTACAAATGGCACAGCCATTCATGGTATTGTCTAGAGAAGCAATCCCGCGAATGTGCCCAACCCAAGGATCATCATCAAGACCCCGCTGTAGGATAGACCACTAGCACCACTGCTGGATGTAGAGATGGAGCTCGAGCTTGAAGAGGAAGAGGCCGAGGACGAGGACGAGCTACTGGACGAATTGGTCGACTTGGACGATGTGGTGGTGTTGTAGGCCTTGATACTTGTGTAGTCGCCAGTCTTGTCCGTGTACTTGTAGTACTCAGCGGGGGTGTAGTTAATGATGTTGACCGACTCCAAATACATGATGAACGGGCCGTCGTCGTAGTCGGTCTCACCACCAGCCCATTCGATGGTTCCCTCGGAATTGTCGGGGTCACCACCGGCCCAGATACCGATACGGATGGTCATGGGGGTCTGGGGGTAGTTCTTGCCATTGAGAGCGTCGGCATACTCGAGCGTACGGACGACAGTGCCGTCAAGTATCCACTCCGTCTTGCTGGATGTCCAGTTGACTCCATAGGTGTGGTAGGTCTCTTCGGGTGTGGTGACGTTCACGGTGGTGGCACGGTCGTAGGACGTGGTGTTGCCTTTGCCAAAGTAATTCGTTTGGATTTCCGAGTCATATGTACTGACTTGTTCCTGTGTGGGGTTAGCATGAATATCACTACGAGTTTTGAGCGGACCGTACCCAATCAATTTCATCCAGGTCGTCAGACTCCATCACACTGGTGCTGATGATACCGGTACCATTGGCAGCACGGAATCTGACCTCCACATAGCCGAAGAAGATGTAGAAGTTGGACTCAATGGTAGGGGCATCGCCCTCCTGGCTGATCTTGAACTCGGCACCTTTGGAGGTGCTGTTCACGGTATCGGCGGTTACATTCCATCTATCACGCCAAGACGAGCCATCAGTGAAGTTGGTGCTCAGGGACCACTGGTTGAGACCCTTGTCGGGTGTGCAGGTTTCTAAGAATATGAGACAATTATTCTACTCTCCGATAATATATGCCTTTACTTACTGTTCAAGGGGTTGCAGTCGGTGTATGTCTGGGCTGCACTGAGAGGCACTGTGGCAGCAAGGGCAGTTAATGCCCATGACATGTATGACTTCATGGCAAAGATTAACGAATGAACGGTCTGAGCGAGTGACTGGAGTATTTGAAATGAAAGAAAGCTGCAACGGAGGTTGACAACGAGTGTATGTAGGTGAAACGGGATTACAGACGGGATATAGGGGACTGAATCATGACCATGGTTGACATGGACACTCAGGGGCCGGCTAGCGAAGGCAACAGCAAATATCTATAAATTCTTCCTCAGGCTGGCGCAAGAGCGCTTCCACTGAGTGTGGCCAAGGATGCATAACCTGGGCAGTGGGCTTGGTACATTTCATTGGAGGAGGGAGTGGAGCGGCTGTCTTGGATGACGGCGTGTTGGCAAGCGGTTGGTTCTGAGCGACAGCAAGTCCACGAGGGATGGGGCCATGCGTCGACCACAAAGCTTGATGAGAGGTGATGAGAGGCGATGAGATGGCTTGCGCGTCCGCCCAGAAGACGGTTCCTGAATGCTTACCCGGCACAGGCACTTGGCCCAAACGGGAAAAGTGCTGTCGTGGACTGTGGATGCGCTTGACACCTATGAAGACTCAACCCACGCAGCAACGGTGAAGGGACCGATTCCACAGGAGTGCTATGCCTATTCAAAGAGCAGCATCGGCTTTTCCTGCAGAATCGCTTTGTCTATACCTCAGTGGCATAAATTTAAGCCGTTGCTGAAGCGCGGAAGCGAGCCGAGATTTGAGCGTTATCGCAAATCTGTAGGAGAAAAGATATGAGCAGAAGCCAATGGGATCGGCTCCGGAAGATCAGTCAGATGGTTCGGTCCCAGTCTCCGCTGCTGTCTTCAGGTCCGAACCGAGTTTCAACCAGTAAAAGAGCCCGACGCCATCGAACTGCGGATCCCGTCGTGGCAAACGCGTACTCTTATTTTGTCCACGTAGATCTGCGTGTCTGGTGACCATGTGTGTCACATTTTAGGTGTTTAAGTCCCGACTCAAGTCTATTGAGAAAGTCGAGTCTGAACCTGAGGGTTAACTTTGTGATGGGTGTTCTCGGGTATCGGGACGTTCCTGGAACCACCGTCACGGATAGAAACAAACATGTTGATCTTTATCTCCACAGATGCTGTCGGCTAAGGTTTATGCCAGACAGTCATGACTAGTAGCACAGAGTACATAAGAAATCGCACATCACCTGTTAGCGAGCATACTGCTTCTATATTAAGATTGATGTCTTACTCACCCTCCCTGGACCATCACGAGTCTGCTGAGCCCCAGATGTCTTGCTTGTCCAGTCTAGTGTTCTTGGACTACTAGAAGGCCACAAATGTTGACATGTTCCACCAACTAAGTATGTGGTTGGTCGGAAACGAAGGAATCTGACGACGTGATATGGAAGATTAAGTGCAGAAGGGGAGCAGAGAGCAAAACGTGCCATTGATCATCACCTGACTCGCACGTGGAATTTCTCTTACAGGTCACTTTACTATGTCTCCCTTATTTACCTATCTCACACAACGCGCTCAAAAACCTCTAGGGAATGCTTGTTTCGGGTCAGGAATTCAGTAGCTTGTTGCTTAATTACATTCATTCAATTGGGTGAGGCTCGTCTCCTCCTTCCAGTATTACATAAGAGGGGTCTCGCAAATACCGAACTCAGAGTGCACCCAGTGGTACGGAGGGAAGACGACAAAGTGAATATCGGTTGTTGTGGCCTTGCGTAATCAGTGGAAGTTCCATTAACCTCACGAAGCGCTTTTTTGTTTACTGTCGGCATCCGATATACTCTTGGTGGACCGTGGCTCAACACGATCACCATAGGACTTATCTGTGGCAGCCCACCACAAGAGACGGAGAAGTATGGTGATGGATACAATATCAGATACTTCTGCGGGAATAATGCTCCTCCCAACCGTCTCGCGCAACTTACCAATGCAGCCGCGCTGGACGCATGTGCCGCACAATGCAAAGGTATCACTGATTGTTGAGCAGTAGTTTGGTCATTGTCAGAGGGGCTTGCAGGCTTTTCAGATCTCACGTTGGCACGCATGTGAAGAAAATCGGAGTGGTAGTCAGGGAGAAATCGGATATTGAAAGTAGTGCTTTCCAGCTCGAGGCACAGCAGGAGGCATGTTTAGCTGCATTGGAGGGTCTCGGACGTTTCCTGGGGCAGTGCCAGGGAAACCTTTTCGGTTACCTCAACAGGAGCTAGCTTGGCTTCTTCTCCCTCGGTCTTGCCAATGGTCTCTGTCGAGGTGGTGAGATTCTCGAGGTAGTACGGACTCCTTGGGTCAGGTTAACTGCTCCCCAAACCTTGACCTTTCTGAGAGGATGGTCCATTATCTCTTTCCGGATGGGGAGCCGCCTGCGGTGACGTTGTAGGTCACTTAGTTTGACCGGAGAAGTGGCCAGCTGGTACCGACCGTTTTGTCATAGATGTTGTGTTTGGACAATTGTGAGGGGTAGATGGTAGTGCAGGAACAGGGCACTAGTGCGAAAGATGGTTGCTTCATACGAGTCTTCATGTCAGTCATATCATTCCACGGTAGGCTATTATGTGGAGAAGCACCTCCCACAAAATGGAGCATATAACATTGTTATTGTGGTCAACATGGAGATTGTCAACGGGTACGCAGCCATGGGTAACTATGTTCCTAAAGCTAAGGTAAATTGTGTATAGTCAAGTAATCTGCGTCGGGATATTGTGTTTATTGTTGCTTCTATGGACCATGGCTCCATGCGTTGACCTTAACCTGATTTCAACATCGGACTAACAATCTATGCAGTAAACTTTGGCAGTTGGCATCATTCAGACCGCTGTAGTTGAATTTGTTACTCAAGCGTATTCATTATTGAAGTTGAAAATGGTCTGGGGCGACCTATTGAATATAAATATATATATATACTTGAGGTCTGCTACTATATTCAACGATGGATATGAGAAAATGAGTAATACCTATATGGTAAATAGCAAGCACTGGCTTTACAGCAGTTATAACTCTCAGTAGAAATGCTACAGAATGAGGTTAAGATAAAAGTAGTGAGTAATGGGTTGAATATCCTGTCATGTGCTAATTTCCATACGAAAATATTGCCGTGGATAGCGTTAGCTCATAATGTTTAAAAGGAAAGATAATTTCATCAGCGAATCAGATGGTGTACTGGTTAGCAACAGCATCATTGGTCTAGTGGTAGAATTCATCGTTGCCATCGATGAGGCCCGTGTTCGATTCACGGATGATGCACTCTCTTTTTTTCTTTTTGTTTTTCTTCCTCCTCTTTAATGTCGGGATTAAGTTTTTCTACCCCTCAATATCCGCCTTACTTTACCCCACTTCCTTGTTTATTTGCCTGATATGCTACAGATCATCTTTCATCTTCCGGGTTGAGATGACCCAGGCCTGCAGTCAACATGTCTTTTCGACACTTCCACTTTCTTGCCACTTCTGTGCCACTCGGGGTTTGGACCTCGAAAATTGACACTTTGGTACCTGGTTACTGCAGCTACTCCTCACTAGGCGTTAGCTCTTTCAGCTGAAGACCATTGCAGGGATCGGTGACTGGCAATAGCTACGATCGCCGACCCGCCGGGATTGGTCCCACCGCCTTGTTTGCTTATCGCCGACGGCTGAAGCGGAGGTTGGGCCAATGGACATCAATATCCCCAACTAGCTAGTATCCTTATAGTTGCAGCTAATAGATTAAAAGCAGACACCTGCGGAACTACTCCTCCTGTGCGGAGCTCAGCTGAGATAACAATCAGACCCGCATGGACTTGCCCCATCGGTGCCTTTCTTATCCGTCACGTCCGACCTCGGCAGCCCGTTCCGCTGTACTATTTATTCATGCCTCTCGCTTTTGCTTGCTTACTAGCTAGCAGGCACGGTAGGGAATTGAGAGGCATCAATCATGCAGCTCTCATTGTTGGCTCTTCTTGGAGCATTGGCGCTGCCCAGCGCTGCTGTTCCCCATGCGCGCGATGAGGGACAATGCAAGCAGACCACTGTTGCTATTCTGTATGACTGCCATCGTATCTGAAGTGCGACCTAAGCTAACTCCGACAGTGGTGGAGGAATGGCTGGTATTGCTGCTGCTGTAGGTCAATCACTTTGTCGCCCCTAAAAGGAATTCCAAATGCTCATAGGTCACCAGCAAACGCTGCACAATGCCTCCATGGATGACTTCATGATCCTCGAATACCGCGACACCATCGGCGGTCGCGCCTGGCATAAGCCCTTCGGTCAGGACAAAGATGGGAACCCATACATCATTGAGATGGGTTGTAACTGGGTACGCCATCTATTGAAGTCGCCATGCTGCACTGCTAACAACCACAGGTCCAAGGACTCGGCACTCCTGGGGGTCCGCAGAACCCCGTCTGGACACTGGTAAGTCACCAGCCCTCACCACCACACCACTACTCTAACCCCCTCAAGGCCCAAGTCTACAACCTCTCCACCATCTACTCCAACTACAGCAACGTGTCGACCTACAACCAGCACGGCTACAAAGACTACTCCCACCTGATCGACACCTGGGATGACATCTACGACACCGCCGCCGCCCAAGCCGGCGTCATGCTCCTCGACAACCTGCAGGACCAGACAGCCCAGACCGGACTGGCCCTGGCCGGCTGGCGCCCCAAGGTCGACGACATGGAAGCACAAGCCGTTGACTGGTGGTCATGGGGTACGTTAACCCACCTATCTCAAACACACGTATACACCACTAACCGCCACCAAACACAGACTTCGAAGACGCCTACACGCCCCTGGAAAGTTCCTTTATCTTCGGCGTCGCAGGCCAAAACCTCACCGTGAACGGCTTCAGCGACGAAGACAACTTTGTCATCGACCAACGCGGCTACAGCCACATCATCCACGGCATGGCGTCGACCTTCCTCAAGCCCAACGACACTCGCCTGCTCCTCAACAACCACATCACCAACATCAGCTACTCCGACTCCGGTGTGACCGTCCACAGCTCCGACGGCTCCTGCGTGCGCGCCTCCTACGCCATCTGCACCTTCAGTCTGGGCGTATTGCAACACGACGCCGTCACCTTCACCCCGTCCCTGCCCGAATGGAAGAAAGAAGCCATCGAAGGCTTCACAATGGCCACCTACACCAAGATCTTCCTCCAGTTCAACGAGACCTTCTGGCCCGAAGACACCCAATACTTCCTCTACGCGGACCCCTACATGCGCGGCTACTACCCCGTCTTCCAGTCCCTCAGCACCGAGGGCTTCTTCCCGGGCTCCAACATCATCTTCGTCACCGTGACGGAGCAATTCGCCTGGCGCGCCGAACGCCAGTCCGACGAGAAGACCAAAGCAGAGGTGATGGAAGTCCTGCGCAAGATGTTCCCGGAGAAGGATATCCCTGACCCGATTGCGTTCATGTACCCGCGGTGGACCCTGGAGCCATGGGCTTACGGCAGTTACTCGAACTGGCCGCCCAGCACGACGTTGGAGATGCATGAGAACCTGCGTGCCAATGCGGGGAGACTGTGGTTTGCCGGTGAGGCAACCAGTCCAACCTACTTTGGGTTCTTGCATGGAGCTTGGTTCGAGGGCCAGGCTGCGGGGCTTCATCTTAGCAGTATCTTGAACGGCACTTGCAAGGCGAATACTACTTGCAAGGGCAGGAAGCATTACGAGACGTTGCACGGCACGACGCCATTGTCGGATTACAGCTTCGTGGATGGATGGAACGGAAACAGTTTCTATGATTTTAACGATGATTAAACTGCTCCCCATCTCCATCCCCATCCCCCGTCTTCTCTCACCGCTCTACATGGTGAACTGAACGGGGCTGTCGTGTATATATAAATATGTGAATATAACATATCATCATTCATCCATCTATCTAACTATTCATCCATCATATTTCACCCATACATCACTAATTCATAATCATAACAACCATCTTATCCCCCATGTTCGCCCTTGGGGCAAGTTCTACCAATCACAAAAATGCACATTAAGACTAACATTCCCATTGGTCATAACCCCACCCTGACTAACACCATGACAGGTCTCCACGACATCCTCAAACCCATTAAGACAGTCCTCGAAGCTATCAAACACGCCCGTCTTACCCACGCTGGCGTGCACCTTCGTCGGGCTGGTCGCGTTGTTGACGAAGTGGTCCCAGTCGCCGTAAAGCACGTTCCACCGGTAGGTGCAGTATTGAAGGGAGTAGAATTCTTTGATGCTGGGGAGCGAGGCGCAGTTCGAGCCGCCGGTCTCGGGGTAGCAGATTGCGGAGAGGGCGGCGGTGGGGAGGAGGGGGAGGAGCAATGTAGAAAGATGCATTTTGGGTGGGATTCTGGTGTGTCTGGGTGGATGGTTAATTGTGTATGTATTGGGGTTGGGGGAGGAGCTGGTTACTTTTGTGGTTGAGATGTAGTGTATGTATGTGGTAGAAGAATGGAATGATGGTGTGATAGAAGAAGAAAATAGCGAAGCGAACCGGCCGCTGGGGGGAGTATATAGGTCTGGGCTAGTCTATAAGTACCCTCAATTATCTACAGCAGTTGCTATCAAGCAAGACATACCACGCCAGGGGTACCTGCATCGCACCCAAAACAAGGAACGATCACCACGAAACCTAAAACAAGCATCAGGAATGTTATGCATGTCTATCTAATTCAAATCTATCATTCGCTAAAATAAACCCAATCACAAAGCATAATGAACCCTTACAGCACAATAATCATAGGCTTTCCTCTCAGCAAGGGATTCAGAAATCCCACTGCCCCAACCAATTCCCCATCAACTGGCCTGTCACAGCCCCCAATCCCTCCATGGTCTTGCTGCCCCCGCGCGTCTGCTCCACACTAATACTGGCCGAGAGCACCTCGCCCGCGAGTCCGCGGTAGAAATCAAGCAGTTTCAGCGCGGGCTTCTCGCGCACCTCGGTCTCCGACGGCGACTTGATCGCCTCCAGCTCGTCCAGCCACTGGTCTAGCGGCACCGTCTGCATACCGGGGTATTTGGCCTGAACGGCGGGGACGAGGGTCGCCCAGGGAGTCTTGCAGGGGTTGACAAGGTGGTAGACGGCGTGTGGAGTAGCGGATTGGGTTTGGCGGCGGGTGTGCATGAGTTCGGTGGTGATGGTGGAGAGGGTATCCTATCCATATCCATATTAGCATCAATCCCCACCCAAAATCTTAGATCGAGGCAAAAAAGAAATGGGATCAACTTACAACAGGCACCCAATCAACCTCATACCCACCCAAATCCGCCGGCACCTTTCCAACCGCCTTACTGGTCTTCACCAACGTAGGCACCCACTCATCCAAATTCCACATGCCCTTCTCAGTCGTCGGCCCGGAAATCTGCCCAACCCTAAACACCGTCGTGGGCACACCCATCCCCTCCGACGCAGCCAGACACAACCTCTCCCCGACGAACTTCGACTCGCCGTATCCCTGCACCAGCACCGCATCGACACTCTCCACCGGCGTCTCCGGCACCACGGGGCCCAACTTCTCCGTCCATCCACCGATGGTACTCACACTGGACACGAACGACAAGTGTGCATTGTACTTGCTCCTCACACTGAAGGAAATAAACTCCACCACGCCCTTGATATGCGGGTCCTCGAACGACTCCAGCGGGTGATTGAAGTTGACTTTCCATGCGTTGTGGATAATGAAGTCCACGGTCTCCAGGAGATCGGCGTACTTGGTCTCACTCAGGCCGAAGCGGGGCGCGCCAAATGACACAGTGAGGAATTCCACCCGGCTGGGGTTGAGCAGCGCAGTATCCAGACCCTTGTCGGCGAAGCTGCGCTGTTGGCGCTCGGCCGCATCGGACCGGTTGAAGCAGTAGACTTTTGCGACCTTTGGGTCGGTAAGCAGGCTGTGTAGGAGGTAGGTTCCCAGGGAGCCGGTCGAGCCGGTGAGGATCACGGTGGAGTTGGCCGGGGCAGGGACGGCGGGCGTGGTGCGGTGCGGGAGCTGGGAGGTGTATTTGTCGATGGTGGCAGCGATGCGGTCGGCGCGGGAGATGGTCGTTGTGCGCAGGTTGCCAGTCACTAGGTCGTGTAGGTACGCAGCGAGCTGGGATACGGAGGGGTTGGCGTAGATCTGCTGCTGGGAGATGTCGTGGCCGCCGGCTACCCCGCCGGCCACGACGGCCTTGTTAAGGGTTTTGGCGAGCTGGATGGTTTGCAGCGAGTCCAGGCCGGCGGCGTAGAGGTCCTCGTCGTCGCGGAGGTCAGTGCGGTCGAGGAGGTTGGCGATGAGGGAGCGGACGAAAGTGCGGAGGTTGTCGGTGGTGAGGGTGGTAGGGAGCTCGACGGCGGCTGATTCTTCCTCGGCTGCTGCGTAGATGGCGTCGATCTCGTCTTTGTAGTCCTTGTTCACGGCGTGGCGCTTCGTGGTGCCCTTGGGGGTCAGTTGGAAGGGCTTCTTGGGGTCAGAGAGACGGATCCTGGTCTTTGCGATGCGGCCGTATTTGGGGACGGCTTCGTTCGCGCGCTCCACGGTGGGCCAAATGCTCTCGATAAAGGCTTTTTCGTCGATGTTCTCGCCCTCGAGAGCCGAGTTGGGTTCGATGATGAGGGCCGTGTCGAAGCGGGCTTGGCCGATGAGCAGAGCCCGCTGCACGCGCGGGTGCCCCTCGACGATCTTCTCCAGGGTGACGGGGTTCAGTTTCTCGCCGTTGCTGAGAACGATCACGTCGTCAAGTCGGCCGTGGTATTTCCACAGGTGAGGGTGCTCGGGGTGTCGGGTGAAGAGGTCGTTGGAGCGGTACTCGGTGCGGTCTGGGAAGGTGTGGAAGATGCCATGAATTCGGCGACTGTTTGCGCGGCGGGGGATGATAAGCTCATACATATCGTCGCTGACATGTCGCATGTCTACTCCGTAGGCGGGGTTCCAGTCGAAGTAGCCCCACACATTTGTGCCTTGGGGCACGAACGAGGAGATCAGGCCCATTTCGCTGGATCCGATGACAGTGATGATCTTGGTCAGCTGGGACAGATCATCGCCGACTTCCGGGGAGAGAGGGGCGCCAGCGAAGTAGACATTTTCGAGGGTGCTGAGTGCGGCGCGGGCAGCTGGGACGTGGGACATGTCTTCGAGAAGGGAAGGGGGCAGCATGGCGGCCGCGGGCTTGGTGGCGGTGATGACGGAGGTGAGGAGGTCGGCGGAGAGAGGCTTGTCGGGGAGAACGACAAAGGGGATGTGGTGGAAGAGGGATTCGGCGAAGGCGAGCAGACCCATAAGGTGGAAGAAGGGGGTGGTGGAGAGGACGAGGGTGTCGGGCTGGAGGTCGTTGAACATGGTGGATTGGCGGGATTGGGGACGCGAAATGTATGCGCCGTAGTCGAGGGTGGCGAGGAAGCCGTGCGTCAGGGGGACGGGTTTAGGCATGCCTACAACTGTTAGAGGTGTTGGGATTAGGGTTAAGGGGAAAGGTACCTGTTGTGCCGGAGCTGTGGATGATGATGGCGACATCGTCCTCCGCTTCCTGGTAGGTCTTGGTGTAGGGGTAGGGCTGAGCAGTGGTGCTGAAAAGCTCTGCGATAGAGGGCACCTCATGGAAGGCAGTATCCGGACGGAAGGCCTGAATTTCAGACACGCGGCGCTGCTTTTCGGGGGTGTAGAAGAAGGCGTGGCAGTCGGTGGCGTTGAGGATGTGCTGGTAGGCGTCGTCGGAAAGACGAGTAGAGGGGAGGAGGGGCTGTCCCGTTAGACAATGAATGTAATATACAACAGATGAGACATACCTTGTATCCCGTCTTATGAGCGGCCAAGAGGAAAATCAAGTATCGCACATCATTGCTAGCCATGTAAGCAATGGTCTCTGGCTTCTGGGCGCGTCCGATCTGCTTCTCAATCCACCAAGCAAAGACATTCACCGCGCGGGCCAGACGCTGGACGGTCACAGTATCATAGCCATCAGAGACATCAGCACCCTTGGGGATGAGACCGATGCGCTGAGCTGGGTTGGTCTGGGCGAGGTGGTCGACGACCACAGGGAAGAGACGTTGTCCGGGGGTGGTAGCCATGGTAGTAGTAGTCGTTGTAGTAAATAGTATTAGAGTTTAGGAAGTATGAATTGGAAATAGCAAGTCTATATGCGATGAGAACAATGGTGAGCAATGAAGAACAAACAGAACAAGAATGCGATGATGAGGATACAACCAGAAGTCGAGCGAATTTGCCAGGTATTTATATCCAGACGTCGTTTGGGTGCGCGATTTCAAAGCAGAAATTGACATGGTGGTGGCCAGGGGAGGGAGCCGTTTATCCAGGCAAACAATGACACTAGACTGACTTATGCCGGTGGAGCAGTGTCTGCATGTTTGCAGTGACGCGCCGATCAGTTCTAGAAAGGACCGACAGGGCTATATTAGCTACCAACATCAACTAGAAGACTCCAACTATAATCACTACAATTATACACCACCAACCGACCTATCAACAAAAGAAAGAGATACACAGAATACCAAAATCTCAACCTCATCTCATTATCAAGAACAAGAGCAAGAACCTTGGCAAACCCATCCATTTACCACGGACTCCATCCACCCCCAAAAGCTTAGCAAACCAAAGTTTCCGGTCCGTTCTGTGGCGGCGGGATCTCCGTCTCGGCGATGTTCTAGTACGTAGATAAGAGTGATAGCCTAATTCTGTTAGTTTCTAGTGTCTTGTGCTTCGGCTTACTTGCACTACGTACCCTGCATGATCCGGACCAAGGATGTGGTGCCGTCGTAGAGAATTGCCTCTTCCGGATTATGCAACCCCATCATACTATATCCCATGTATGACTTACCCACCATCGACATCATCCGCCACATACACTATGTAGCCGGCATTGGGCACAAGCAGTAAGCACGGCAGACCGAGCACTGTGTTATTCCCGAGCAAAGAGAAAACAAGAATCAGAATGAAACGGTGGAGTGGGGCAAAGGAGGACAAGATCCAACGTGTCTGAATCAGAGTATACTACTGCTTTGGGTAATTTTGGATCGTAAGTCGGATGTCGGCATTCTGAAAGGGGGAATATGCTCCTTGTCAACTGTGATTGGCCAGTTTGGTCAGTAGTACTAACCAAATTAAGTAACATGCAACGAGGGAATATTTGGTACTTCTCATAAACATGTTTGAGGACGAAGAAAGTGAGACAAGAAGCATTAATGATGATATTGTGCAGAATTCGAGGTATATTGCATGTGTGCCTGGTCATACGGACGTTGAGATGCATATCGGTGTGAATGTGGTAGTACCATCTACTCTCTCTACCTACAACGTCGGATCAGTTTTTCGTAACATGTAGAGCGTCATGTACAGTGGTTCCTGCTGAAAATTTATCCCTCTTGGTAAAAATGCTTGCGCAGCACTTCATGGCAACTGTTGGCTGACAGGAATATCTGATCCGTGGTTGAAGTTCGGATATAGATTAATCGACGGTGGATACTATTACCACCTCTCCCTCCTGAACCAGAATCACAATGCAGCCAAGTGGCAGCATATCTACCAGTAGATAATCTAGCCCCTGCCCCATTCCAGTCGGGATAATAATAATATTCAATATAACTATACTAATCCCTAGTAGTACATACACAAAATCCCTCACACCCATACCCAACCCCAGTACTCTGCCACTACCCAAACACCTTCCACTCCACCAACCGCACCATCTCCCCCGTCTTAGGCGTGAACACCAACCTCAACGCCTCCGTCGTCACCTCATCCCAGCTCACCGTCGTTATTCCATTCGCCACCGCCGAGCTATAATTCCCATTGCTCACCTCCTTCCACTCCCCGGTCGTCGAATCGCTCGTTTCCACCCGATAGCTCCCCGGCACATCATACCCCTGCGTACTATTCGCAAAGAACGCAATCTCCGCACTTGCTGTGCTGGTCGCATTCTCAAATTCCACCTGGTACCACACCTCCGTCCCATTCCCAACGGGACTATCCCACCCATTGGCTACGTCCTCGATCCAATAGAACCAGACCCGGCCGTCGATGGCTGAGTGCACGGCGTCCGTGTCGGCGTCTGCCACAGATACACTACCCCGCGGATACTCGCTATCAGCGGCGAGTTGCACCGAGACGGCGATGGGACGGGAGACTGCCGGGGCGGAAGCGGAGCTTAACTCAACCGTGAGACGGGTGAGGGTCTTGCTGGTGGCCACGGTTTCGCCGTCGACTTCGACGAGAAGGCCCACGGTGCCGTATCGACTGCCTGTGGCGTCCCATTGCACGGCGACCTCGTGGCCGTGGTAGATGATGCGCTCGGAGCGGAAGTAGCTCACTGCCGAAGCGTCCGCTTGGGGGTTAACTTCCAGGACATTGTCCGCGCGAGGTCGGATGCCCACGTAGCCCGAGAGAATGAGGTCGACGAAGCCCGAGTGGAAGTAGTGCGGGGAGCGGGGCAGGCCGACGATAGGGCTGCCCGTGTCAGAGTAGTAGTCCTCTTCGATGTCAAGGACACCGCCGCGGGCGGGGTTGTAGTGTAGCTTGGCGTACTGGAGGAGGATGTTGGTGTAGTCTGTGGTGGTGATGACGCCTGTTGCGGCGGTTTTGGGGTAGTGGTCCAGGAGGTTGGCGAGGCCGGTGAGGACTTGCGTGGTTTGATAGGGCCAGGCGGGGCCGTTCCACTGGCACTCCGGGTTGGAGCCGTCATAGCGGTACTGGACCATGTAGTATTGGTAGCTGGGTTCGTTGGTGCGAAGGCCGTGCTCGCCTGCTAGCTGTGAGGAGTTGAGGATGTGAGTCCATGCGTTGGCGTAGGTGGTGTTGTCGTCCGGGAGGTCATGTGTCCAAGGGACGTAGCCGACAAGTTCGCGGCCGCGGATGAAGTCCCAGTAGGTCACGTAGTCGTTGTCTTCCTTGTACCGGTCGATGAAGTGCTCGAAGGTGCTGTTCCAGAGGTCGTCCTGGAGACGGGTCTTGAGGGCGCTTGCGAGCTGGGTGTATTGCTCGCGGACGGTAGTGTCGCCGGTGAGGTTGGCAATGTGGGCAATAGCCAGGGCATTAGCATATTGGTAGCTGTTGATGCTGGGACGGAAGGCATATCCGCCGGTGAAGCCGTCTTCCCCCCCGGAGGCGTCGATGCTGGCGATGGTGTATTCGGTCGCATCAGTCAGAGGCTGGATCCAGTAGAGGCCCTTGGAGGTGTCGTAGCCACCGACACCGAGAGAGGTGGAGTTCCAGCCGGCGTAGACGGTCTGCATGGAGGACAGCAGGGGAGTGGCATCGTCAGCGACGCCGTTGACCAGGTAGGCCTGCCAGACGCCGTCGGCCATGGATTCGGAGAATTGGTAGGGGGCGCCATGGGGGCCGAAGAGAAAAGACGAGTAGTCGCTGGTGAAGCGACGGTCGCGGCACCAGCGGCCTTCGCGCAGATGGAAGTTGGAGGCATCAATCAGCAGGGCATAAGGTTCTTCCTGCCAGCTGACGTCGTTGAGGAACTCGGTGGAGATATAGCCGTAGGAGCCAAGGTCACGCTGGTGAGCCCGGAAAATGCTCCAGCGGTAATAGTAGACATCTTGAATGTCGGAGAGATCTGTCTCGAAGAGGGGAATGCGATCGCTATACCAAGGAGCATCGTTGCCAAAGTATTTGCTCAGGATAGAGTCGGCATCAAGGGCAGACGCGCCAAGGACGCCTGCCAGGGCGAAAACCTGCAGAGACCGCATGATGGATGTGCATCATGGTGAAGGCAGGTAGAGAAATCGCTTTACTCTTATTTGAGTGTAGAATCATGGCGCATTCTCTCAAGGGACAATCTCCGGTGGAGGAGAGGGGAAGCTATTAACCGCATGGGATTCGGAGGGCTTGAAATTTACCGATTGGCGGGTTCCGACGATCAGGGGAGAATGTCTTGCAAACCACGCTATTAAGCTTAGCAACTCCCCCCTGCGGGGGTGGCTCGGACGTGCAGTTCTTCAGACTCGATACGAGGCATTTCTGCATCTGCAAGTCATCAGGCCACTGCCGTTCTGGGGGGAATGGTGGCATGATAACTTAGGATGCATGATTAAGCAGGACGGACATGGGATACGGTTCAGGATAGGGGCTCATGTGTTTTTTCCGGAAAGTATTGCAACATTCTATCGAAGAGCTCTAGCTTCGGTATCTGAAATCAACTAAAAAGAAAGTGAAGTTCCATTCAAACGAGGATGGAAATGGTGAGAGGGAAGAAGAAGAAAAAGAAGTTGAAGAAAAGGAATGCATCATCCGTGAATCGAACACGGGCCTCATCGATGGCAACGATGAATTCTACCACTAGACCAATGATGCTGGTACATGTTAAATGCTTCGTTATTTTACTACTTGTTTAACGTAGCCACTCCATAAACAATTTTACCTTTCCAAGACGACCGACAAATATCCGGATACTATACAATGGAGTGAGTTATTCGGCATACAATAAATCCGTCTCGCAATTTATCTCCAGACTCAAAATACATGGAAGCGAATGTCTGGGGGCAGCCTGGATGCCATTAAACTTGGGCCACGGTGGGTAGCACTCACAGTTCAGACGGTTGATATTAGAACTTGTTACCCGATGTGTAGTCCGGCCTGAGGTAGTGTTTTTTCCCAAACATTTCTATGATGTATTTCAGTATTCTCTCACTGACAGTACTAGTACATACTAGTTACATCACTATTCCATTTATGGAATGCTGGGTGAGACGTTATAACTGTATATCAGATTACTACCTTGTCAACACTCCTCAAGGACACATAATCCAAGTACAGAGCACACACCAATAGCCAGACACCTCTAAATGCTATCATAATCTCAAGCTTTCCACCCCAAGATATGCATTCCCAGGATAAGAGTACTAAAATAACCACATTACCAAAACTGAGATTAGTTAGGGATTTCTCCCTTCCACGCCCCCTCCAAACTCGACTTCTTCAACACCACCAACGCCAACGACCCCAAAGTTCCCGCCGACAACAACTCCAAAACCTGCAAATGCCCCTTCAGCTCCTTGCCAATCCAATTCCTCAGCTCAATTGCATTCAATGAATCCAGCCCAAACGACGCAATGGGAGTCGACTGCGTATGCGCTTCCACCACTTCTCGGGGAAGCATGAGAATGTCACCCAACTTATCACGTAGACCGACCGCCGTAACATCGAGGGCTTCCTGCAGGTTCGCGGCGCGGCGGACTTGCTGGGTGATAGAGAGAGATTTAGTTGCTCCGGCATGGGCCGTGGCATCAGCGCCTTCCTCCTGCTTCGCGGCCTCGACAAGGTGGGTGAAGCGGGCATCAGAAGCATAGTACGGAGTTGCGGCGGAGGAAGGCCAATGCACACCGGTGATGCATTGTTCCGGGACTTGCTGGCCCTTCATCGCGAGCTCGATCAGAGCTAGTACTTCAACTTCTCGCATTGTGTTGCTCATCGCCAGGTTCCTCAGCACTTCTGCCTTTTTCTTGTCTGCTGCTTCCGAGAATACCCCGATGTCGCCTACTGCCGTCAAGTCAATGGATACGGCGGATAGGCCCTTTTGGCGGCGGTAGCGTGCCAATGCATCCAGGAAGCAGTTTCCCGCTGCGTAGGCGGCTTGGCCGCGACTGCCGACGATGCCAGACACGGAGGAAAGCATGACAAAGAAGTCCAGTGGTTGGTGGAGAAGCGCGTAGTGGAGGTTCCAGGCTGCCGCGACCTTGGGACGGAGGACGGCTTCCCAATCTGGGAATGTCATTTGCTCCAGGAAAACGTCCTATTTGAGATGGCTGTTAGCATGATGCATGGGGTTTGAAACCGAGGATAATTGGGGCGGGAGGGGGGAAGAGGATGTATGTACCTTGAGGACCATGGCCGCGTGAATAACACCCCGGACTGGTGGTAGCTCTTTCTGTAGTTCTGCAATCAGTGACTTGACCTGAGAAACTTCGGACACATCGCATTTTTTGATTTGTATCGATGCATCCACGGCTTGCCCGTCGCTGATGATCTTCTGGGCGGCTTCCGTGACGGCGCCACTGCGAGAGAGCAGGACAATATGCCTAGCACCGCGCTGGACCATTCTGCGAGTGATCGATTGGCCAATACCGCCGGTGCCACCGACAACAATGTACGTAGCATCCGGTGAAAGTAGATCACTAGACGGTAGGGGATGCGTGGCCTTGATCTTCCCATTAATTCGATGATCCACTACGACCTTGCCCGTCGTCTTCCCACTCTGCAACTTGCGCAGCACCGATTCCACCTCCGCGATACCTACCGTCGTCACTGGATATACCGGGGTCAGTCTTCCCTGTGCGAACATCCTCATGACAGCGGTAAATACACGGTTGAGGACCTTGCCCTTCTGGTCCGCAACAAGCGTCAAGTCCAAGGAGGAAAACGTGCAGTTGTACTCGAACTTGCCCATCTCCAGCCGAGTATTAGAAGTAATATCCCGTTTTCCAATCTCAATGAACCGTCCAAACGGAGCCAGACAATCCCACGTCTCGCGCAGGAAATCGCCCGCCAGTGAGTTCAGAACCACGTCCACACCGCGTCCGCCCGTGGCTTCGCGGACACAAGGGCCAAACTCGGTGTTGCGACTATAGAAAATGCGACTCGCCGGGATACAGTACCGATCGATCAGCATCTGCTTCTTCTCCTCACTACCAACCGTGGCGTAGATCTCGGCTCCCATTAGCTGAGCCAGCTGAATGGCGGCTTGACCGACGCCTCCCGCCGCGGCGTGGATGAGGACACTTTCCCCATCTTCCATGTGAGCCAACTCGACAAGTCCATAGTAAGCCGTGCTGTAGGTGACGGGGATGGAAGCTGCCGTCTCAAAGTCCATTGAGTCTGGGATCACAGCCGCGCTAGTTGCCGGACACCGCGCGTAGGTGCTATACGCGCCGTGGGACATGGCGCATACGCGGTCTCCGGGCTTGAGGGAACTGACCTTGGCTCCGACGCGCGCCACCGTGCCACTGCACTCGATGCCCAAGTAAGGACTGGCGACCTGGCCCATGGCAATCACCACATCCTTGAAGTTGGCGCCTGTGCAGGCCACCTTGATCTCGATCTCGTCGGCGCCGAGCGGCTGGGCCGGATCATCGGTCCAGTAGAGGGAGTCCAGGGCGCCCAGGGTGCCGACGGCAATCTTGAGTCGGCGATCCGTTCCTTGTTCGAAGTCCTGAATGTACGGAAGAGATGGGTGTGTCTCTTGAAACACGGTATTGTTCAATTCTGAATGCTCAACTAGGCGAGGGACCATCAGGCGTCCACCGACTTCGGTGAACTCGTAATCGGATAGAGGCGCTTCCTCCTCGTCATCGGCGGCTGTCTGGACAGCGTTGGTGGACGCTTTGAAGGCATCAAGGATTAGATGAGCCCGACCTGCGATGTCTTGGCGAGAACTAGGATCCAGGTCGAGGCTGACAGCTGAGTTTCCGGTTTCTGAACGCACAGAACGCAGCAGACCTTGAACAATGTTGAGCTCGGGATGATCGACAGCCATGTATGCGCCGGAGGTAACCCAGAGGCAGTAGGAGCATGTGACGAGGAGGTCTTGGACATGTTTGAAGGATTCCGGGGTCAGTGACTGCAGAAGTGGAGTATCGAGCTCAGCCAGGCAGATGTATCGATCCTTGGATGAGATCTGGACGCGGGATAGGGGGGCGACCGTGGTTCTGTACCCCGTGAAGACTTCAATAGCTGTCAGGAGAGTGGCGACAAGTGGATCAGAGCTGGGCCTCTCAGTGATGATGATGACGGTTGGCTCGTCTTCTGATAACACATGGAGGCTTCCATTAGATGCATTGTGATTGCCATTTCCATGAACAACACCATTGTCATTCCCATGAACAACACCATTGCCGTTCGTATGCACAACACCATTGCCATTAGTCTCGCCATGCCCATTACTCGCTGGGACACTCTGGGCCGTGCCATTTGCTTCACCTGCAGAAGACAGTGGCTCCCACTGTACAGTGTAGCACCACGGATACGGGGTGGTGTCAATCAGCATATCGCTATTGACAGGGGTCATTCGGAACCCTTGGATAGTGAGGACGGGCTGCTCTGTGGACGCAGACGGAGACCATGCATCAAGGGTATAGTCCAATGGCCGAGGACGGGAGGAATCTGCCGGCAGTCCATTGACTAGGGCCTCCGCCGTTTCTCCCGGTTGCGATGGGAAATTGGCTGCGATATTGATCTCCCGGATAGAAGTCGGCATGAAGAGGCACGGAATGTTGGCAGAGTCCGCCCGTAAAACGGGAAAGGACAACTGGAAGAATAAATCCAAGAACGCAGGAGACACAATAAACGGGCTCTCGTGGCCTGAGGGCATGCTTTGCGCGGTGTTGGGGACTGTAACCTTTCCGCGCGCATACCAGCCGGCCCCCATGCCTGCTCTTCCAACGGTCACGCCGCTGTCTGAATCGAGCGTGAACGCGTCGCTGTATCCGGCTCCGCGGCCCTCTAGGTCTGTGTAGAAAGTCTTTAGTGATACAGGACGGTGGTCACCCTGTTTAGCTTCCTCACGCCGCTCCAGGCTAGCATGAAACGGCCGGCGTTGACTAACAGGGTTAGTAGTGGACGACTCCTGGCGCCGAATGCCCACGAGACCACGGCAATGCTCACGCCAACCCCGACCGGCCGCCCACGAGGCAATACGAAACTCGTCCCATTCGCTGGAGTAGGAGCGGGTGCCCTCCGTGAACGAGCTCAGAGAGAGCCAGGTTTCGTACTCGACGTTCTCCTCCAGGGTGAACGCCGAGGAAGCATGGAACTCACGGAGCCGGTACCCGGCAATCTGGGACGGGGAGAGGCCTCTGAGCTGAGCCCGTTGAGATGCCGCCTCGACGGCCATGCTGATGTAGCCGGCCATTGGGAAGGTGGTCATGGATTGCATACGATGACCGCGGAGCCATGGCACGCTGTCCAGAGACACGGAATTGCGCCAGACGGGCTGTTCATCCTCGCGGGTAGAGGCTTCCAATCGTCCCAGCAGGTCGTGACGAGGGAAGCGTGGCAGTCGGTGGTTGACGGCGATGCGGCTCTCATGCCAGTAGGAGCGATGAGACCAGGGATACGGCGTCAGGGACGGCAACACTGTTGGGACTGACTGGTCCAGGTGAGTTTGGTTAACCTCACGGAAAGCCAGCTGCTGGCCGGCCATGAACAACCGGCCCGCGAGCTGCAGAGCGGCCTTAGTGGCGTGCTCCTTGCGGACAAGGGAGGCAAAGTACTGAGTGTGCGTATTCTGGATGCCCTGCAGTATCTGCTTGATCGGGCCCTGCAACGCGGAATGCGGACCGATCTCAATGATGATATCGGGCCTGGACTCAGCGCACAGCTGGCCCAGCGCGGTAGAGAATCGGACCGGGTGTGTCAGGTTATCAACCCAATACGATGCCCCCAGAGCCCCGGGTTGCTCGATCTTTTCACCCAACAGCGAGGAGTAGTACTGGACATTTTCCTTCTTAGTGGATGGCGCAACCTGCTGGATGGCGCTGGTATACTCATCGGCGATCAGCTTCATGTGGGGAGAGTGATAGGCCACGTCGACCATAAGCTTCCGATGAAAGATCTGTCGCGCTTCCAGCTCCTTTGCGAGAAGGTCCATGGCAGTGGCATCTCCAGACGCCGTGGTGGACCGGGGTGAATTCTCACAAGCGACAGTGATGTCCTCTCCTAGCTGAAGTTGCTTGATGGTTTTGCGCACCTCATCGGCACTCTCTCCGACGGCCATCATGCAACCATTCAACGTTGGGAATCGGACTCGAACCTGGGCAGCGAGTCGACCCCGATGATATGCCAGGGCAATGGCCTCGCCCACGGAAATAGCACCCACCGCATAGGCCGCCCCAATCTCTCCGCTGGAGTGGCCGACAACCATTTGCGGTTGTACGCCCCAGGAAGCCAGAAGATCCGTCAAGGCAAGCTGCACGGCGGTGCAAACCACTTGAGAGATCTGGGGCTGACTGACGCGAGAGTCAGCTGCCTCACGCTTCAGCTCTTCGAACAGGGAGAAATCCGCTCCCAGATCCTCCAGTGCGCGTGCTGCTTCCTCCATGGTGGCAGCAAAAATAGGGTGGGTGTCGCTAAGTTCCAATCCCATGCGGGGCCATTGTGCGCCCTGTCCAGTGTACGCAAAGGCAATAACAGGAGCAGAGCCAGCCTCCAGCCGGGCGCGCTGAGGGACACTCGCTGGCCCATTCAGGGTCTCGACAAGTTCCGCGGTAGATGAAGCGGTGACAGCAACGCGCCAGGGAAAGTGAGAGCGTCGCTCGCCAAGTGTATATGCGATATCATGCACCAGGCGTCGTTCGAAGACACCGGGATGTTGTTCCAGGTAGAACGTGAGGTTCCTGGCAATGCGTTTCGCAGCCTCGTCATCATAGCCGCTGAGTACAAAGAGCTGGGGCGCATCGTGTTGGGGGTTGGGAGGCTGGCCGCGCGAACGGGGAGGCCGTTCCAATACGACGTGGCAGTTGGAGCCACCGAAGCTGAAGTTGTTGATACTGATGTACTTCTTGCCCTGGGGCCAGGGGCGCAGATTGGTCGGCACCTTGATATTCCATTGGTCGAGAGGGATGGCGGGATTGGCGCGCTCAAAGTTGGCATTGGGAAGAACGAAGCCACGGTGGAGCATCAGAGACGCTTTGATCACGGACGCAATACCGCTGGCGCACTCGAGATGTCCGAAGTTGGATTTGACGGAGCCTAGGTATAGCGGTGCCCGCTTGGTCCGGCCATCCCCAAACACCCGATGGATGGCGCCGACTTCGATGGGATCGCCAACCTTGGTTCCGGTGCCGTGCGCCTCAACGAATCCGGTATCAATCGGGGAGAGGTCGGCGCGGGCGTAGACTTCTCGCATGAGTTCTTCTTGAGCGTCTCCGTTGGGGTTCGTCATGCCTGCCGAAGTTTAGCTTTAGCTTGTCACCGCGGAAGAATACGCGAGCTGGCTTTTTGCTTTCTGAAAGGGTGGTGGACGCACCGACAGTTCGACCATCATGATTTGCCCCTGTGTTCCTAATAACTGAATAGATCGGATCGTTGTCTTCCAGGGCCTGGTCTAATGGCTTGAGGACAAGACAGCCCACTCCCTCACCGCAGGCAAAGCCCGAAACGGCACGATCATCAAATGCAAAGGTTTTTCCTTGCTCGTTGTATAAACTGTAAGGATGTTCGAGCTTTCGTTAGCATCTATCGTATAGCGTTAAGGGACCTATATAGAGTGGTCGTTACCCCATCATCGACATTGAAACCATCTCATCTGGCTGCAAACGCAGTCTAGCTCCACCAACCAGGGCTGAATCCGCATCGCCAGAACGAATACTCTGCACCGCCAGATGCAGGGCATAGAGACTGGACGAACAGGCCGTATCGATCGCCATACATGGGCCACGGAGGTTGAAGAAATGGGAAAGGCGACCCGCTTGGATAGATTCCTGATTCCCCGTGGCGTCAAAAATGGGAACGGAGTCCAGGTCGCGAAAAGCACCACGACGGTAGTCTGATGAACAAAGGCTCGTGAAGACCCCCATGCGCGAGCCTGCCGTGGCTTGTTGGGGAAAACCGGCGTTTTCCAGGGCTTCATAGGCACATTCGAGTAGTAGTCGCTGTTGGGGATCTACGGTGATTGTCAATTATCTGGTACTGCTCAGGGACAGATGGGGCTCGTTACCCATGGCAATGGCTTCTTGTTGCGTTATGTGGAAGAACGGAGCGTCAAACTGAGAGAAATCCTCCTGAAGGTAATAACCCCCTTTGGGGTTGAAACAGCCCTTTCGCTGGGGATCTGGGTGGTAGTAGGCCGCACTGGACATGCGATCAGAAGGGATAGGGCCCCAAGCATCCCTACCGCGAGATATGAGAGTCCAGAAGTCATCAAGCGTACGAACCTGGCCTGGAAGGCGACAGGACATGCCTACAATTGCAATCGGCGCCTGCGAACTGTTCGTGATAGTCATTATGGCGGCTGTATCTGAGGTTACTAGGCCTGGGAAGTAAGAAGAGGGAAAAGAGGAGATTTAAGGAAAGAAGGGTTTGGTCGAAAGGACCCAACTCTAGAGGGGTTCTCGCTATTTATATGTTACCTTCAGCCATTCTAGCAAAGAACATCATTTACACTGCTTGACTGGTCCTTCCTACCATATCATGGTGTTGGTTATCTTTCCTTTTCTTTTCTTTTTCTTCCCTGCAGATTTTGGTCCAAGGTCAGCATGTGCACGATGCCATCCCCCGTCATCCTAGTCCCACTTGCTGTTTGGGGCCACGCTGACATCGGCGATCATGCCCACAAGCCATGGAAATGGGCATATTGAGAAGGCCCTGCTGCGATCAGCAGAGACTAGGAGAAGAAAAATATTGTCTTTGGTAACGATCGGGGACCCACATGCGGAAGCTCGGTTATGCATGTTCTGACTAGTTTGTGAGCTGTCTTTAGATCTACATTTGGGACTGAAAAGAAGAATAAATTGGAATTAAAAGCCACGGGGTGTATAGACTGGGGATTAGTGCTGGTGCTGTATTCCTCCACCCGCATCTAGTAGATATGTGGCTCGGCTGGATCGGGATCAATATGAGGCCTTGGACTCATATTTCAATGGGCTCGTGCGTCATGCAGCTGCATAACCTGACCTGAAAATACGGTTATTTGCGGCTGGATAACACAAAAATCTCCCATTAGTTACTTTACCTTGACACTTTTACTTTTAATTTACTTTATTCAATTTTATTGTAGTTTAATCCATTGATCAATTAAAATATTATTACCTTTTCTCGATTAATTCGGAGGTTTAGGATGTATCAATTAGAGTCGATAAAGCAGATAGAGTCGTGGGCATGATTCGATTTCGAAGTTCTCCTAGGGTGGTATTATTTTTCCCCCTTCTTTTTCTCCTATGTCTTTGATTCATCAATTGCCTATTATGGCCATTGTGATATCGCTTGTTCGAGACAACCTTTAGTCCGCAAAGCGTGAAAGTCAAGTGCAGACTACGCCAAGGCAGATTGGAAGCAGACCTGAAAAAGCGGTCAATGCAATGCCGATCGGGTTCAATAGTTAATCGGATTGTTTGTTGGGAGTGATCGTTCCAGAACCACACATGGTGTTCAATTGTTGCAACCATCCAGCGCCGAGTCCAATATGTAAACACTAGCTTCCCTCTTTTTTGGTTCTTTTTTTTTTTTTTTTTTTTTTTTTTTTTTTTTTTTTTTTTTTTTTTTTTTTTTTTTTTTTTTCTCCCCCTTTCTTAATTCACCAAATAACCGCCCATCGGCCCAGCATTCATTTTTGGTTTCAGGCTCGATTATATGAATCACATTATCCCAAGTTGGATTATTCAACATGTCAGTTATGGACTGGGTGAGAAAGCTTCGGGGAACGTACTTTGTACAGTCGCATTGTTTTTGCTTTTTAGGAAATATTCCTTTTGCTGCGATCGGTAGCCCTCGCCAATCACGGAGTATTTATTCCGTACTCCGTACTATCAATAAAGATGTCCCGAACTCCTATTCTGTGGATTCTATAGACCCACGGGCATGATTGATCTGCGGTGGGTGACATGGTTTATCGAGTCGTGCCAGGGAAAGGAAAAGAAACAGAAACAAGGCACGGTGAGATGGAGAATTTATAGATTCTAGATAATGACAGAGACATGTCACTACTAGGACTACGAGTGTAGTGCATCATCTTTGCAAGCCCCCAACTCCAATAATTGAAATGGTAGTAGCGGTATATATAGCTCACAAGTAGCACCTCCCCGCGGCGACCTTTCCCATTCTCCCGTCATTGCAACTTTCCACACTCCTGGTCCAAATCACCCTTCAGAGCTAGACTACCAGCATGACAATCCTCTGTCTACATGGCGGCTTCGGCAGCGCCCAAAACTTCCAAGTGCAACTCCATCCCCTAGTTAGTACCTACCAATCATTATACCCCGATACCACCTTCCACTACATCAATGGCGGTCATCCCGCCACGCCTCCACCAGGAAGCGAGGATTACTTCGGCCCACCGCCTCATTACCGATTCATCGAATACGATGGGATTGGGCGGTCCGACGATGTGATGGAGCGGATTCGTCAGCTCCCGAGGGGAGCCACGGCCGAAGATACCATGCGGGTGTTGACCCACGAACATGAGATGATGTCTGCCGATTGTGTGAGAGAGGCGTTGCAGAGACTGTTGGGGATATTGGATGAACATCCGGAAATTGACGTATGTTGGGACCCTCCCTTTCCCCTTCACCGCTTTGGAGGCAACATGGCTGCCAAATACTGATATCTGAACCAGGGGGTCTTGGGCTTCTCGGAGGGCGCTACAGTCGCTGCTACTTTGTTGCTTGAAGAGGAGCGACTTGTTCAGGAGGAGGGTAGGAAGAGACAGCTTAAGGTATGAATATGATATATAGACGTACACAATCACTACCACATCACGCTAACGCATCATCTGCTGGTTTCAGTACGGGGTCTTCATAGCAGGCTGGCCTCCCCTTCGTATTGACGGCGATCGAGTAACAGGCTGTCTGGCGGATGAGACAGAGGATATGATCGAAGTGCCAACGTGTCATATCATCGGGGCGAATGACCCCTACGTGGATGGCACCATGGCGCTGTATGGGGTTTGTGATCCCGATACGGCCATCATGTTTGATCATGGCAAGGGCCATACCATTCCGCGGGACGTGGCGACGATGAAGGAGGCGGCAGAGGTGATTGAGCAGACCAGGAGACGGGGGATTGCTGCCGGGGATGCGTAGGGTTGTATTATACTATTGACTTGACTGTGATCGTTCGTTGCATCTTAGATAGATTGCCCTAACTGTTCACATTCCTTCTACTAACGTTTCCATGCTCCGATTTTTACTCAAGTACAAGGCGAGGAAAGGCTCTTTTTTTCTTTTCTTTTCTTTTCTTTTTTATTATTTAATCAATTACTTATTTTTCTTTATTATTTACTTTTTTCATGTCCAAATCTTTCATCTGCAACTTAACAATCGATATGTAAGATGTAAACGCACTACCCAGTACAGAGTAGACCTGAAAGCCTAGATCGCGGCCACCAAGAAGCAGATGGACAGATATGTCCCATCAGTAGTTGATAGGGTCCTGTAACAGAGCAAATGAAATAGCTAGAAAGGATCAGGAATGTGATGTAGAGGGGGTGTGGGATGTGGGTCAATGTGTCTATCCTGCATCATGCTGCAATGTCTGCAGTTATATATTGGTCTGCTAGTTTAATATATAGTATATCATATTAGGCTACTAGAAGGCGTGCTTGTCCGCCCGCTCTCTGCTACCGCTGCTAATTTTAACCTTACCCACTTGAAATATCAATCCGATGCGTCTCTTTATCTGGTTCTTTCAGTTGTTATAAGTTTCGATTTCTTCGAGCTATGATCTTGAATTTTTGATCCACTATATCTGTCCGCTACAGTGTATTATTTATCTTCACTTGACTTATTTCATCTTGAGATTGTATGTTTCCGCCTAAAAGTGTATTTGGTATCTTGGTACTCAATTTCTTTTCTTTTTCTTTGTTCTTTCTTTCTTTCTTTTTCTTCCTCCCTACTTTTCATTTTCCCGAACCAATTCTGTAATACATGAACCCTATTCTTCCTAATTTGTTTTTCTTTTCCTTTCTTTCTTTTTTTTTTTCCTTTCCGCGCCGGGAGGATCTCCGATAAGAATAGCCTCAAAAATAAGACCCAATGAATTAAATCGATCCATCCCGGTAATCTTACACCCAGAATAAACATAGACTGCACGATTCTCTGACCTGTATTCCTACTGGCTGTCAGAAATCAGATAAGAATTCCAAAGAAAGCATAAATAAGACATATGGCAGTGCCCAACCATTCAATCAATGTATACATATAATATATGGTAACATTGAAATATATAAATATATAATTGAGCTGGGAATAGCGTCAAGATTTCAAATATGCGAGTTAATCCTATGGATGATTAGACATGACAGTAGGCCTATGCATGTTGGATGTTGGGATTTTCGGACAATAATTATTCGACTCTGCTGATCGGCGCGGGGATACCGATACTAGTGAATAGTGCAGACAATGTAGATCAATAAACAAACATGACCAAATCAGACTCTGCAACGGTAAAGGAGGAGTCGGGAAACGGAGAATATCATGCCAGCAGACATTGGCAACATGCTTCGGGAGAGACTATTCAGACAACACGAGAAAGACCTATCTTCTTATTGATTTGATGTGCTTGATATCTCATCGTAGATTTCATAACCTCATGCCGAAAATACTCGTAACTCATATCACATCTGCACGTAAATTGTGTCTAAGATAGACAAATAAATCAAACCTTCCCGTCAACAAAGGTCGACATTCGTTGTCTTTCCTCCCCCACCACCCTCTTCTTCGGATAATAATGCCAACAGGCCCAGATAAACATTGTGATCAGAGTCAAAGGGACAGTAATGGCCCAATAGATCCAGAATGAACTGGTCATGACTTCCTTTCCATTATTGTAATCAAAGAAATTCGTTCCGAATAAGCCCTACACTCCTTAGCATTGAGGGATTTAATGAACCTTCAAGCATGTGACATACCGATACAAATGTCCCCGGTAGGTATACCATACTAACGATCGCAACCGTCCGCATCATGGCACTGTCGGACTTGGCGTCGTGGCCGAATCGTTGGGAGACAAGATTGAATCCCTACCAGTGTTAGATATAAGCATGAAACGGAGGTAGGCAGAGAGCACACCAAGTTAATCTCGTTGTGTAACCGCTCCGAGAGCGATCGACTTCGGATCTTCAGCGAGTGAAAGTTCTTGGCTCGTCGAAGTAGGTTTCGTTTGGTCTGGAGCCATTCGCCCTTGTTGACATTGGGGTACAGCTCGTAGGAGCGCGCCTGCTCCTCCACCAAGCATTGCATGGTATGTTCTGCGACCTCGAGGGTCTCATTCGAGTGAAAGACATGCCGTGCAATATCGTGCAAGTGAGGGAAGAAGTCGGGGGTCAGACTGTTTACATCAACTCTTGACTAGGTTTGGTTCAGTATACTGTATGCTAGTATGCATGGGAATAAGGATACCTTCTCAGTGGTCCGGACTAAATCTCGAAGCGCCCAGAAAGAATTATCATAAACACCGATCATGGTGGTCGCAATCACAGCGTGCCAAACATAAGGGTTGCTGTCTGCCTGAGTCGTGGGTAGGATGGCAACCAGGTCACTGGGCGGTTCTGGATGATCGACAATGAAGACCACCTGTATTTGGGTTTCCGGATACCAGGTCACAAAGGCGGTAGTTTGGATCCATTCATACGTATGAGGATCGCGGACGTGTTTTATCTTATAACAAGCCCACGAGACTAAGCGACTTGTTAACAATGCTCACCTGGTTCCCGGTGGGTACATACCATGCTTGATAGGCTTGTCATTCTCATCCAAAATGTCATCACAGAACAGGGACCCGTTGATGTCCTTGCTAATAACAGGCTGAAATTCATCCGTAAAGAGGCGTAGATACTTCGTCTCATTCAACGTTTGGCGTTTTGAGAATCTACACAGATTAACGAAAACTCATGTCGACAATGAGGGCACACCCTACATAAGCAACGAGTTTTTCGGGTGCTGCTATCGTCAATGCCGGTCATCAGGGGCACAGCGGGACCCATACCTCGAGGTCCAAGTCTAGTAAGGACGCCCCAGTTTCCATCCATGGTCCGGTTCCTGAGCTTATCAGCGCTATGGCCACGGCTAGCCGACACGAACCCACCTCGCTCATAGATGGTAATGCCGTCGGGCATTGTACTCGTGGAGCTAGTGCGAAGCTTCTCCATTAATCGTGTCAGACGGGCCGGAAAGATGGCCCATATACTAGCATAATTGGCGACCGTCCGACTAACAAGTTGGCTGCAGCTGACGGCCGACGGAGGATTTATAGCTGGCGATCGACGAGGCTGGATTTAGTGGCGTTATTAGCCGCCGCGGTGGGCACGTAATCACATCTGTCAAACCATGATGCCCAACCGCTGTGGTGAGGCTTGTGGGAGAAATCTTTGAGTCGCACTGCAGTCTAGTTGAAGCCACAGACATTGATAGGATGGAAGTTGCAGTGCTGTTTTGCACAGCCCATGTATCTACAGGGGAGGAGAGGGAAACCATCAACCGGCTTTTTGTCTGCCCGGCGGCCCAAGCGGCAGTCAGCAGGCCACGTGATTAGACTAAGTTGCACAGGAGGCCTGGCCTGGTGTCGCGAGCTGGCATTGATGGACAGCGTCGGGGGGGCCTGTCGTCTTCCTATTTTACGCTTTGTCGGAGACTGCATCAACCTGCAGGTTCTATGGGTATTATATTCTATCACGGATAAGAACCAATTCCGTCGTCCCCCAGTCGTCCCTCAGACGAGCAGCATCATCAGGCTGGCAGACTGCCTGTCACACATCTAAGCCACGCTGAGACCATCGCCGTAAGCGTAATGTCACTCAGTAGCAATCCACCCCTGCAAAAATCCCCTGAGGGTCTAGCGCCGTGAGTCCAACAAAAAGGCAGTGCCAGTTCTGGATGCCTAGCCTGTCCTACGGCATCAACCCTGGTTCTACGCCTCCTCACTGTCATCCAGGAGGTCAACACTGTCGCGCACGCCAAATGTTGGCGGTGCGACCAGGGTGGTAAACAGCGAGTCTGTTTCACTGGGCAGTGCCAGCCTCTTCGTCTGTGCGGTCGTGCGGAGCGTGCCCAAGACGGTCCGGCTCGACTCCCATCGTCGCGAAAATGCCTTGGCCGCGATACTGAGGGTGATAAATGCCTCACGGTTGTTGGGCTCCTCCAAGTCATCTAGTAATGTGAACAAGGCCTCGGTGATACACTGGATGTTGCTGACGGGCATGCGGTCGAGACCCCAGCAAGAACGGTGGATCCGCATCAGGTGGGCAATATTACGTGCCGACGAAAAACACATCTCACGGGCGCGCGCAGGCGAGATCGTTGGGGCGGGCAAGGTGGAATATTCCTTCAGGGGCTCGTAGATTCTCATAATGATCGCATGGTGATACATACTATTCCGGTTACTGGGGTTCTCATAATTCGATCATCCAGACTTACTGTAGACAGAGGATATGTGGAGCCTCAAGTTTAGTCTTCAAGCACGTGGGCCATCGATCGGAGCAGACGCGAAGACGCTCATGAAGATCGGCCACTTTCGTTTCTGTCTCCGCCCGTGGGCGCGATGGCGCCTCTCGGTGGAAGAAGGTCGCTACATCGTACGCAATCAGACTCAAGCCACAAAGCGCGCTGAACAGACAGACCGAATGCCCCTCCGTTCCTTCGGTGTGGTCCGGATACGGTCGCCATTCGTCCGAGTCGCCCTCATGGCTGACGAAGGGCAAACTGTGGCGCTGCGGCGGCTTAATCAAGGGGCGGCTCTTGTCGGCCAAGGTGTGACTCCTGATCACGGGTTAGTTGCACGATTCGCCTGGAAGGGTTGCGCAAAAGCTTACGTGGCCACATTAAACAAACCCCAGACGGTTCCGTTGACAACTCGAACCATGCGGAGCGTATCCTCATCGGCATCTGACGCTAGAACGGAGTTCTTTTGCGAGAGTTCCTGGATGGCATAGGCAAGTTGGCCGCGGTGAATCCACCCTTGTCGGTCTCGCCCAGTCATCGAAGCACTACACAGTCAGTATCATAGGACTCTTTTATAATGTCACGAAGCATACCATGCCCACAATACGCCTAGTCCCTGGACAGTCGGAAGCGTAATCCGCCCCTCTTCCTTGTCCAGTAAACGCTTGGCCTCCTCGTAGAAGCGGGCTCCTTTCGAAGCCGCGTCTCCCGGTCTCGCATATGCTTCTGGGTAATCCGAATATGCCTGGGGGCGGTTAGATGAGCCTAGCAAGTATATCGAGAAACGTACGCAAGCATCCGCCAGAATTATGTTGACCAAGAACGGTGAGCAAAATCGAGCCGACAGCGATCCTGCCTGCATGTCCCGCACAAACAACTCCTTATCGATCCAGTTTCGAAAGGGATGCGACCAGGTGAACCAGAGCGAGATAAGATGGGAGACGAAATCATTATCGGAGACGACGGTGGTCCACGGTCGAGCGGGGACCTGAAAGCGAGGGATGTCGGATAACCGTTTGGCGTCGAGAATCCGCCGCATGGACCGCGCCTCAGACGGTTGGAGTTGCTTCACCTCCTGGCATACTTCGACTAGTTCCGGAGTCTGGGCCAGGTCCAAACGAGGCAGCTGGTGGTTGATGTAATAGCGGATCTCGTCCAACGAGGCGTCACTGCGGATGAGGTTGATCAAGGGAACGGCGCGACGGTTGCCACTCTCGCGGAGAACGCTGACGAGCCGGACGAGCAGGTCCTCCTGGTCGGCGAGCTGATCGATTTTGCGTTTGAGGGCGCCGCGACGACGCTTATCGGCGCTCCGGTCGAGGGTACATTCAACTTTGCTCTTGACGCAGTTCGCACAGGGCACGGAACCTGTGCACTGGGGACATCAGTATGTTGGGGAGTGATTGCACATCATGCGCCATGTGCCAAAATACCTTGAGCTTTCGAGTCTTGCAGGCGGCACAGGCGGTGCCTACATTTTTCCTGCGTTGTTGGGCATCGAGAGCGGCGTTGGCACCCGGCGGGGCGGGAGCCAAAGGGCGCGACTTAGTATCGGCCATGGTGCTCACCCATGGTGGAGGGATGGGGGTGAGGGAGGGGAGGACGAACAAGGGGTGATAAAAGAGAGGGGAATAGGCAGAAGGGAGGGGGGGAAGGAGAGTGGGAGGAGAGAGAGAGGAAGAGAGGGGGGAAGGACTAAGAGGAGAGAGCCTGACGAAGGGGCGAGGGAAAAGCTAGGAGCTGAAGCATGGGAACCATGATTGAACTTGGAAGGAGAGGAACTACTTGGTTCCTACTAACTCCTACTTGCTAATACAGTAGTAGATACCATACCAGGCTGGGTCAATGCCAGTTGCTGGGCTGGAACTTTTTCGAGGGTAAAAAAAAAAAAGAGGGCAGGGAAGAGAAGAAGAAGAAGCGTGACTGGTTGGAAGTCACTTCCAGCTCCAGCTGTTCTGGTGTTACCAGTGCTGATTGGGTGCCGGGTATGCACCGACCTTTCCCCGCCCGGAATTACCGTATCAAGACACTGATTGGCGCGGCTCACCAGGTACCATCCACTGCTTTACTGGTAATCCAGTGGTATTTCCATCCACTTGAGTACACTCACACTCTTCACTTAACTATCTCGTTACTACTTACAGTACGGAGTACTAATTAAGTAGTAGTCCACCACCACTTGCTATCTACTACTTACTGACTAGCACTAACTAGTCCCTCTGATCAGCTCTCCCCCTACCCCACCCCAACCCATCTGCCATCTGCCATCTCGGTTCTCCCCTCCACTCATCTCCCCTACATTCTTCTCCAAGCGTCATCACCATTCCCGCTCACCATCCGCACGGTGGCTTGAGTGCCTCCCGAAGGCAAGAGGAGAACCATTCCATTCTAGCACAGACTGCTCCTCCCGCATCACCTTCCGCCAGCCTGTGCGACCGGAATTCAATTCCTTCGGGTAAGCCGTCCACTACGTACCCTGGTCTATAACATCTTCCTGCTAACTCTGACATGGTTCCAGCAGACCGTCAATCAAACAGTCAAACTCCCAACTCCCAATTCCCAGTTGCCAGTTCCCAACCCCAACCCCCTCCGGGCCACGTTGCCCCTTCGGCCAGCGACCGACAAACAAACATTCCCAGGCGCCTATCATTGGTGTACTACAGTCCTCTCCTCGTCCCCTTCGAACGTCATCCGGTCACGCGCGGCATTGAATTCCGGTATATATTACAGCTAGCTTGCGATGAGCTCGAATCACGATTTAATTACAGTCTACATATCCTTGCTCGCGGCCGCCACGTCTTGCTTTTCCGGTCGATCCTGTGACTCCACCGATCCCCCATCCATCACGCTGCGATCCCTTTCGTCCTCCCGCCAAAAGTCCTTCTTTCCCCGAACGGCGCGCCGCAGCCAGGGCGGGAAGAATCCGCCCGGAATCCTCCACGACCAGGGTTCCTTTTCATCCTTATTGGGGGGCACGATCCGTCCCCCCGTCAATTTCTCGATCGCCCAGATGATGCCGTTCAGCGTGATGTAGCTCAAAATACCCGCGATCAACCCGTAAGCGATGCTGTAGGTGAACGGCATGATGGCAATGGTCAGGAAGGCGGGCACCGCGTCGCCAAGGTATCGCCAGTTGATCTCGGCCGCCGCCTTAACCATCAATGCTCCCACGATCACCAGAGTGCAGCCAGTGGCCCAAGGGGGAATGGAGGCGAAGATCGGGGCGAAGAATACGGCAATGAAGAAGCAGATGCCCGTCATGCAGGAGGTGAGCCCGGTCTTACCGCCTTCGGAGATTCCGGCGCCACTTTCGACAAATGCCGTGACAGGAGACGTGCCGAAGAGGGATCCGATCGAGACGGAAATGGCGTCCACCATCTGACTAGTCAGTCAAGGTTGTGCAACACATGGGAAAATCACTTACGTAGGCCAGAGCACTGCCTTCGAAATCCTGCGTGCGAGGATCAACCGTCCCGGCAAATCGCGCCATGGAGTATAGCGTGCCGGTGGTATCGAGGATATCCACATACTGCATGGGTTAGCTTGCCGTTTTTAGCGGGTGACATCATGCAACCAACCAGGAAGGTAATGAAGGCCAGCCCAAACTGCGATCCGTGCCCCGTGATATCCCAGTCCTGTGCGACCAGCGTATGCTTGATCGGGTGGAAGGTAACGACTTGCTTGAAGAAGTCAAACATGCTGTTACCCAGTTCAGTGTGCGGGAAATACGTCACAGGGGTCGGTCGCGGCCACGAGATGATGGACACCAGCAGGATTCCTATAATGACGGCGCCTTTCACCCGATAAAGCATCAGCAGAGCTGTCAGGACTCCACCACAGAATATCCCGATCCACATGGTCGGATTGCGCATCTTTGCGTCCGACGGACAGAGGCCGGTCGTCGCATCGCGGAGACTATCCACACAGCCTGCCAGTTCAATAGGCGAGTCCGTGGCGCCTGTTACCAACCCGATTCCCGCACTGTAGGTCAGTCCAATCAACGTAAGATACAGCCCAATGCCCGTTCCGGTTGCCAGCTTGATCGACGCAGGCAGCGCGCGGGCCAACCACTGGCGGATCCCCAGTAGCGTCAAGGCCAGAAAGACCCATCCTTCGACAAAGACCGCGGTCAGAGCCACTCTGTAGGGAATCATGCCAAAGCCGTGGTGACCGACCACGGTGTAGGCAAAGTATGCGTTCAGCCCCATGCCTGGTGCCAGCGCCACGGGCAAGTTCGAGAAAACGCCCATAAAGAAGGTGGAGAGCGCAGCGATAGCGGCGGTCGCGGTGACAATATCGCGCTTCACCTCCTGCACGCACAGCAGATATTCGGTGTTGTTGTCGCATTGGTCGGCATAGCTCTCGGGTGGGCAGACGCAGGTTCCGCCCGTGTCGGAGGTGATGGTGGCATTCACGCTAATGATGTAGGCCATGGCGAAAAACGTCGCTAAACCGGCGCGCATCTCGGTAAAGAAAAAGCTGCCTTTTCGTTCATTAGGCTGCGCAGGATTAGTTCACCACCGTGTCGCGTGCTCAGCCAGCAAACCTACATGACCTGAGTTTTCCAGACGAAACCACCACCCGACAGGGCTACGAGCCACTGCCAGGTTGACGCGGTGTACCCAGTCAAGATAGCGCATGGTGCTACTACAAGTCGTAGTAGTATGCAAGGTGGGTTGACAGCAGGGGAAAAAAAGGGTCCCCGCGGAAACCCCGGGTTTTATCTGTCCGGGACTTCAGCTGGAACATGACTGGCAGATAAACCGCAACGAAAAAAATTTACATTAGCGAGCGATAAGCAGCAGGCCTCCGTCATAAAAATTGACTCGCAGTTTCCAATCCTTCGCCAGAATTTCTGAACGCGGACAGCTTGGCAGCTTGGCAGAGCCAGTACCGAGAGTCATTCCGTGGATGGCGCCCTTGGCAGCACCAGCACGAGGCAATCACCGGCAAGCCCGAAGAAGGCCCCAGCGGATATCCGCGACTCACAGCGTCCAGTCACCAAATGCTTATCAGTCAGAACCAGATGGCTCCCTTGGCACTCTTGGCTTCATTTGTCATCTTCCTTCAACTGATGTACGGCTATCTGGGATAAGATGTATATGGTATCTATCTATCTACTTACCTTACGGGCTGTGTTGAGACCCTGACTAGGCTGACTTTTCCTGGAACACCGCCGCCGCCGGGGCAAACTTGCTCCTCCGCCGTAAGGCGGGTCCAAACATGATGAACCCCACGGGAATCGGGATCATAATCGCCGCCAGACACCCCAGCAATGTGCCCGCCCACTGCACCCCCAGATTGACAAACATCTGTCGCGCAAAGAGAGGGAAGCATGCCCCGACTGCAGACCGCAGGATGGTGTTGGCGGCAAAGACCGAGGCGGCGCTGTTCGGTCAGAAGCTTTCAATGATTTGCGTCATGAGAAGGAGCTTACAACTGCAGATACGAATCGATCAGGTAGTTGAAACACTGCAGAAAGATGCAGTAGATGCCGAACCCCGTGAACAGCCCGGACGCTGTCGGGGCCATCCAATGGATCGACCGCGTCCATCCGGTCCAGCCATACCTATTCAGATCAGCCAGATACTCACCCAGCAGAAAGGCACCTTACCAGAAGAGTCCAATGGTGAAAGAGATGCCCCCCACAATGGCCGGGGGTAACCGCCACTCAGGGATGGGAATGTCGTTATTCGCCCTCAACTTCTTGGTATACGAGCCCTGACTCGACAAGACAAACACCCCTCCCAGAATCTCCCCAATGATCAGCCCAATAAACGGTAGACTGCCCACCCCAAGATTCATCCCATGAATATCCTGAAACACCACCGGATACGCCGCCAGCAAAGCATACATGAGCCCATATATGAACGACATGTACAGCGTGACCAGGAACACAATCGGCTCCGTAAGCAACATCCGAAACGGCCGACTAAAATTCACCGTAATCAGCTCCCGAAAATCAACCTCCACCTCATCCTGCTTAGCATGAATCCCCCAATTTCGTGTCTGTCTCCTCACCGTCGCCGCCTTAGCCATCAACAGCGCCGGCGCATACGTCTCCTTGTAAAACAACAACAACAGCGCCGACCCCAAAAACCCCATGATCGCCGCAATATACATCGTCCACCTCCACCCCAGATAACTCATCACGATGAAACCCCCCGTAAACGGCGACGCAAATGGCCCCACAAACACCGCCATGGCAAACATCGCGATCGCAATCCCCCGCGTCCGGTTATTGTAGATATCCGAAAACGCCGCCGGCACAATCGACAACGGACTCGCCGCGAACAACCCAGCAAAGAACCGCGTCAGCATGATGGTCTGCACATCCTTGGCTGTCGCCGTCGCCACAGTAAAGATACTATACCCAAATACCCCAGCCGTGATGGGCCACCGCCGCCCAGACAGCTCCGACGCAGGCGCCCAGAACGTCGGCCCCGCCGCGAACCCAAGTACATACAACGTCACACCGAGCGTCGCGACCTCGGTGCTGATTCCATAGTGAAGACTGATTGCCCCAACCGTTGAAGAGAATATCGCGCTAGCGAACGACGCAGTAAACGTCACGTAAGCTAGGATGCCTGATAGGAGGATCCTATATTATTCCATTCCCATGTCAGCGTATATTCACCAAATCCCTCTATATATACATAGATAGCAAAATACACACTTCGTCCCAATCGGCCAATTATGCGGATGCATCGGATCCCCCTCACCCGTAAACTCGACTACATAGCGATCCGGATCCGGTAGTGACGGGGGAAACTCTTTCCCCCCACCCATAGGTAGCCATTCATCCCGGGGAGTCTGAGGCGCCTTGGACCCGACGGTGGATTCGTGCGTTAGACGGAGGGTCTCGATGCGCGAGACCTCGATGTTGGTTTGCGGCCGGCTTAGGGTTCGGGTTTCGGAGGTGCGGACGGGCTCGAAGCTCGCGTGGGCGGTTGGGATGTTGGATAGGGAGGAGGTGCTGGAGGGGGATGGAGAGGGCATTTTGGTGGAGATGGATGATACAGAAGGGGGCTTTTGTGTAGAGATGGCATTGTTGGAGTGGTAGATGGGGTGTATTTATTGTTGTTGGTGGTGGTTAGAAGAGTGATGGTGTCATGGGGAGGGCGATCCATGGTTGGGAGGGTAGGGGTTCGGTGGTCGGCGGATGTGAGGTTAACGGGGTAGCTGGGTTGCTTGGATGATGTAGATAAAGGAACGGGTAGAGCGGGAAGGGAGATTGGGTTTGACGGTTTACTGATGGGGTGGTTTGCTCCGGAGGTTGTTTGTCTTTGTTTTGAGGTGAGTAGTTGGTATGGGTTTGTGGTGTGTAAGTCTCATCATGGAGGATATTGTTGATGAGGGAATGCGCAGATGCAGTCGTGTTTCTATTTATACAGGGTAGGTTTTCTTTGTGTCGGAGGATGATGATAAGCATTTCGATATTGATTAAGCTGTTTATTGACTCGTAACAGCTAGAAACAGAGTCATTGATCGCAATTAAGATAGTGTCGCGAAGCATAGTATATAGGGTCGGAATCCGGCATTGACCACTACTAAAAGTATGATTGTAGATCAATTCATAAGTGACCTACTGCTTATCCTCCATCATAAAACTTAGCCACCTTGGTTGGACAGAGTTGAGACAATGTAATACACTGCCATGTGAAGCCCCGGATTTGGCTCCCGATGACAGCCTCGGTAGACGCAGATCTACGATCGGCTGCTCGCAACGGCTGCCCTTTCGGTCTGCGATCTACATGTTGTACATATTAATAACAGTATCACTATAAGCATATAAGAACAACGAGATCCTCCGTTTATTTCAGGCATATCAACACCCACAGCATCATGTCTGTCAAATTGATCCTTCCCGCCCTCAGCCTCTTCACCCTCTATGCCATCTGGTACTACGCCGACGCCAATGGCCTCCTCGAACTAGCCAGAGAGAGCATCGAGCGCAAAACACTCCCAGGCAGCGATGCACCTCTGCGAACCGTCTACACTGGCTTCCCTCAACTGGACCACTTGCTCACCACCCTAACCACCTTTTTCTGGCCCACCACCGATGGAAGCCACCCTGCCTTGACCCTCCACACCCTCGGATTCGCAGGAACATTTGGCTCCGCTTGGATCCTGATAACCCTAGAGTCATGGCGGCAAGGCAATGCCTGGACACTAGCAGCATTGTATGTCCACCTCCATCTACCTATATGTACCGAGCTAACTTCCTCACCACCAGTCCCCTAGTATTCGGTCTCTCCGCCCAAACCCTAACGTTCGCCTTCGCAGCACCTCTCTACTGCGCCCTACAACTCACCACCTCCATAACCTCCACCTCCCCCACAGCAACTAACATCTACATCCCCAAAACTATCCTCACTACTCTCCCCCTGATCTTCACCCTCTCCTACATCCTCCCAAGCGCCCTGATGGTCCTGCCCCTCTCCTCAACCATAACAACCGACCTAAAGCAACTCTTCATCGCCCTCTGGCAACCATTCCCAGCATACATCTCCATCCTCCTCACCCTTTCCCACACCCTCTTCTCCCCATTCACATCTACCCCTAAACCAACCCAAAAGAACCACAACCTCTCCTCCCTACGCTTTATCTACGCCTTCACCTTCTTCCACTCCCTCATCTCCCATCTCGTCACCCTTACTGTCTCACTATCTACCCTCCTTGCACCTTCTATCCTCTCCCCGGAATACCGTACCTCCCTGCATCCCAGTATTGTGTTTGGGATCCCCACGCCGTGGACATCGCCTGTTATACAGGTGGCTAGTATTGCGGACGGGGTGCATGCGTTCCTGAGATGGGATTACTTGATTGGGTCGGCAGGGATGGTGGTTTGGGCGTGGAGGCTATACGGGAATGCGGTGAAGATGGACAAAGGTGGTGCAATGGGGTGGTGTGAATGGGTGTCGTTAGTGGTGAGAGTGGGGTTGTTGGGGGTTGTTGCTGGGCCCGTAGGGGCGGCGGTGGTACTGGTTTGGGGGAGGGAGGAGAGGGGTTTCGGGAGGGGGGAGAAGGGGGGTGAGAAAAGGAGTTAAATGGGTTGAGATGAGATGATGGAGATGGTAGAGGTGGTGGAAGTGGCGGGTGAGATTGAAATTGGAGATGTACTTCTAAGTGGATGGTTGGAATGGCGGACTGGAAGTTGTACACGTTGGCCCTGTGGTCGATGTAGGGTTGGGGATTGTGCTGTTTCTCATTGTCTAGGTTCTGTGGCTAGCAATTAGTGGCCCTTGCAGAGTGCATAAATGGTCATATGGTGGCTTTATCGTCCTATATTGGAGCGCCATATGGTGGTTATGTCTGCAACCGCGAAGCAATATCAACACCATGGTGTCTGATTATGCAGTGTTGAGTGGGATAGAACGTTGAACAGCCACATAAGCAAGAGACTGTACACAGACATAAAGACATACCGATCTCCTAAGATAGTATAGCCTATTGCGCAAAGCATGTTGAACCATGTCGGGGCAGATGGTTGGTGAAACCGTGCAACAGACTCGGATGGCTGCAGGAAACAGTGCACAAGCGTTGGATGTCTTTCACCCTCCAACTGCAGACTAGATCATTTACTTCCCAAGTAAGCCATTCCAAAGATGGATATAGTGAATGATCAATCTCAGAATGAAATTGCACGTGCGCATAAGTGCAGTATGGCAGCATGAATCCTTCACATTATACCCCAAAGGGTATAGTCTCCAACCCCGCGCCAGCACAGCTCCTCCACCGCCTGCCAGAAACAGACAACCGCTTATCGATAAGCGCAGGTACCGCAGCGGGTAAGCGACGGCCAACACAACAAAACGAAACTAGATTCCAACTAGTTCCGCTGCTTGCTTCTCTTCCTCTTTTCTCTCGCCGACACTTGCCCATTCCTTTGGAGCCTTCACCACCTACCTATCATTACCTTTCCTTCCTCGTCTGTGGGTGAATGCGAGTCGACCTATCCATTCTTATCTTTAGGGATACGCAGCCACCCACCCATGGTGGTCTCCGCAAATCCCTCGACGGTATTCCTTAGCGACAGTGTTCCATTCAAGAAAAACAAGATAAACAGACAACCTTATTCCTTCAACATTAGTACATACTCCAATCAAACAATATGCTTGGCGACTCCGAGATCCTCGCCTTAGATAGCAATCTTTCAACCATCGTGCAGCAGAACCAGCAACACCATGCCGATGTCCAGAATCTCCTGGAAAAGTTCCGCCAGCTCTTAGAGAACTATAATAACCTCAAAAGCGACTATGAGGAGGAAAAGGAAGCTAGAGAGAAGTACAAGCGCATGGCTAGGGGACAGGTACGCAGAATGATCCGCCAGTACGTACCTTGTCCAGGTCTGACGGTGACTTAGGAGCGGAATCCTTTCGTGCTGGTCCTCGTCGATGGAGATGGCTATCTCGTAGGTAATCCCGGACTCTCGTCAAAGGCCATGGTTAACTCCAGCGTAGTTTAAAGAGCATCTCCTGAAAGCTGGAGCCGATGGTGGCATTACGGCTGCCCGGATTCTTAACGATTCCATACGCGAATTGCTCCACGATCGACTCGGCCACCAGGCTGACCAATGCCGTGTTATGGTACGCATTTATGCAAACGTGCTGGGACTGTCAAAGTCATTAGCCCGCTCCGGCATTGTGGGACAGGAAGCCCGCTCTCTGTCGCCCTTTACGGCAAGCTTCACCCGGGCCGAGGATCTCTTTGATTTCGTGGATGCGGGCGATAAGAAAGAGGGAGCCGACTATAAGATTAGGGGTATGAATAACTATATGTGTCGGAGGGTTTTGAGCTGACTTCAGTAGAAATGTTCCGCTTGTTTGCCGATAATAGCCAGTGCAAACACATCTTTTTCGCTGGTTGTCATGACTCCGGTTATTCTAATCTACTGACACCTTATCGTGGCCGGACTGATCGCATCACTCTCCTCAAAGCTGCCAACTTTCACAGCGAATATGAAAGATTAGGCCTCCCGGTGCGGGAGCTTCCCGCCCTCTTCATGTCTACACCTATTGGTGGAACTGGGAGCCCCTCTAACCATACGCCTTCGTTGTCCACATCCTCTAGACCAATTTGTAAACACTTTCAAAAGGTGTGTGTAGAAATCCATGTGCCATCGTTTGCATGTAAACTAATGTTCTCCAGGGTATTTGCCGATACGGTAACACCTGCAACAAAGCCCACATACCGCAGGGTCAACAACTCTCTAGATCCGACAATACCCCCTCTCCTCCAGGAAGGGAATCTCCTACGAGTGCACGCACTCAAGAGTTTTATGCCTCACAACTTGTCACCCACCTCGATCCTATGTGGCAAGATTATATCCCCATAAACTTGGCCGGAGATCGCATTGACACATACTGTCCGATCCCTGCCCACGATGCGTGGGAAGTCTATACTCGCCGCGCCAAAATCCATAAGCCGTGCAACAATTTCCATCTCGGTGGCGAATGCAGCAATATAAGCTGTGAATACGATCACGGCCGTCTCGATCCAAGCTCGCTGGATGTTATGAAATATATCCTCCGCCAGCACCCATGTCAGACGGGCCCGTCGTGCCGATCTACCAAATGCTTCCTCGGCCATCTCTGTCAGAAAGAGGGATGCCGGGGCCTCAAGCCGTGCCGCTTTAACCGACACGCACACACACTCGATTTGCATATTGCAAAATACACGCCGTCCATCAAAAAGGAGACTGGTCACTCGCGTGCTGAAAGCGCCGAGGGGACATATCTACCAGATACTCCCGAAGAGCCGCAGGGCCTAATCGTATTGTGAACGTCCAGTAGGACTATACTCATGGCCAACACATACTATTAAACTGCCTTATATTGAGACAGACAGACATGTGGCAGGTTAGGACTGGACAAATGGTTATGATTCAAGAGGAAAAAAGATGATATAAAAAGGGGGCACACAGGAAGGAAAAAAGCAAATGGTTTATATTGAAAACATGATACGGGTTAAGGCTATCACTTAACCTCGCCCAAGGCGCGCAATAGTTACTGACGAGAATGACTGAATCTATATGAAAGTTTCTCAGCCCATTTCCTAACAGTACGTCTCACTTAGGACATGCATATGACCGGTCAGTTCCATTCAATACTGGTAAGCCCCATCCAAGGCTCGGTTGATCCCTCACTCTCCTTCAAAGAAAGCCACCAGCAGATCGGTAGATAGCGACAGCAGCATGTGGGAAGAACCGATGCCAGGATGGCAAATACCATCTCACCAAAGGTATCAGAAAGTATATAAGCCCCAATGGCAGGTGCATCCATTGCTTTTCTCTCCACCATCAGTCACGAAAACATCGATCCTACTGATATATCTTCTCTCAGCTACAGTAAAACCACAGTAACTCTGAACCAAACCAAAAAAAATAAAGAAAAATTGATTTTCAACTCAGCAATCATGAGTGAGCAAGAGAATCCTATCATCCTTCACTGCATTTATTGCAACCATGAACACCCTGAGCTCGATGGGGATGCTCTCTACGAGCACATTGAACAGAATCTCGATGACCTTAATAAACGTTTCAGGGAAAGAAGAGCCCTCAACGAGGAGCATCATACGATCATCGACTGCCCAATGTGGCCTGGTTGCCGTCACAGGCCTCTGAACTCTCTAGAGGGGGACGGCCATGCAATTAGCTGGACATACGTGGAAATAGCATATGACACGATGGGGGACCATAAGGAATTTATTTCTTGCGAATTATGCGGCACCCGTCATGTCATATTGACTGGACAATTCCTCGAAATTCACATCCGCGATTGCCATAGCTTAGTGTTCGAGATTCCCATGGTTGCGCACCCTTCGCCATCTGAACTAACTGAACTCCCACCGTCAACGATGTCTGGATCTGACCCCATGGAGCCCGAAGCAGCAGAGGAGTCTCAGGTGGACGTGTCTGAAGCTGATGTAGTTGAAGCGGAGGATGCTAGGGCGCAGGGGTCCGCAGAGGAGGCCGCCGCCGAAGCCGAGTACGACTCCGAAGAGGAAGAACCCGAAGACCTACCTCATGACCTCGGACCATTCCGCACGAGTCTCGAGCAAGCACTTTCGAATAACATCTTGACTGTCGAGAACTTCGCACAGGTTATATGCACCATATGCCGTGATCATAGAGTTCCCGTCAAACACCTTCCCCGGCTCAATTTCTATAACGCTCTTCGAGCCAGGCTTGCTCCGCTTCTAGATCAATTGATGTACAATCCCAGGGTCCACAACAATAATCGAGTGACCGCCCAATATGCCACGCGCAGAATCCAAGGGACCACCATTGGCGAAGCTATCCTTGAAAACAAAGTCAGACCGATCCAGGTTCTCTGTGATCTAGGGTTCCGCATCAACGATATTATGCACAGCAACCTGACCGTGCTGGGTGCGGCCATCCTACGCCAGCAAAGCAAAATCGCCCAATACCTCCTGAACCCTGAATTCAAGGAAAAGTACGGCGTCGACCCTTTCCGTCCCGTAACTCTGGACACTAGATTTGCAGACAGCACCACTCCGATTGCCCTATGCGTGAACAGATATGAGTACGGGGTCCTAAAAACCATCCTCAGCTACGAGACACCCCCGAACGTCATGCGAACCGAAGACGTAAATCAGCTCTTCCGATCGCAGCTATGGAACCGCCTTAGCCATATAGTCCACGACCAATACTTCAGGGACGCCATCTTCGCGGCACGCAACGCTCCCATCTCCCCGATCCACTGCGCTGTTGTCAACCCTGACCTTTTCGTCCTGCGAAACCTCGTCTGGGTCCGAGCAGATCACCCAAACATACTCCCCGATTTAGCCGATCACATCAACGCCGAGAACAACACCATAATCCAGAACGCAACCCCTCTCCTTCTCGCCCTCCACCGCCAAAACGCAGAAGCTCTGACTATCCTCCTCAAAACTCCCGGCATCGACCCCTCACGGCCAAACTCCCGCATGCTCACTCCCCTATATTACGCTGCCCGCATAGCTAATCTCGAACTAGCCCGCATCCTAATAGAGTACCGTGCTGATCCGAGAGTTGTCACAGCCATGGGCACGCCGCTTCATGCACTGGTGCATACGTATAGGGAAGCCAAGGAACGGCGCATGGCTGAGAACCCCCAGGAGTGGGCATTCCTCAAAGAAAAGCTTGCACGGCTTCAGCTTCTTTTCTTGGAGAGTGGCGTCGACCCAGATGCTAGGCCTGATGGGGCTGATGCCATGGGCAGGACGGCTGGCGAGGAGGCTGAGCTCGTGGAGTATTGGGAGTTTTCGAATGTGCTTGTTGCGTTTAGAAATGCTGCTGCTGCTCCTGCTCCTGCTGCGGCAGCGTGAGATGGGTGTTGATATTCAATACCGTAGTACCTTGCTTGCGTAGGGAAAAACAAAAATCAAATATCATATCTTGTCCTCAATTCAATTGGCGGACAACTTTTGCTTTGAGATCGCTAGAAATAAAACAAAAACACGTTGCTTGATCATACTTCCTCTGATATATTTCGAACTGTAGTCACCTGATCCGGCTTTAATATGTCCCTGAGTAAACACCATCCCTATTGTCTAGCTTTTAGCTAACGAGGCAGTGAAACCTCTTGATTCTCCTTTGAGAGGTAGTTTAGATCTCCGCTATGCATCTCATTTAGTCAATACGGAAGAATGTCATTATTGCATTACGTACCTAGCCTCAGATATTGTCGGTATGCATTGCCCGATGAGGTCCTGAGACAGGGACGTCCTATTATGCCGTTCATATGCGGATGAGATGTGCGATATTACCATACTTATCACTCTAAAATCAAATGTAAATAAGCCTAAATATAATCTACAAAACCAGGCAACATTGAAAATAAAAGACTTTTCTATAACTCCAAATGCAAATAAAAGGAACTCCAGGCTAAATCGACGCCACGTACACTGCATGCTCAACCCCAAGACCACATCATAATACACACAACTTCACAAAATCAATCCTGGTTCTCCTCAACTGCCCTCTCAATATCACCGATCTTCCTCCTCCCAAAACGCAACTTACTCCTGAGGTTCTTCTCCTTGATCAGCAGTGCGCGCTTGCGTCTCCTCGGCGGGTAATTGATCGGGCTTTCGCCACCAGTGAACACCACTAAATCGTAGATGAACGCCCCGAACAATCCTCCGAAGATGTCGGCGACCCAAGGGCCCCAGATCCACCAGGCATGGTACTCTTTGAAGAGGTGTCCGCCCCACCCGGCCATTACGGCGACGAGCCGGGGGCCGAAGTCGCGGGGGCCGTTGAATGCTCTTGGTAATTATTAGTCGTCGGGGCTTCTGGGGTGGGGGAAGAAGGGTGTACGTACCCGCCTGTGTTATATCCTAGGGCAAGGACTAATACGGTGATCAGTATGCCGATGATGAATGCTTGCATTCCTGCTCCTGGGGGAGCATTGGTGTCGTCACCCAAGGCCATGATGGTTCCGACGAGGATAGCGGTGCCTAGGAACTCATTGAAGAATGCAGTAGCTGGACTGACAAATTGTTTTGGTAGAGTTAGAAATGCTTGGCTAGCTGTTGTTTCGCTTTGTGGGAGGTTGGTCTCGACGGAGAGGTTGACGATGGCGTCGTGGTAAATGGCGTAGGCGAATCCGCCGGCAGTGATGGCGCCGATCAGCTGAGCGAGGATGTAGATAACACATCGGCGGGCGGGAAATCCTCGCCAGAGCGACATGGAGATTGTGATGGCGGGATTGAGGTGGCCACCGGAGATGCCACCGACAATGTAGATGCCGATCATAAAGCTGAAGCCCCAGCAGGCACTTTGGGTCATCCATGAGCCGGCTTGGCCGTCCGATGTGTAGGTTGCCAACCCGCCGCAAAGACCGAGAGTGATGGCTATGGTTGTCTGGTGATTGTGTGTTAGTTGGGCTGTATTAGAATAGATAGTCCAAGTGAATACTCACCCCCAACCACTCGCCCAATGGCTCCCTCAGATAATATCGAATCTTGGACCACTTGTTGAAAAATCCCATCTCATTCTGGGGCTCTTCGCCATTCTCTCTAGCTTCATCCGTCTTCGGAATATCCGTGGGCGGCTCTTCTGACGCTGGAGGCGGGCGTTCTCGTCCATCCTCGTCTCTTTCTTCCTTTCGATCCTCCGGCAAGGCTCCATACCGCATTCCGTCTCGGACAACATGGGGCAGCGGCTGCGCTAGACTCCAGACAGGCTTGTCCCCTTGCATGTTTCCATACTGAGGATTAAATGACTGATACTCCGGATGCATGTAGGCGCCCTGTTGAGGTAGTGGTCCATAATACGCATTCGGACCTGCCAGGGAGAACTGTGCTTGACTCCCATAGCTTTGGTTCCTCAGGGTAGCGGGAGGCTGGCTTCGATAACTCTGATTTTGGGATACGCCAGTGCGATGACTGGCATGGCTTTTGTTTCGCGAGAAATTTGTGCGCTGAGTTCCGTGACTTTTGTTGCGAGAGACGCCCCTCCTGGAGGTCTCTTCGATTGGCTCATCATCGTCTTCGACCTTGGAAGATCCTCCCTCCGTTGTGTCAGACGATCGATAGCCTCTCGATTCGGTGTCGACCTCTACGAGCTGTTAGCGGGAAACATTACTTATTCCATTTACACTTACGATCGAGCTCTTTGTTGAGAGACCTAATCGGGTGCACCATGGCAGGAAGATAAGCAGTCGGGATTTGTACAATGGCAGTCGACTAGCTTGCTGTAGGAGAATATGGATATCTTATACTTGGGTGGTTTCGTTGGGGTTATATCGTATGTTTCGCCAAGATTGCGTCACAGAAGGTTGACAAGGAACGACCGACTGCAACCATTGGTGGGTTCACACCCAAACCCTCGATTCTTCCACGCCACACCTAGCCCTTTGGCAGATTCTGCACGTTTCATCCATAGTTCCAGCTGATAGATCTAGTCTGGGTCTAGGTAAGGTAGGTGGAAATATCCTCTCGAGATTGATACCAGCAAAATTCAGCCGCGTTGAGGCGATCATCAAAATACCGCCTTGTTAGCAAGACACTAGAACCGGGATGATTGCCATCCAGTCAGCTCATGCCATGGCAGAGTACAAAGTAGCTTGTTGCCCGCCCGTCCGCCCGCCCCACAGACCTGAATGATGCCTGAGCAATTCGGTGCCCAGATGAACTGCAAGAGGCATTAAGAGTAGGCAGGTCCTCACGACAAGATGGCACTCCTCGCTGCTAATTGGCGGGTTGCATAACCTCACGCTGTGCGACCTGGGTGGGTGGAAACGGACCCGTTCCTTGCACGATCTCTTCCACTCACCGATGGCGGCGTTTGATCGGTGGCTTCGGCCCCACCCGTGACATGCTGGCTCAACAACCTTTCTTGTACAAAGTAGGTTATAAGTGAGCCGCGAGTGACCAACTATGATTCTGATAAGCTGGGTTCAAGGCCGATACCTCCAGGGGAAGTATGGTGAGACCATGAGCCAAGGACAAGGCTCTGGCCGTGGTTCAGTTTGGTCGGATAGGAAAATTGTGCCTGCAGACGTCATTTGGGCTGATGCAGGTGCCACCAGCTGCGAAGTGCCTCTACATAATCTCCTTCGATCAAAGGGGTGATAAGAGAAGCCATTATGGGAGATGCAGAATAAAGTTGACGACAGAGGAAGAGCGGAATTGCCTGATCCGGAAAGTAACGCACATGACGTCATCACGTGGTCCTTCCTGATCGAGACTACACGTGATTTGAAGATACAACCCTCTTTAACTTCATATTGAAGTCATCAATTCATGCCATCGGAACCATTATTCACACTAGCAATAAATCTAGACATGATTTAGAGTCAACACTCGGCAACAATTATCGCGCCGCACCTTGCATTATATAGCTTCCACCCCGGTGATCCGCTTAAACTGACTCTCCGTATACGTCCAGACAATCTCTCCGATGCCCATTTCTCGCAAGCCTTTCAGAACCTCAATCGCATTATCCGAGCTCTCCCCATCCGAGGTAACAGAATAAACACCCCCTCGCAACTTTCCATCCACGCCCCGCGCAACCACGACACTCTCGGACAGCGGCACCCCGTCGTCCCCATCTCGCGCCGGATACTTCGCACTCGTAGCCACAAAGAGATGTCTCTCTCCGCTCTCTATCACAGGGATACAGACCCAACGGCCGAACAGCAGGAGAGCAAGCCAAACAAGCCACATACGGAGATTATCCACCTCTCTGGTTATCCCGGTTTGTACAGCTCCGGGGTGAGTATTGATGAACGATACGGTTGGAGCTTTCTCAGCTAGGATTTCCAGAGCCATTGTAGTTAATGACGTGATATGCCCGCGGAAAAAGGGGGCAGACACCTTTCTGCCTTCGAAGTCGGTGGTGTCGATGGGGCCTTCGGATCCGGCTGCCCCGACAGTTATGACACGACGGAGGCTGGTGGCTTGTTGGAGGAGAGGGAGGAGGTTTAGGATGAAGCGTATGCGGGCGAAGTAGAGGAGGGAGGTGATCTTGCGAAGTCCTTCGGGTGTTTCTGCAGAATAGATATCAGTCGTACATTCGGAGTACGCTTATGTAGAAGTCATGCTACGGTCCGGGATATATAGTATCCGCTGAGATCACCCACCACTATGTATAGCCGCTATTCCAGGCGTGAGTACCAGAAGATTGAGAGTGCTTTCCTTGGTCTTGATGTTGCGACAGACCTCGTCGACATTGCTGAGCAAGCTTACGTCTGCGGGGACGAAGATATATTCCCCCTCTGGATTCAGGGCTTCACATTCGGCGACGATACGGTTACCTGCGTCTTGTTTGCGACCGACAAAATAGACGCGGGGCCGTGTAGCATGCTTAGCGAATTGCTTAAGGGTTGCTTCGCCAATGCCACTTGTTGCTCCGACAAAGACAGCTACCATGCCCTCGGGAAGGGATGTAGCAATCCGGGCATTGGAGGATTGGATATCGGCGAGGACTACCATTTTGTGGATGTTACAGTGATTTGACAGTGTCAATGAAGCACGACGTTGGTAATTGCAACATGACTATTGAAACTTTATTGCTTATATACCAGTATGTAATCAATGGCATTGTTAGTCCCTTTGCAACTTCATCCTCTCAGCATTGGTAATCCGAACAGGATGCTTATGCCATAGACGCTCGGGTTCAGCCGTATCCGGCACGGATCACGCTTTCCGGGGACCCGGTAGGGCGAGTCGACCCCGGATCATGGAGGTTCTATAAATGCACTTCAGCACGGGCATCAAGCCATTCCTGCCGGACTGAAGACAGAAAGAGTGGCTAGTGTTGCAGTGAAGTATAGACTTGTGTACTCCCAGTGGCATCACTGTGCAACTACTGACTTGGTGGTACCTGCCCGTTCGAGTAACGAAGGCCGATGCTCGGTTTCTCGGGCTTGGCCACGTGCCGGACCGCTTCAGGATTCTTTCGCCGACAAGAAATGGCCCTCCTTACAGCTTCATGCTCGATCAGACAAATTTCATGGTATCTTGGAGGTTGACATATAATGGTTCCTGATAACCTGGATGCCTGGCATGCCGTCGTCATCACCAATCCCTCCACATCCAGCAAATCACAATGGTAGCCCCCACTACATAACTTTGAATTCACAACTTGCCACATGCAGGACTAGCCTCAGCCCTAGTAGCAATCGCAAAATGCCCCCAAATCAGATAAAATTATGAAGTCAAACCTGGTTTGCCTCTACCAACCAGAGACACAATCCTAGCCAAAGTGGGGGGATTGCGCCGAGTGGTACGTCAGCCGGGCAGCCAAATCAAACCCGACCTCCGACTTTAGATCCACTGTAGCGCTTCCGCCGACGCGACGACCACGAGTCGGTCATCCTATATTAATCCTGCAGCCTGCCATCACCGCGCGAGAGACGCTTGGGCGTCTAATCTTCGATTCTTCAACGATGCTCGCTCGGGACACTGCTACCGAGTTCTTCTCGGTAGTCTCACAGCAAGATGACTTCCCAGACGACAAGCGAGGGGCTCCCCCTCGCGGCCAACATTTTCGGATTCGGTGTGGCGGCCCTGGTGGGAGGAAGGGCCTTCATCGCCATCGTGAATCGACTGCGACATCGACAATTGACCCTCGACACAATGTTTCAATCGGATGGGTATGAAGACCGCGATGGAATTGCAACACCAGAATCTATCAAAGAATTTTCCGACAAACCCCAACGCGTCGCGCTTGCAATTGGAACCGGAATTGGTGTCTGGTTATCGTTATCGGAAGCTGTTGTGTTCAGCATTGTGTCTGCTTCCACTGATGATTTCACACGATGGATGCGACTTGGAGCCTGGGGAACCCTGGCCCTCAGTACATGTGCGGTCTGGATGGAAGACGAATGCACGCTTCGGTTCCGACACGGCATTCAAACAAGCATCGGGTGCATCGCCATGATGGTTCTTCTAGTTGCAGATCAGTACCAATGTTATAAGGCATTGGATTTTTCCTTCCTGTCTTGGTTCTTTCTGCTTGGCCAGTCTTGCGCCGCTTTGGGCGCCTGCATTGCTGGAACGTCATTACCTCGTCGACCGGATGTTTTTCACAATGGATCTGTGGTGGACCGCAAAGGATCAGCAACCTTCTTGGACCAGATTCTCTTCGGATGGGTGGGCCAGCTGCTTTCTGCGGGTCAGAAAGATGAGCTGGAGCTTAGCCACCTGCCTGAGCTCGAGTACAACAGCCGTTCACCTCAGCTATTTCACGCTTTTAGCCAACAATGCATGGCTTCTACCTCAAGCCTTTGGAAGGTCCTTTTCCTCAGTCATCGGAAAGCCGTGTTCATTCAACTCCTTTTGACCTTCCTGAATGGGACCATGGCATTCGCGCCCCAGTTTTTCATCTTGGGAATCTTGCAGCGTCTGGAAAACGACCCTGATGATCCTTGGCTATGGCTATTTGTCCTTGGACTGGGCGCTTCGACTATCGTGTCCGCTCTTATTGAAAATTGGAACCTCTATGTCTCGTCCAATCTGATTGCAGTGAGGCTGCAGGAACAGCTATCAACCGTGATCTATGACAAAGCGTTACGTTGTCGTGCAGTGAACAATGTCGGGACGGATTCGCAGAGTGCCAGTACCACCAGCCCATCTAGTCAGGGTACCATGAACTTGGTCGCTGTGGATGCAAAGAAAGTGGCTGACTTTTCAGCGGTTGGCTTTCATCTTTACGAGGCACCGCTGAAACTCATTATTGCGGCTATTTCGATTGGCCGGTTGCTTGGACCGCAGTGCCTACTGGTTGGTGGCTTAGTACTTTTTCTTGTATCTGCTGGAAACTTTTACTCAGTCAGCCAGTTTTCGAAGCAACAAAGAGGTCTTTTAAGGTCTCGTGACAGCAAGATGGGAGTCATCAATGAGGTTCTCCAGGGTATCCGCCAAGTCAAATTATCCGCTCTGGAGGAAAAATGGGAAAACCGCATCAACGACTCAAGAGGGAAGGAGCTGCACAGCCAGTGGCAAGTTTACAAGTGGGAGCTTCTCATGTTCGTTGCCTATAATATCACCCCGGTTGCTGTTTCTGCCGCTTGCTTAGGTACATATGCCCTTTTACATGGGGACATGCCGGCGTCTCTCGCTTTCACCTCGGTCTCGCTCCTTGGTGCACTTGAAACGCCGCTTGCAGTTCTCCCTCAAATCCTGTTGAACGCGACGGGGGCTCAAATCAGCCTGCGACGAATTGAACGTTTCCTTCGAACTCCAGACAGGGATGTCGATATTGCGCCCGCTGATGGGGTTGTGCTGGACCAGGCCACAATCTGCTGGAACGAAAATCAATACACTAAATGCTTCACCTTGAAAGACATGTCTCTAACCTTCCCATCCGGCGCTTTGAGTATCATTACGGGGCCGTCTGGCTCCGGCAAAAGTCTCGTTCTTGCAGCAATTCTTGGTGAATGCGAGTTTCTGCAAGGTTGTGTACGACGGTCCCCAAGCCTGGCGGTTGCCTATGTTGCTCAGGAGCCGTGCTTGAAAGATGGAACGATCAGGGACAACATCCTTTATGGCCTGCCGTTTCAGCAGGAGCGCTACCGCCGCGTTGTTTTCGCCTGCTCCCTTGACAGCGACATAAATAGTCTGGTACTGAAAGATGACACTCAAATGGACGACCAAGGGAGCAATCTCAGCGGTGGCCAGAAATGGCGTATCTCTCTTGCACGCGCGCTCTATTCTGATGCCGAGATAATCGTGCTGGATGATATTTTCAGCTCCATTGATTCTCATACGGCGCAGCATCTATATCAGTATGCTCTGACGGGGAGTCTCGCCGAGGGGCGCACACGTATACTGGCCACTTATCACCTGGAACTGTGCTTACCAAGAGCTGAATACGTTGTTGCCCTTGACGCCAATGGACTGCAGTATGCTGGCCCCAGACAAAACCTGAGGGATATGGGCATATTCAAGCATATGGCCCAGGCTGCAGCAGGAGTGGAGAGGGCTTCTCACGTAAAGAAAGGCTCTGTGGTGTCGAATGTTCCGTCTTCAGAAAATTGGATCGGAACGCTATTGCCCAGTGAGCAAGAGCAACTAGAAGACTCAGCAGGGCAAGATGGCTTGGTTGGTGAGGCCAATACACGAGACCGTAAATGGCGAAATCGCCAGCGAATTTTCCGTTTGACTGACGCCAAGTATCGTTGCTTGCTTGTTTTGTTCTTGCATCTGAGCTATGGCGGACTAGCAGTTGGTCGAGGTCTGTGGATGATGATCTGGAGTAACAGCACGAACAAGACCAGGTACACAGAAGACATGAATATGAAAGGAACTGAGTCCACGGGAGTGAACATTACGTGGTTTCTATCTATCTACCTATTATTGTCGATCTGTTCATGCATCGTTGCGATCAGTCGGAGCTTCTTGGCAGTGCGCATTACCTTAAAAATGTCACGAAGGCTGTTTGAAAGATTTCTCTCTTCGATACTACGCGCTCCCCTGCAATGGCTCGACCAGATACCAGCTGGCAACATTCTAAACAACTTCTCCGCCGACTTTAGCTTGATCGACTCGCGCCTTGGATATGATCTCAACTACGCACTGGGTGTTGTGTTTGATCTCTTATCCATCGTGTTGGCTGCCTCCCTGGTGAATGTCTGGCTGAATCTCCTCTCCGCCTGTTCACTCTTATTGGCGTTTTACTACGGGAAATTATTTATTAGGAAAATTCGTGCCATCAAGGAACTCGAAAGTACCATGCGAAGCCCAGTACTTCACCATCTGTGTGCAACCATGGACGGGATAATGACCGTTCGCGCCTACCGTCAAGAGGAGACCTACCGAGAGGAAATGTTTGGCAAGATTGACCGGCATTGCCGAGCATCCTGGTGTCTCTGGCTGCTTACACGTTGGATCGCCGTCCGCGCAAGCACCATTGGCGCCGCTTTTACCACCGCAGCCTCTATACTCGTGCTGTCTTCCAACGACATCACGGCGTCGACTGCTGGATTTGCCATCACATTCATCATGCGGTATAGTGGCGTTATGTCGCAGGTAATCAGGCAATACGCAAACCTCGAGATATCTCTTAACAGTGTTGAACGTGTTTCGTGGTCTCTCGACATCCCTGCAGAGAAATATGAATCCACCGACCCGATGCCAGAGTCGTGGCCCGCGGACGGCCAACTGGACGTATCAGACTTGACCGTCTGTTATTCGCCCGATTTGCCACCTGTTCTCTCCGATCTATCCTTTTCCATCCCGCCAAATACCAGAGTCGGAGTGGTCGGTCGTACCGGTGCAGGCAAGTCCTCGCTGGCAATGGCGCTATTCCGCTTCCTTGAAGCTCAGCAAGGAAGTATTCATGTGGCGGGGGTGGACATTTCGACCGTTCCGCTTCGCCAGCTACGGACGCGCCTGGCAATCGTACCACAAGACCCGATCTTGTTTTCCGGCACAATACGGTCTAATCTCGATCCGTTCAATGAGCACTCAGAACAAGAGCTCTTGTCTGCTTTGCGACGCGTGCACTGGACTATTCCTGATGCTGACCGTGACGAAAATCATCCTGGATCGCCTTTAATAAAACTAGATGAGGATGAAGAACCCACAGAGAACCCCTTTGACTCTCTGGAACTCCAACACCAGCACCCTCCAAGCATTCTAAACACTGCAGTCACCGAAAGAGGCGCGAACTTCTCCCAAGGTCAAAGACAGTGTCTCTGCCTCGCCCGGGCCATCCTCCGCCGGCCCAAAATCCTTGCTCTAGACGAGGCAACCTCAGCCATCGACAAGCCCACAGACGCAGTAATCCAGAAATCCATCCGGGCTGAGTTTGGGCACAATGAATCTACACTATTAGTCATCGCCCATCGCATTAGCACTATCGTCGACTTTGATCGTGTGCTTGTGCTAGACGCCGGTCGGGCCATCGAGTACGGCACACCTCGGGAACTGATAGCGAATCGGAATGGAGTCTTTCGCAGCCTAGTTGAGAGCAGCGTTGAGAGAGACGAGTTGTTGGAGACTATGCATGCTGCCGGTCCGTGAACTTGACACGGTCCTAGCCCCAAGTCACTACATCGATAAGGAGGAATCCAACCAACCCCGATCTTCAGGGGCTAGTGAAAGCCGTTAGCCCGCACGCATCCTCTCGGAGATACCTACGCAGCTGAGACCTACCTTGCGAAAAGATGATCTCGATGCTGAATCGCCGAATACTGCTTAGAGTCCGCTGGGCGAAGGTGACAGAAATCCCTCAACCTCGATCTAACACGTCACAGTATAGAGCCCGATGTTTAATAATCCCTTTCTTACAAATCCGGTGATTCCGGATGCTTCTTTCGCCTTCAAGTCTGGGGGATGATCCCAGGGTTGTCGCGAAAAAGCAGCGAAAACCCAGATGGCTTTCCTAATGCGGCCTAGTCTCCGCGAGGGTGCCTCGCCAAGAGTGGGATCGCATCGGGCTTAGTCTCCGCGGGTGGGACGTCATTCAGCTGCATAGATTGAAGATAAATACCGGCCATTCTGCCTCTGTTTCAGGCTCAATTCTCACTTATCTACCTGTATAATAATCACATACGCTTGTCCGTATATACACACAATCAATCATCATGTCGTTTCCCTATAAGAAAGTCCTCATCATCGGTGCCACCTCCGGCATCGGCAAGGCGCTCGCCACCAAGGTGATCGAGAACGGCACCCAGCTTGTCATTGCCGGCAGAAGAAAGGAGAACCTGGATGAGTTCGTCCAGAAATACGGCAGCGACAAGGTCGCATCCAAGGTCTTTGACGTGATGCAGCTGGACCAGGTACGCGCCCCCCCTCTTTCCCCCTGTACCCTCCATATCACACCCACACCCTACTCACGTACTATTACTACATAGATCCCCCAGTTCGCCACCGAAATCACCACCGCCCACCCCGACCTGGACTGCATCTTCATCAACTCCGGCATCCAGCGCCCCTTTGACTTCTCCAAGCCCAACTCCGTCGATCTCACCACCTTCGACACCGAGCTCATCACCAACTACACCTCCGCCGTCTACCTCACCAAGGCCTTCCTCCCCCACCTGCAGTCCCTCCCCACCCAGACCGCCCTCGCCTACACCACCTCCCAAATGGCCCTCGTGCCCATGATGCGCTGCCCCAACTACGGCGCCTCCAAGGCCGCCCTGCACCACTTCATCCTTGCTCTGCGCACGCAGGTCGCTGAGGGCCCCGGCAACGTCAAGGTGCTGGAAATCTACCCTCCCGCTGTCCAGACCGAGCTGCACGATCCCAAGCACCAGCCTGATCTGAAGAACGGACACTTGATCGGCATGCCGTTGGATGAGTTTGTCGGTGAGGTGTGGCGCAGATTGCAGGCTGGTGAGGATCAGATTGCTGTGGGTTCGGCGAACGATATCTATGAGGCCTTTGAGACGAAGAGGCAGAGTATGTATGCGGAAATGACGGCGATGTTGAACGGATTGTTGAAGCAGTTCTTGGTGTAATTGGGATGAATCTTTCTTTTAGGGTTTGTTAGACGGGCGCAGAATGCATAGACAGAATGGATATAGACTTACCATGATTATATTACATCGATGCCATGGGCAAACATTTGCAAATAGAAAGAAAGAAAGAAAGTAGCACAGTGTAGTGTAGTGTGATTAGTACCCCGCATACCCAGCAACAGAAGGATACGGCACGCCCTGCACCGCCCTTCCTCTACACGCGGCAAGAATCAACCCCCCAAATTCCGAGATCCCATGAACCATGCCACTTTCCAACATGCCCGAATACTGATGCAACGAGACCATCGCATCCAGCGACTCCCCACTCGCATCCCCATCAACATCAACATCGCGATCCCACAACCCAGTCCTCATATCAAACGGCAACGAATCCACGAACGGCGTGCGGACGGAATAATTCCGCATCTTGAGCGAGTACACGCTCCGCAGCATGAATCCCACGATGATCGTCCTCCGCACACTCTCAGCGAACAGCCACGCTCTGCGCGGGCTCAAACTGCCCGGTAATTGGATGGGGGCTTGTTGCCAGAGTTTCTGGCCGAGGTTGTAGAGCATAGTGCTGATTGATTCGGAATAGGATTGAGATGTGTCTGTATCGGAAAGAACGAGCATGCATTGCGTGAGGAGGAGGGCCTGCGCGGTGGCTAGCATTTCCTCAAAGCTGGTGGTGTGGTTGAGGGTGCGGAGGAGGGAGGAGGATTTCTGTTTCAGGAGGGGGATGATGGTTTTGTTTGTGCTGGTGGAGTGTAGTTTACACAGGGCGTGAATGTCCCTGATAGGTAACGGGGGAGAAGATGGACTGGGCCATAGGTCTGGATGGATGAAGTGGGTTTTCATGTTCAGGGCGAAGGTGGATGGGTATGCGCGCATGCCTGAGACTAGGTATGCGATGATGGGTTGGGAGTAACCCTTTGTGATTTCTAAGGGGAGGGAAAGAGGGATGGAGTGTGTTGTTGTTAGTTGGTAATGTTGTCTTGGCTTCTTGTGAGGAAGTTTCGGTGAGAGCGTCGACCTGGTAGTGATTGTTGTTGTAGTAGCTGTTGAGTCTGTGCCGGAGCCCACGGTTAATGGGACGTTGATGTATTCGCAGTCTATCTTCCGGGTTTGGCACCGGGTGCAGCGCGGCCAGCGCTGGTCACAGCGGCGTTTGCCGCGTGCGCAGGCTTGGCATGACCGGCGGAGAGTCGGTGGCCTGGGAATATCGGGGGCCATTTCGAGATCTGATAGGGAGGAGCAGTGAGATTGAATGGAGGCAATAGGCGGGTCAGATGTGCATTAGTTGGGGGATGATGGGATGGGGGACGTTGGAGTCGTTCGCCGATGGCAAACCATCGGGCGAGTCACGTGTGTGTAGGTTTCGGGGATAGTTGCCCGTTGGGGACTACGGGAGGGGTCTGGACCTCGGGTATTGGGGTGTTTCACGGCAGTTTTATTGCTAGTTCAGGAACCGGCTATCTAAAATGATGAATGGTGCATGAACTATCGGATGCTTATATTTTAGAGGGTGTGGGGGATCGGAGGCGGTCTTGCAGTGTTTCCCACGACTTTCTTGCTCTTTTACCAGCATCCTGGGGATTGAACTCCGCGTTGCGCATCCGTCTGTCAAATACCTCCATGGAGATCCAGCCGGTGTACCCCTTGTCGACTACCCATGCCTTGACAATTTCTAGCACGGGCATATAGCCGCCTAGCTCGGTTTCAAATGGGAATGGCCTGGCGTGTTTGGACCAGGTGAACTGTGGCGCTTCGCCCTCTAGATACCACGGATGTGCCTCTGAGAAGGGTGGGTCGAAGAGCTCGCCGTCCGACAGTTGGACGTAAAAGATCTTTTCAAGCGGGCATTGCTTGAGGAAGCGCTCAAGCGAGGCAGTCAAATCTCTATCAGCTGTCGGATACTTTCCGGATGTCTCGAATGGGCTCGCCCAAAGCTTGGTGACTTCGTGGAAAGTGTCCATGCAGAGACCAAAGTTCTTGCGATCAACAGCCTCGACAATCTCAAAGGCTGTGTCCCAGGTCGAGCAGTATGTACCCCAGGAGAGTGGCTCATATGCGACCGAGACAACGGGTTCCTCAGCGCTCGCCAAATCCGCCAATTTCTGCAAATCCGACACAATGATGTTCTTGTCTGTGCTGGCATCATGGCTGTAGTTGGACGGCACTTGCAGATAGGTCGCATGCAGCTTGCGCGCAATGTCGATCCAATGCTTGGCGGTGGCCATTCGTTCATCTAATGAGGTGCGGTTTCCTTCGAAGTTCTCGAATGCAGCCAGCGATAGAATCTCGATGCTGAGGTCGTCACAAAGGTTCTTTATCTTTCCGGCTGCGTCTAGCATTGGTACACCTAGGGCGTCTGAGTACCTCTTGAGGTCGGAGTAGACGACTTCGACAGCGGTAAAGCCATGTTGTGAGGCGACACGGATCTTTTGGTCCAGTGTGTGCGAAGGATGCTGGCCCAAGGAGAGGGTGCCAATTGCTTGTTTATTCGATAGCATTGTGTGCTTGCTGTGAGTATGATCAAAAAGAATGATTATTGCTAATGAGCAGAGAGTGGTGGGATGGAATTGATCATTTATAGAGAAATCCCGACCCCCGCATTTGTCGGGATTCAATTTCCGGCCGGAATTGTTCCTGCGTATTTCATGGAAGTTGCCCTCCCAGCAAATTCATTCTATCAGCTTCCGTTACTATAGCGATGATTGTCTGTATAATCCACCTGACTCATACTGCGAAGCATCAAACCTTGGTCATTTTCCAGCTCCCGACTTTCAATTGGAGGGCCCCTCCCCATGGCCCCGGGTAAGAAATACCGAAAATCAGTGAATCGTTTTCCAGGGGGATTTGACGGATAGTATATTACACTGTGACTCTCCTCCAATGACATCGCTCTTGAAGTACTACAAGAACTGCCTGCATTGCCTTCTCCGCTGTGAGAATCCATATCACGGTCCCCGCGATTGCTCACATAGCCAACTTTTCAAGCCACGGCCCTGTGCCATCTCATGGTAATCGTTGAAGAGGGGTCATATGAGAGGCACAATGTGGTATTCATTATGATCAAGAATCAATGTTATAGCTAAGACATCATAATTCCTACAACCCGAACCTAGCAAGCCTCTCCTGCCCCTTATCCGTAAACAAAAGCAACCCATTCCAGTATCCAACAAACCAAATCATAGGATACCGCCAATGGAACCACATCGGATGCTCACTCGCTCCAAACCATCCAAAATGCCTATCCAGGCTATAGCAGAGATAGTTACAAGCACTGAAGACCAATAATGACAAGATCCCCGTGAAATGAGCCGCCTTCTTTCCGTAATGGTGATCCACAATAAAGACATTTGTCAGACTGCCCATGGCACCGCCCATACCGAGCGGACAGAAGACGAGCGTCCACATGACTTTGTAGAAAAGATCGCGGGTGCCGGTCATGATGAAGATGCCGACGGCGAGGAAGATGATTTCTGCGATGAGGGAATTGAGATAGAAGAGGAGAAATGGGCGGATGTAGATGGTACGGCGTTTTTGGGCTATTGGGAGGTCTTTTTCCGTTGTTATAATGGGCTGGTAGGTGTTTGGGAGGGACATCTTGGGTAGTGAGATTTTGAGTGAATGGGATAATATGCTGTGGAGAGTGCTCTGTGTGATGGACCCGTTCTATCTGCGCCCATAGTTCATTGTTTATATTTCTTATGTCTAACAAGGAGCTTCTGGATGATGTTGCATGTCAGTAACCGAGGTTGGATTATTCTACCTCATGCACGCTCTCACCCTGGTGTTGCTCGGTGTATATCAGGATTACTGATCAGTCCGTCGGCATCGCCCCGTCAGTAAGAGAGGGTATCTTTTCTGCCTGACGATCATCAGCCCTACCCAGGGAGGGGGTATGCCAGACACAGCATTGTTTTGAGGGTAATGTGCAGAGACTGAGACAGACTCTTCTACTTCATGTGCAATCAATAGTCTACAATTGTAGTGGTCCGACCACTTTCTACTATTCTGCTTGAGATGCGTTACTGTTACGAATACAACGATATGGAATCAAACACGTGACTTTCATTGGCGTAAATACTCCAGAAGACCTATGGCCTACACAACAGCCAGATGTTATAACATGTATCTACATTCTTGCCCCCTGATTGTCCGGGAAGGCCGCCATCGCTCCCCGAATGATGGCATGGGGATTGATGCGTCGGGGGTATCTGTTCTTCATTTCCTCCACGACTTCCTTCCAACTAGTAGCCGAGTCAACAACCTCCTCAAAATTCAAGATATACCGCCTAGTCTTCTGTAAATTGAACATCCCATCAACCGTCCCAGCCCTCTTATGCCCGGCAATAACAGTATGTGGCCTAAGAGCTTCGATAATCCTCAGGGCACGAAGCCACTCCCTCCGTTTCTCTCTTGTATTAGCCTCCCCGAAATACTGATGCACATCCCCGTAGACCGCATCGCCCGCAACGACAAGCCGGATACTAGGCACATGCAAGACAGTCGTATTATACGTATCAGAATGTCCGACCTCTACAGCCCGGAACTTATGGCCTTCTATCTCGAAGACGGGTGATTCCATCGCCTCAGCAACCTCAGGTGACTTTGGGATCTGATCCCCTGGAAAGAGAGAAAGCCACGTTCCTTCGAATATCTCCGGCTTAAGTTGTTCCATCATATGCGCGACGGTGCCGGGGGTAGCTAGTGCACGTATATTGGGCCAGTGCTTTCGGAGTACGGTTATGCCGAACCAGTGGTCGCCGTGGCCGTGGGTGATGTAGACATAACGAAGAGATTTTCCTGGGGCGGTTTCTTTAATCCAGGAGACTAGGTCTTCAGTTTGGGCAATAGATATGGGCGTGTCGACGAGGACGGCCTCGGCGTCCCCGTGAATCAGGGTGCAGGAGATTGGGGAGAAAGAACTTTGCTCTCCTGCTCGCTTTACTGCCAGCGGGAGGCGCGAAGAGACGTAGACGTCTGCTTGGAGGATAGAGGACATAGTGTATGACAGGATGGTGGAACGATAGAAACCGTGCTCTTAGTCGGTACTTCATATAGATAATCAATTATACATGTGCTTCTACTTGATTGTTTACTATTCTTCAACCGAGGGATCGAGTTGATTAGTGAACATGGGTCATTGAAGACCATGTAGGGCTGAGGGAGTTGGCCGAAGTGGGTATCTCTGCCACGGAATGTGCTTCCTGACAATTTCGCTGCCGCAGAACGAACGTTTTACATAGATCTTGGCCCACCGGGTTTGAATTCCCATATGATGCTATATATTGTCTTGGAAGGGGTGGGATCCGCATGGTCGTCGCTCGTATGATTCCTTGTTGCCTATTCAATTTTCACACTTGCATAAAGTGGATTCCGAGGACACCGCAAAAGCAACTTCCAAAGCAAGTGAATGAACAGCATGAGCAAATAGAATACTCAACCCAAGTAAACACTAATTTTAGTATTCGATTGGAACTGAGCATGCAAAGATTGCCAAGGCGCATAGGCAAAGATCCAACTAGAAATAGGTCGGGAAGTGGGGTAAATTCTTACTATCCTTACTATCCCAATCCTGTCCTGTTCATCGGCGAAGGAAATGCCTTTAATTCTAGCAATAGGCAGCGTTAATAAGCTCCCAGTCTGCTACTGAATCTCCCACCATTTCTTCAGCAGTTCGAGCTCTGCCAATGTGCTGCGATCCTCTTCCAGATGCCGTCTGGTACTCAATGTCTGGGATCGTGACCATGACCTCGGGAGTCGACGAGGTGGCGTGCGGAGTCCCTCGGGCCCAATCGGCGCATGGGATATTGATATTCAGTAGCATCCAAGGGGCGGAAGACCAAGGAAGGGTCCGATGGAAACTTTCTCATGCAGATAACGTTTAGGCTACCTCATGCAGCTCGGATTATACCGAATATTAACGTTGAACTGGTAAATTTCAGCACGTCTTTCATAGGCCATCGCAGCCCAAATGCACGAGCAAATTTCCTTTTTCAATCCAACGGGACTTCATAATGTATCGTGAACTGTGCATGCGCGATAAACATATATGAATATCATATTCAAGGAATAAAGCAAGACTACTCACTCCCATCATAAATCCTATGTACTTATCAAGCATGGCAATGCTCTCAAAACTGGCTATGGCGGGCTACTTGACCGTGGGTCTGTGTGCACCATTCTATATGCCGTACTCCAAATCGAGAAGTAAGAATCGGCGGGAAAACTTGCAAGACAGGTGAAGGCCCGTCCAGGTCGCGTTTATTGAATCATGACTTATGCTGATGCCGATTAGAGCTCGAAAGTATCCAGCAACCGGACCTTTCTTTCATCTATATTGAATTCTTGCGGGCGACTATCTATATTTGCAAGAAGCGGAATGAATAAATCCTCGGGACAAATAGCAAATTACTTGAAAGTGTTATGATTGATGCTGCGCACTTGAAATGTCGGTGAGGGGGTGTTGATTATTCGACATGGAATGGATGATGATGAGATAATATTTTGAGGACATTGGGATCAATTCTTTTGAACTACTATGTTATTGTAATATACAGAGCGTATTTTCAAACTTAAGGTTACGCTGGCTAGGCTGTGCTGGGCACATCACGTCTTAAATCTTCCTACAGCTACTAAGCCACAATAGAATGAAACTTAGCTCGAAGGTTGACCGTGACATTCTCATAGCTATGGACCAGATAACTTATCCATAAGAAACCTCTATATAAATGGCAAGATGACAGAGCTAGGATACTCCCCGCCACAGTGAATAAAGTGTTTCCCGCGATTGAGCTCCTCCTCCGGACGAGGCTGTGACCAAGTCTTATACTCTGCAATGCTAGGGTACTGACCAGATACCTTTCTCATGGTTAGTATGAATTGGATCTTATCTGATTTGTTGGCTCCGGGTAACTCACCCGCACGCTGATCGTCTCACCAGCCTCAAAATCCACACCCATCGCCCAAATGCCAATCTCAAGTCGAACAATTTCCCCAGGACGAACCTTCTCCTGGCGCGTGTGGGGGTGGAACGGAAATTGTGGGTGAATGCTTTTCTCCGCATCGATTGCACGGTGTGAAGCTCTAAGAATACCATTAGACCCCAAATGAAGGTTTGTGCTGGACTGTTCCTTCTCGGAAATTTCGTCAATCGATTTGACCGGGGTTGCGTGGAATGGGAAATTTAGATGCATCAACGGCTTTCCGTTCTTGTCCTTCTTTCTTAAGATGACGAAAACGGTGAAGTCATCTCGCTCTTCGCAAGACATGTATAAGATCGCCTTAGGTAGACCAATTAGTCTTGCTGGGTTGTCGAAGGTGTATGAGAATTCGGCGAAGCTGGATGAGAGCTCCGAGTCGTAGGAGATTTTCTCGTAAGACCCAACTAACGTTGGGTGGAGTTTCTCCGAAGAGAGGAAGAATTCTCGGTATTCGGTGGTAGGTGATGGGAAGTCCTCGAGGACGATATCATCGATAGCCTCTCGATCGCCGAATTGCAGCGCAGACCAGCGCACCTTAGGGGTCTTCTCCCAGTCATTCTCGACTCCCTTGAGATAGCGATCGAAGAAAACGAAAAGTTCATCCATGGACTCCGGGCAGCTATAGAGTTCGTACCACTCCTGTTTGCTTCCCCAGCGAATCCACTTTTTATCATGTGGAAGCTGTAGCCAGGCTCGAACAGACCCCATAGTGTGAATGGAGCTCACATCTGAGCCTCGGATATAGACTGGACAAAGCACCTTGGTCATGTCTGCTCTCTTATCCTCCCAGAAGGGACTAGACACAGGCGAGCGACGGTACATCTCCTCGAAATCCTCAATGCCGGAGTTGGCCGGTCCGCGAACAATTTCGTTTGTGATTAGATCAAAATTGCTCATAGAGAACCATCCACCGCGGCAAAACTGCTCACGGTAGATATCACCTGAACCCTCCCATGGTGCAATAGCCTTGAGGGACGGCGGCTGTTGAGAAGCAATGAACCATTGAGAGATCGCGAGGGCCGAGTTCCCCGCCATACCGATGCATCCATTGCACCAGTCCATCTTCGCAATGGCTTCAACGACGTCGTATCCATCCTCCGCATCCTGAGAACCCATAACGGTGATGAGACCGTCACTGTTCCCTGCTCCACGTGTGTCAACACTGACAATTGCATACCCACGTGGACACCATGTCGCTGGGTCGAGGCCCTCGAATTTCTCGAGACCACTCAGATCAGAGCGCGGTACGCAGCAGTTCCACGCGCACATGGGCAACATGTCGAGTGCACTGTACTTTTTGCCGTAGAAGGACCAACTTAGTACGGCGGGGACTTTCTCGGTAGAGTCCGCTGGCCGGTAAACGTCGACATAGAGTCTTGCGCCATCACGGACAACGATCTCGACGTCGTGGTCGATGCGAATGTCGCTCTGTATGGGCTTGGCATTGAATCCATTCCATCCCGCCGGAAGAACCTCTGATTTGCCTGGTTGAGGTCTCACGTAGCCGTTTTCACCCTCTTTCGGGGATTTGATACGTTTGTAAGCGACTTGGACTGGTGGAGGCATTTTCAATGTAACACGTGATGTTAGTTTATTGCGTTTAAGGCTTTCAATGATTCTAGCAAATCATACTGCAATTTCTTCACATTTAAGTTGTCTATTCATCATGGTCTTCCCCGCCTTCTGCTATCTGTATTGCACATGTCTCGGGGCTTTAGCAACCGAAGCTCGGGCAGCCCCGAAGTCAGTAACTCCCCCGAAGCCAAGGGCGGGGTGTTCGGGGCTCCCCGCATTGCTCCAGACCTGCCAAGGCCCCCGAGCTTCGGGGCACGAAGATAGCCCTTCGGCGCTGAGAGCTGCTGGATGTTTAAGTGAATTTTGAACACCCACTCGAAGGCAGACGAAAGAACCAATATCCACATCCAATCTTATTGATCAAAGTGCACATTGAGCAAAAATAACACTATGTCAACAACTACCGTCATCCAGGAGATCGCTGAAGCGACCAACGAGTCCTACACAGTGAAGGACCTGATTGACTTCAGCGACCGCCACTACGGCGATTGGCGAGATGAGTTCCACAAGAACGGCTGCGTTGTTATCAAGAACGTGATTAGTCCCGAACGGGCCAAGTACTACTGCGATAAGCAGATCGAGTGGCTGAAGAGCTTCGACCTTGGGTTCGATGAGAATGATGAGAGTACCTGGACTACTGAGCATCTTCCTATCAGCTTCAAGGGAGGGTAAGTTCCCTTCTTCCCTAGGTGTCTGACCACTACTGACAGAAGATCAGCATGTACTATGGCTACGCAGCACCCCATGAGAACATTGCTTGGGAAGCTCGCACAGAGCCAGCTGTCATCGAGATCTTCGAGAAGCTCTGGGAGACTAAGGAGCTACTCAGTTCTTTTGATGGCATGAACATCTCCCTTCCCCGTCGGAGGGATGTCAACTGGAGTCCCTGGCCACACTGTGATCAGAACCCCAACCGGAAGGGGTAAGTTACCGTTGAGGTTGAGATAGACAGCAGGACACTGATATTGTTACAGCATGCAAGCAGTGCAGGGCCTAGTTAACTTTGCCCCCAATGGTCCCAAAGATGGCGGTCTCATGCTCATGAAAGGCTCTGCCAAACTCTTCGATGAATTCTTCGCTCAGGACCGTGACCCCTACGACCACGAGGATGCTCCGCCACCGGAGATGAAGTACATGGACCTGTTCCTTTTCCACCAGAGGGATCTCAAGTGGTTTGAGGACCGCGGCTGTGAGCTCATCAAGGTTAATATGGACCCTGGTGACTTAGTCCTCTGGGACTCTCGGACCATGCATTATGCCTGTCTGCCCGAAGGTGACCAGATCCGTCACGTCCAGTATGTCTGTATGACGCCGAAGCGATTTGCGACCGAGAAGGCCCTGGAGCTGAAGAAGTATTGTTTCGAGAATTACATGGGAACTACCCACTGGCCTCACTGGTATGTAACTGTCTGCTGCCTGCATTGACGTACATGCTAATTTTTGTAGCAATATCCGCCCATCTACAGACAAGCCGATGAGGAACGGAAAGGTTTGCCCGAAGGATCGGACTGAGCCTTATGAGAAGCCGGAGTTAACTGACACAGTGCTCAAGCTGGCGGGCGTCAAAGATTACTAGGTAGTTTTACGTATATGTATACAGACTGTCAGATGTTCAATATCGTGAGAATTTTTATGCACACTACTCCTGATGGCCTTCACACAGTCCAAGTAATCTGTCAAGACGGAGGGAGGAATGTATGTATATTTGATCTATCTGATCTCAAGAGGATGGTTGAAGATTGGAAGAGGTGGTGGTCGGAGACCACGCAAGCTGATGAGGTGGTGGAAAATCAAGTAATGCTTGCCTGGCTGCAGTGAATGTCTCAACAAGATTTAAGTTGCAAGCAACAGTACTGAAAACCCTTTTTGATACGTCAATTGAGACTTGTGTGACATGACTCGTAGCGTTGATATTAGCTTTTGCCCCGACTTGACTTGACCCCGCCGAAGTAGCGTCAGTACTAGGTTTCGGAGCACCAGACCTCGGTGAGGCCCCCGAGCCAGTTCTTCCCCGAGGCCATTAGTGGCGAGTTTGCTATCGGAATGCGGGGAAGCTTTGCTAGCTTCGCAGCTATAGTTGTCACAGCTAAGGTTCGGCACGGTTATGGAGGTGGTGTAGCGAGGTAATCTGCCTTTCCTGTGCCCGCTGTATGTCACACGCCTATCAACTGGTAGTATGACGAGTATATATTTACGATCAGCTGGGCCATACCCCATGCTACCACCGCTCACACCCTCTGTGGGGAAACAGAACGCACACATCATCCACCCGCCAGTCTTCCATAATGGATGACACCACAAAGAAAGATGTGGTATACGTGGAAGACATCGAGGAGGGAGGAGTTACGAGGGTTAAGGGGAAGGTGATGGGCACCGTGAAGATCACGGAGGGGACGGTGGTGTATATTCCTACTCCCACCGCTGACCCACAGGGTGAGCAACTCTTCTATCGGCGAGCAATGTCAGGAATAACGATGAACAGATCCCCTGAATATGTCGGTTTGGCAAAAGTCCATCATTCTAGTTGTTATTTCTATCTGTATGTTGTTGAATATTCCAGAAGTTTCTTTAACACTCCCTGATCGTGTGCAGTTTCATGTCTGGGTCTCGCTTTGGTCAGTGGATTCGGCGGACTATTACAATTCTACATTCCAGGATATACTGCCGCGGGAAAGGACTATGATGATATTACCCATTTGATGACATATCCGACGTTGTTCATGTGAGCTCTGAGGGTATCACATACGAGACGGAGCTGATTTTGGGCCAGGGGCATCGGGAACCTCATTGGTATGCCAATAGCAATCGGCATAGGAAGGAGAATCGTCCTCCTAGCCTCAACCGTCGTACTCGTCCTCGGATCGGTACTATGCGCAACTGCGAAGACCTACGAATGGCACCTTGGTGCCCGGATGGTGCTTGGCTTAGCAGCCGGACAGAGTGAGGCATTGATTCCTATGATTACCCAGGTACGTGACCCACGACATCACTCTGAACCATACTTTTAACTTACTCCCACCAGGAGATTTTCTTCCTGCATGAACGCAGCAAAGCCCTTATGGCACAACTAGCCATCCAGGTCACCCTAACCTCTGTATGGACACTATTCGCAGGCCCAATCGCTGAGTCGATCACACCAGAGGGATGGTACGGGCTTGGAGCCGGTCTTGCTGGAGCACTGCTTTTAGTGGCACTTGTCCTCCTACCAGAAACAAAATATGACCGTCCTCTCACATCCTACCAGGAAACAAACTCCGACCCAACGAGCACATCTTCTGACTTGAAAAAGGACCTAGGCGCCGAGGTATGCACCATTCGCCCGGCCCTAGACTACGAGAGATACGCGCCTCGTACATGGAAATCCGACATGCGACTCTGGATCGGGAAGCCCCAATGGACAGAGACCTGGGACGTGCTAAGAGTAAGTCCATATGTGCGCAGACAGAACCATCTTTACATCAATTCTAACCCCAGCTAGCAAACCTTCGAGCTCCTCTTCTTCCCGAACGTCCTTTGGGCCCTGCTTCTCAACGGCCTCACAATTGGTGTAAACGTCGCCATTGGCACCACCTACAGCACCATCCTCGCCGATCCACCCTACAACTGGCCCGACAGCAGCGCAAGCTACATCAACTGCGGCCAGATTATCGTCGCTATCGTCGCCCTCCCCCTTCTGGGCCACGGCTCCGACTACTTAGTGAAGTACTTCGCCAATCGCAACAACGGCATCCACGAGCCGGAAATCCGCATCATCCCTCTCATTTTCCCTATCATCGTTGGCACCTTCACTGCCGCACTATATGGCCAAGGCGGCGCGCACCCGTACGAATACCACTGGTTCATATATGCCTGGACAGTGGCAGCATACTACTTCTGCTTCGTCGGCGCAAATATCGTTGGCATTACGTACCTGCTTGATAGTTATCCTGGGAGATCGGGACCCTTGTTGGTTATTATCTGTGCGTTTCGGGGGTTTATTTCCTTTGGGACGAGTTATGCCGTGTCGCCGTTCATTGCGCTTCATGGGTATGATGGGGCTTTTGGGACTTATGCGGCCTTGACGGCGGCTTTTGGGCTGTTGGGGATTCCGGTGTTTATTTGGGGGAAGCAGATTCGGAGGTTTACAGGGAGGTTTGCGAAGAATAAGGCGGATTGATCAGGGGAGTGGTTACGATGACGGGTATATTGTGTTTTTGTGTGCTTTCAAGTCAGCATATGTTGGTTTTGTTGACATGTGTTTGTATGTTCTTTTCTTCTAGTGGGAGGAAGTACAATTTAATGTATGGACCTGATGGCAATGCATGGAGTTTTGCACTGTACCATTGATATGCAGCTGACTGTAGACTCCCCAAAACAGATCTCCCTCCAGCAATGAACGATTAATAATTTGTTGGCTTTATGAGACACAACTCTACAGCTCTTGGTAATAAAGAGTAAGTATTAGTGCTAAGGTATCGAGTGGAAGTACTCCGCAGCACATGATCTGATCGCCCAAGTCTCGTGCCCAACCTGGGTCCTCCACATCCTGGCGAACCTGAACGAGGGATGAACTGTTTCCAGTCTCCCTGTCACTTTCACCTTGCTTATGTAGCAAGCTACTTGTGATTGATCCCATATCGCCAGGTCACACGCGTTACGAGATCCCCATAAATGGTCGAATCTGCAACGACGTGTCGTACGCTCAGGTTGAAGCGCGTCGTGGGGAGCCATCGGTCGGGCATCTCGCAAGCCTGTCAGGCGGGACTATTTCTCCATCTTATCACAGCATAGAGTACACTCCCTCAGCCACTTCCCCACTGCATCGCACTAACTGTGGGCTGATTCAGGCTCTTGGAGTACCGATCCGCAAGATCCTCGCATACACCCCAGATGCGCCTCCGGTTGGCGACACCAATCAGTTTCACATCGTCCATGCCGTACCGCGGAGCAGTCATCTTATCGAGCCACATGTACATCCTCTTATAATTGAGATCCGCGGGGATCTTCTGGTTCTTTGCTGCCTGAAGCTCCCAGAACCAGGGCATGTTGCGCTGCATAAACTGCTTCCAGAAGAGGTTGTCCTGGGTGACGAGGTGGATGTACAACGAGGCTTCGGCCAGTGCTTTCAGCGAATCGCTAGGCAAGAATTTGCAGATCTGATAAACGATTTCAAGAGGCAGTTTGCCGAAAGGGCTGACAGGCTTCCGGTCGCGGAGATCCAGCTTCGCGAATGGAGTCTTCAAGCCGCTATTTGTCTCCATATTGCTTTGGAGGTATTCGTCGAGTCCGGGTGTCTCCACCGGATGGGCGGCACAGTACTGCTCCGATTGTTAACATAATTTAGACAGAGCTCGGCGAAGATATGCTTGCCTCTGCGCCCGGGATACATTCCCAGTAGCGGCCTTGCGAGCGCTGGATGTCGTCTCCGTAGTTCAATTGCAGGGCAGACCCGGACATGTTGCACAACGGCGTCATGATATTGTACAACACGTCCAGGTTGACGTTTTTAGTGTCAGTCGTCCCCGTCAGTGCGCGAGTCAAGATCTCAAAACAGCCCCAGTGGAACGGTAAGACTGGACCGGGCGCTTCCTCCGAACCATGGCCATAGCTTTGAACGGTCAGAATGGGTCAACAAGACGAGTCTACGAAGTGGGTATGTCACACCATGAATAAACGCGCTGAGAGCGCGACCGGGAACCATCTAAATAAGGTCAATAACCATGAAAAACCATGAGTAAAGCACATCGGCTCATCAGCATACCAGATTTGGCCTTGACGACAAACTCGCCCTGATACGTAATTAGCTTCGATCGAAAACGTCGCACTCAGTGAGAGCGCCTACAATATCGGCATAATATCCTTCATCCGAGAGAAACGCTCTAAAAGATCGTTAAACGGGTCTCTCCGACCGCGCGAACAGCAGCAGCACCTACTTTGGCGCACCCGATTTGGCATTTTCATCCACACCCAGGCAGTGTGCCTTATACAACCAGGAGATATTGTCCCAGCCCACGATGCGAGGGTCATAGCTGCGAACAGGCTCCTCATTTTCCTCTCCCTCGTGCGACACCTGCCTGAAGTCTTCGCCGGCTTGTAGCGCCCGGCATCGCTTTTCGATCCACCGCCTGCGGCGCTCGAGGGCCGTCTCCGACGGCGCCTCGATGTGCATGCCACAGAAACCAACACCGCAGATTGCGCAGTAGCAATCGAAAGCCATGGTGGTGAAGGAAATCAGTACCTGGAATTGGAACTGAGGAAGAAAGAGTGGAAGTGTGGCTGATCTGGAGAGCTGATGGGGATTAAAAAAAGGATCGCCCCCCAAGGCGTGCCAGAATAAATACCGAAAGCGAAGGGGGTGTGGGAGGGCCCACCGCGATGGATGGAGTGGAACGCCGGAAGCAATCCATTCAGGGGCGAGCATCAACTCTTCGCCCGCACACTAAGGATTGGGGAAAACTCTTCGTGACGATCAGGCGACCTAAAAATATGACACCGACATTTTCCCAGCGACCGGCTTGATAGACGCCATGTCATGGCCTCGCTGAGTTGGCAGGGAAGATCTCCTGAGGTCTTTTTTGTTACGGATGATAGAGCAGTCTTGGTACTACCCTTTAAGCCTTGGGGAGGGTAGAGAGACCGGGGGTAGATACAGTAATCCCAGCTGGCTCCATGAATGATAGCAAGCCACGCTTCTTCCCCCCCAGAAGATGTACGGACTACGACAGACTTTACTGGAAAAAGTTAACCTTAATTACTAGCCTGAGGCTGTCGCCAACTCGAAAAGGCGGTGTTCTTCCCTCCATTTGAATCGAGCTGGAAAGCCAAGCGCCGATCTCCGGAATTGGGGTTACTGCAGCTATCCCTTGCCCTGGGTGGCCAACGCAAAAGTGTGGCATGACTGCTGCTGCTACAGCTACTGCTCTTGCTACTGCTGCTGAAGTGGCAGGAAAGCCAACAAGGGCATTGTCAACCACGGGATGACCTGATCGAGCGAATCCAGGAACACGAGGCAGAAATTTTCAATGGGACACGCCCCTGCTCGGGCCGATGGAATGGATGGAATTGTTGGTTCAGGAACGATTTCTGATTGTGGCACAACCCCGTGACTAAACCTTGCCACCGCTAACTAATCCAACTAATCCCAACTAACTCAACTACCGCATTGGCCCAGCCGGGCCCAGAAGCCCGCCTTCCCCTTCTTTGCCTTCTCCTCGGCTGTCGGATCTGGGCCGGATTCCCGTCCACTGCACATTGCTGGCTGGCTGGACCGCAATAATAGCCGGTTTTAATGATCGTGTTGTGGTCTGCACGCATCGAAGCTTTTGGAAGCTCCAGCTTTGTGATAAAGTTGGCAGGTCACAAGACCTGTCTAGCTATATTTAACTACATTAATTCGTAGACCCGCCACGTTTTGCTATAGTCACGCGCACAGATTTAGTCGTGTTTTTGGCAGAGAACATGGCATTGCTATCGCATTGTCGCCTATTCTATGTTCTTCTCGGTCCTTCTAGCTGCTCTTGAAGTCCATACAGATTCTTTTGTACATTTGTCTATAGCTCGGGTCTGGCGGCAAGGCAGGAAAAGACAACGAATCTGGTTGGCAGTGAGCGCCACCTAAGCTCTACAACCATTTGCGGAGACGCGGCATTTACGTCTCGGGAAATAGCTACTCCAATCACTATCAACCATTAACAGAAGACGTTCCGGGTCCTTCCATATGCCGCTTTCCCCATATGCCGCTTCCCCTACAGCAAGGAAGCTAGACCAGTTCCAGCATACTAGGTAGATATTTACCCTGAGACTAGGTGCTAAGCACACCGACGAATTACGCTTTAAAAGGTAAATCCTTCTAAACGGAAGCCGACATGGATAGTTCTGGGTAAAGCACGCGCAACCAAAAGACACTCCCTTATCCTCCCGAGTGGCGAGCCCTTGGACGAACTGAAGATAGCATGCATTTCTGGAAGATGCGGACTGACAAGTTCTGGCTCGACAGGCTGCATCAGCTCAAAGTCGACCATAGTAACGGCGTTGGTTGCATGGTCATAGAACACATTGTGCTTTCCAGAATCAATACAGACAAGTGAAAGCTCTCGGAGGACTTTTATAGCTTTGTAGACTTCAGAATATATATAAAGCTTTGCACTAGCAGGAAGGGTACTCGACTGTGAAATTAGGAATTTGCCCTGGACTTGAGAGATAACTTGAATGTACCCCTTCGGCAACAGAAAAGAATAATAAATTCTCGCCATGATCCATTTACACGAGAAACGAACCATAGCCCTGCGGCCTCTCAAGTCTAGCATAAACGGACATTTCTTGCGTATAACTATAAGAAATGGAATCAGTCATGTAATCAGACCCTCGGGCTGCTTTTCAAACCTTCTATACCGGCTTTCTGGCCAGCATTGGCTATGGCTGGCTCAGCATTCCAGGTGATATCATATATAGCCCTTTCCTTACTCTGTCATATAAACCTTCTGTAATTGATCATATTTGTAACATCAGTACCTTCTGTGCGATACATAATACTTTCTAGTCCGATTGATTCGCCCGAAGTATTGTCTGTGGTTGTCATTTGATGCAGTAACGGTGATAGCCGTACTCGATCCTGACTGTGCTATGACGCGCTTATTCCAACTTTTTCTCCGCCTGTTGAGACTGACTAGGAGATATAAAACACCTGCATAGCAAAGTGGTTATTCATATATCTAGCAATTTTCACAGCTGAAGTCAATAAAATTGCAGAAATTCTTGATATTGACCGATCTTCCAAGCACAATTTATGCATGCATCACGGCCTTAATAACCGGCACTGTTCGATACATGACTCTTTTCTTTTCAGAACGGTCGTTGTAACCGTCCATTTTTATACAAATCATCTTATCACTTCCAGGTGTTGGGCCTGTACGTGGTGTTTTCCATTAGCCAGGATGGCGCTGCGGATCATTTCCGGTATACGGGATAATGCACAGTTTTTAATCCTGATTGCTCTCGTTGTCCGTTCAGCGCTGCTGGCTTCGGAGATTCTTAATATTCTCGAGGAGTAATATCCATGAGCCCCTCAGTGCTTGCCACCACCCATATATCTTGTCAGCTGGAGGCTGTTGATCACCGCGAAAGATTATTATATACCTTCCTTTTTTTGGAATGTTAAGTAGAGTTGAGAGGTGTAGGATGGAAGGAGATAAATGGAGGATGGTGGTTTTTATATATATATTGGCAGTATTGATATTCCCGCTTGAAGGGCGATAATAGTCACTAGTACCTCTGGGGAATGACCAGTGATCGGTGACTGAGATATATATATCTATACAATAAGATAATTCACTGTTCCATTCCTAATAGCACCTGCTCTGACTGTAAATATCTATATAGTATACTGGAGATGCCTACATGTCTTGCAAATGCTCTGAATATAGGCTTATTAGCTTTGCGTAATATATGATAGCCTCGGAAACTTGACATCTTTAGGGGTGCGCCAAGGATCTGTCAATGCATACCATACTCACTATGAGAGGCATTTAGTCTACGAGACTAGTTGTGTACTGGTCTCTCAGGACGAGCATTAAGACGCTGGTGTCCGCGCCCTATGCCGCAAAGAAGTGATATTAACATGCATGTATAGTCAGGAAACAATTATTATATAACCATGCTTATTGTGCCCGTTTTAATGATAGGTAACTATTACTTCTTAGCCGGGGCATGGGCGCAAGGGCAATGGCATCTCATGATATTAGGAAGAGGATTGTTGGGAGAAAGCACATGAATGAAGGAGAGGAGCAAGAAGGGTCATTGAAGGCTATTACTGAGAAGAACAGACGAGCACATTCTGTACTACAGTAGCAGGCAGGTGATATGTTCTAAGGAAAACTGCAAGTATCTACAACCCAGAGAATATAAGTCGCGGTGTTTATTGAGACACTAATCTTAGGTTTTGATAACGGGTGGCGATGACTTTGTCCGTTTGTTACTGACTGTAGCATAGCATGATTACCTATTATTTGTGAGAGCAAGCCGCGTGGATGTTCTCTCATAAATAGCAAAGTTGATAGTATATTTAATCCTTACGGTGCGAACAAGTGAAAGACTATTATATATTAGTATATCAATGTCAACCAGATATTTTATATAGAAACTCCTTTTTTCGCATAATCTAGTCACGATCCTCCCGTGGATAAACCTGATGTTTGAACCCGGTCATAGAAGTCGGAATTCTTGCATCACTATACCTTCTCTGTAAATATCCATGTTTGGACTCTTTTCGAACAGCGTATCCCTCTGCCCATCTTCGGCTCTCTATCTTTTTTCTACTTCTCAGATAGCCTGCTTTGATTTCCTGGCCTCGTGAGCAGACTGTTGTATAATTATGGGGAAAATACTAGTGGCTCGGACCAGAGAATTGTCCACCAACTATTCAGCATCATACCGATGCCACGATGTCATACAAGCAAATTTGTGAATCTGATGACTTGATGTTAATAGCCCAGCCACTCAGGAAAGGGCGGACCGAATTGCTTGCAGGTGGAATGCGGGGTTGCGGTTCAGTCGGATGTCGCATCATTGGGATACCTTGTTGAAGAGGCTTCGGCTAAATATTTGGAGAAGAAATAAATAAACAACTGGGGTGAGGAGAAGCGCTTGCGGGGAAATATTGTCTGACGTATTCCGATGTCGTGATAGCATTTGCGCCGTGGAAAAAAGGATGATGTATTGTGAAGACGTTTAATTTGGAAAATACATAGGGCTGTAGATAGAAACATCATATCATATAGACGGGTTTTCATGGAAGCCGCTGTTTCAGATAAGCTTTGCATCCAAAGATAATGTCCATCCCACAAGGTAAATGGATATTATTCAGTATTCATGCCAGTTCCTGCGAAACAAAGCCTGCAACTGCCTCAGAAAAAGCAACCTCCAAGGTCCCTGATTGGAGATTTGTAAAACAGACTGCCGGTCGTGTCGCCTTTCTACACGTGTCCGACCGACCCAAATTGACGGGACATTTGAGACTGTTCTAAATTAGTCTCGATACTTCATGCATCCTGTCCCGTCCATAGCCATCGTGCAGAACAGCCAAGAATCGACGGAAGGCTTGTTTCTGTGCTGCCTACCACTTGTAGATCCGTGGACATTTCAAATTTTATTTGCTTTTGTGATTCCAATTTTATCTTTTGACTAAAGTGTCCATTACTGTCGAGGCTATGATGTAGGGGCTATCAAATAAGCAAGCAACAATGTCGATCTCGTGGTGCCTTCCATTTCCTGCGTGTATCTTGCAACAGCCCCAGTATCTTTTTATCCCCAATCATCCCCTCATGGTGCCCCTCCCCCTCATGCGGACCAAAGGCCGCTTGAACACCCTCCTACGGGCCTCCTTCCGTGGTCATCTGCGAGATCTTCATAGCCACCGTTTCCAAGCCAATGCCCCGCTCTCACACATTGGGTCGATGCATCGACACGCTGTTCCAGGCAACGACATCATGTTATTATAGCTGGATTGAGTGTTGGCTGTGCCATGTTTGAAGGACCTTGAAGAAAGTCAAAATGTCTTATCCGGGTGTTTAACATATAATTGGCCTGGCGGCACATCAAGATGTTGTTCGTTACAGAACCGGCGTTGACAAACGAGATGCTCTTGCGAATTTCCTTTCTAGCCATCTTCGTCCCGGCTCTGGCGGAGCAGAAAAGTTTCGATGATGCCGTCAGTAGCCTGGATGCGGACTGCCTTTGTCCGATATACACTGCTCTATCACAATACACATTCGCTGGTATACCTGCTGGTGGAAGCTATAACCATTCAATATCGGTGACGGCCTTCTTTGCCGAAGAAAGCTATATACAGACTTTGACGAACTTTGACAGCATATGCAACAGCACCGTGGAAATCGCTTCTATGTATGCGAGTGCGAGGGCAAGGTGTGATGGAGGTAGTCCAGCCGCTAGCGTATCGTTCTGGCAGGAGTTGTGCGATGTCGACATTTCATCGCTTGAGGTCAATGGATCCACAACTTACACTTCAATGCCTATTGTTGATCCAGATGTCAATACAACTGCCTCTACTGGAACCATAGAATATCCCATTCTCTTGAGTGAGTCATACTATAAGCGGGCATACAAAACATGTGTATGTACATCTTTCGTTCATTCCATAAAGGCAGCCTAACTCCTATTACAGGTAATTCATGATAAAGCACTGGGTCAGGATATCCGCTTTGGCTGGGGACTTATGGGGTACTGGGCAGCTATCCTGGTATTTGGAATGGCGCAGAAGATCCTCGGCCTTTGGTCTGCTAGGCGGGCTTTTGACTCAGGCAAGGATACTGAAGCCAATGCAGTCTCTAGACCCATAGAATGCAAGCAAATCCCTACCCCGCTGTCTTCAATCTCTTATGCTTTGCGTACCCATATTGTTGTCCCAGCAAGCTTCACCCCTATATTTTCTCATTACCAGCGACTTCTCTACGGACATAGTGTCCCTAAACGACTTGATTTTCTAATTGTTTCCGGATTCTGGATTCTCTGTGTCCTCTTAGCTTGTGTCAACTACAATGGAGCTATCAGGTAAGACCCTCGAAACTCCCTATGTTCCTAGCTAACAGCACTAGGACATCGACCATGCCCCAGCGCAATTGGCATTATACGTCCGATCGGACGGGCATTCTCGCGTACGCTTGTCTACCGTTCTTGTGGCTATTTAGCGGGCGCAACAACATCTTCCTCTGGGCAACCAGCTTCGACATTCAATCCTTCAGCACGTTCCATCGGCATATTGCGTGGGCGTGTACGCTACTTGCCATTGTTCACTCGATTGGTTATAGCATCATTTTAGCAGACTATGGTAAGCCTTACGTCTTCACCTCAACCACATTACTTACAATTTAGAGGACGCATACCATGAAGCATGGAGCCACAAGCCGTGGTACATGGGTGTAATAGTGAGTATCAATACACCTTTTCCCTAACTATGCTAATACCTTCAGGCCATTATTGCCATGTCAGTATTGTTAATTCACTCTGTCACCTGGCTACGCCGCAGTTGGTACGAGGTATTCCTCCTTTCCCATATCATACTCGCCATTGTCATTATCTATGCTCTATTCCAGTAGGTCTGTTCCCTCCCTTTTTCACTCCAATAATAACCCATTAGACACACCCGCCCCGACGGTCCCCAGTGGAACCCCTACCTCTGGACCGTAGTCGCAATATGGATGTTCGATCGCATTTTTCGCATAGCCCGGATCGCATACTGCAACCTCCATATCCGATTTAGCGAACCACAGATCTCCCTCCCATCATCATCGGTCACATACAATCCTGACAGCGATCTGATAATGATAGATATTGAGGCACCTTCACATCTTACTCCCAAACCAGGTCAACACTACTTCATCTCGCAACCACTCAGTGTACATTGTTTGGAAAATCACCCGTTTGCACTGGGTGCATACGCCAAAGCATCATCCCGTTCGCCGAAGGAGAAAAGCAGGTTGACCTTCTATATCCGTCCTTACAATGGATGGACGAAGACCCTCCGTGATCGTTGCACCAGGGCCAAAAATACCATACAACCACTCCTTCTACTAGAAGGCCCATATGGCCACACGGCACCGCTGCATACCTTCAACACGGTGCTTCTGATTGCCGGTGGAACGGGTATCGCAGCTACGCTGCCATATATACTCGATCATGCCGCTCGGCTAGAAACCCAAGCCACGAAAACGACCAGACTCCATCTTATATGGTCGGCTCGTCAGAGGGGTATGTTCAATACTGTACTCTCTGGCGAACTGAGCCACGTGTTGCAATGCGAGGGTGTCACTATAAGCTTTTTCTGCACTGGTGGTGATCCGATGTCACCGATTGAGATTGAAGCTATCGATAAGGAGGTTGCTATTAACTCTACATCAAATATACATTTCTGCAATGGTCGTCCTGATATCCGTGGAGCTGTGGAAAATGAAGCAGAAATCGCTCGCGAGTGCAGCACGAGGCTTGCGGTGCTTTGCTCTGGACCGGGTATGATGGCAGATGAGTGTCGGTTAGCGGTGTATGAGGCCATGAGAAGGGGGTGTCGCGAGGTACGGTACTTTGAGGAGGCATTCACTTGGTAGATATTCTTTTCCATCAAAAGGTCTATCCGACTGAATAATCCTGAATCATGGATTCAGCGCGCTCATTTACCGTTCTCAGCTTCTGTGAATAGAGGATAGCCGCTGATTATGTAGTAAACAAACAGCCCATAAAAGCCAACTAGGAAGTTACATTCCAAAACAAGATTATATTATGTCTCAAAATCAAGAGTACAGAATGAATAAGGGAGCGGCAAACAGCTAGCGAATAACCGGAAGCCTTCCTCATGCCACTAGAGATGACAATCGATTGGGCCACCTTTCCAACGATCAAAACTTGAATATCACCTTAATGTGATCTGCTTGTAAACCGTTGTCCCCATGAACCAGATCATAAGATACGTATTGGGGCTCCCCAAGGGTCTGAGACTCGCTCGCATCAACCGCTGAAGGGGAAGAAAACATGGCCGGTCTTCCAGGTTCTGAGCACATAAAACCATAAACCTTTTACTGTTATACCACTTGATATGTCCGATATTTTGAGTAGAATTGTATCAGTGCTGGCTATTGTTTAGTTGTGTGACCGCAGAATTGCTTGAACTGTTAGCGCACGCTTTTGGGATAAATTCTATCTCGTGTTTGATGCTGATTCGTGAAGGGAAGCCTTTGTGGTTGTCATACGGAGTGTTTATATGTTGCAGAATAATCGCGAAACTATAAATTTAAGGGTTGCCACTGGGGGTTTATAGTGGTGACGCTTACATCAACTTTGATACTGATGTGGCCACACGCCAGGAACAGGGTATGTTGCGTCCAATCGACTTCTTTTCCAAGGATCTTGTGTACAATGAAAACCCTGTATAAGCTCGCGGACCATGTACTAGGCACAAGAACTTTAGAGTTCCTCAGCGCCGGTTCCGCTGCTGGTTGTTGTCCCTAGGATTTCTGGCCATATGGCTTAGACATGCATATGGCATGTTGTGACGTGCTGGCTTACGCAAACTTATACAGGAACTATAACTCGAAATGAGTAGAGTATTGGGAATTGCCGGTTTCGAAACAAGCATTAGTCGAGCCGCCTCATCCTTGTATCAGCCCGACTAGAATGCCAGCATATTAAATACTATAGGCGGAATATCACCCAGCTGCCAAGGCAACACGTCAATAGAATTCCGCTACCGGTAGTGGCCCGTAAAGACGATATAATGTACCTTAATGTGATCGTGGGGAAGAGGAGCCCCAAAAGAAGTGCTTGCTGTATTCAGGTATCATGCAGATCTCTCTCCTCCTTCGCCCCTCCATCCCTGTCCTGTATAGCATGCTTACCAGACCTCCGACTCCCTCAACCACTGCAACATCAACTCCCTTCTCTCCTCCCCATCCGTCAACTCACCCCTCCCAAAGCCATTTCCCAAATACATTGTCTCCTTCTTCTTCCCACTAGCCTCCCATTTGACCAACCCCTCACCATTCGGATTCCCAAACTTTATGAAGTTCGCCCAATACGCCACCATCACCCTCTCGATCTCAAAATCCCGCTCTGTCCATGGCATATCCGGATAATTATACGGCAAGTTTCCAAAAACATAGTACATCTCACTCCCATGGAATGCACCCAGGCTCTGCCCCGGGGGAGCATGGTCCCAGAAATACGTGTACACAGGGGCTGTAGCGCCGCCGGCGTACCAATCTAGTGCCCAAGCCCATGTACTTACTCTGCCAAGGTCTGCCCAGAAGGCGTTGTTGGCAAGGGTTATTGATTCTGTGTCGTTGGCCGGGTAGAGGGAGAAGAATTCCTCGGCGAGATGGGGGAAAGGCGCGAACATGGTGGAGAAGTTCGAGCGGAAGGTGGACAGTGTGTACCCCGGGTCTGTGGCGGCGCCGGACTCATCTTTGTTGTTGCCGGTTAGGATGGGGATATTGGGGTGGGTGTTGTTCGAGAGGGTAGAGGCGTAGGTGTGTGGAAGGACGTAGCCGTCCAGGACGGGGCGCCACTCAGGGGGTTCCATAAAGGTGGTGACATTTTGGTAGTTTGTGTTGTCGAAGATGGTGGCGTTGAGGAGGTCGGTTGTTAGGAGGGTTGAGACGGGGAGGGCACGCATTTCGGAGAGGCTTGATGCTTTGAGGGAAGTCATCACAGAGAGGCCAGAGGATTCAGCTTCGTCTTTGAGACGATAGCTTGTCGCCAGACTTCCTGTTAGGGGGTCACGGGGAGATCGCGCTCCACTTTCGGCGATGACTCCTGATACGAGGCCCTCTGCGAGAGGGGAGTACATCATGTCGAGGGAGCAGGAAGAGCCGGAGGATTGGCCGCCAATGGTGACGCGGGCAGGGTCGCCGCCGAAAGAGGCAATGTTGGCTTGCACCCATTCCAGGGCGGCGATGATGTCGAGGAGGCCGTAGTTTCCGGAGCTGTTGTGAGGGGATTCGGCGGAGAGGAGAGGGTGGGCGAGGAAGCCGAGAGGGCCAAGGCGGAAGTTGAAGGTGACGATGATGATGTCTTGCGAGGCTAAACCGCTGCCGTCGTAAGTTACGACGTCGCCAGAGCCATCGACAAAGCGGCCGCCGTAGGCCCAGACGTAGACAGGGAGCGGGGTGGAAGGAGTGGTGGTTGGGGTCCAGATGTTCATGTAGAGACAGTCTTCGCTTTGGTCGGTTGAACCGGTCGTCCAGAGGCCGGTGCCCATGTTTAGGGACTGGGGGCACTGGGCGCTGAAGGCAGTTGCGTTGTACGTGCCGGTCCATGGCTGGGGCTCGACCGGGGGCTTCCAGCGGAGTTCACCAGTGGGAGGTGTAGCGTAGGGAATGCCTTTGAAGACTTGGACGTTGGGACGGTAGGGAGATGTTGTGCCTAGAATGTCGCCATAGTTGGTGTGAACGATGGGGGAGGTAAAGGTGTTGTGAATGGGAGAGGATGCCACTGCTCCGACAAGGAGCAAGAGAATGAGAAGCATTATGTGGTTGAGGCAAGTGAGGCCTCTACTATTCCGACGGGTAACCCGTGCGAGAGTGAGGGTTATGGGAAGAGGGCTGTTCAGCTTTATATGTCTACAGCGGGCGTAAGCCGCCCTAGCCTGAAGATGATCTACAACTCCACGATACCTGCATTCTCCTATCTCCATACCCCGCATAATCCCCATATCTAGTCTGTTCTCAAGTGGTTGAGGTGGGTAGTGGGCCCGAGCATTCAACCCGATGTTTGTTATGCAGGCAGTGTGAGGAAACGAGATGCAGCAGCCGCGGGTATGATCAACACGGACGGCTGATATTCAAAATTATGCTCGGCAATTGGGCCGTTCTGGCACTGCTGCCATTTTGTACGTCTTCGGGTCCTTCTCATACGTAGAGTCGCATTCTCCTCTCCTTGCTTCATTATGTAGAGGGCATCCGTGACGTCTATACACAGTGATAATATTAACAGCAGTTGTGCTTGACACTTCTGTAAAATTAAGCCCTGCACCACTTCCCCCGCTCAAATCTGAAGAAGTTATCTGGAGCCAGACTCACGGATATATCTTAAACCCGAGCAATGCGGGGGCTCGCAAGAATTAGCTGCTTTCGTTTATTATGACCGAAGAGGTTCGGGATAGGCATCCTAGCTACACCGTATTATATGGAGAGACCGGCTTGGAAAATGCTTCTCTGCCGCTCGCTCAACGATTCTCGCGACAGAATTCCTTTTTATTTCACTAAAAGAGAGGACAAATCTATTACGAAGGCAGCAGGTCACAAAATTCAAGCTGTCTGTATATCATAGACTAATTTCCAGTCGGAGGTCGGACATCATACCACCACCGACGCGGGGTAGCGGGATATTCTTGATTCTACCAGCAGAATGTCAAGGGGAACTAGTCCGAACTGGTTGGTGCGATTTTTGACTTCTCGCGCAGGGTGCGTCCATACTTCATGAAGACGAACGGTATCGGCAATGCCAGGCAAGCAATGCCTCCCATTAAACTAGCAGCAGGTCCCACGCCGAGATTGTGGAACATGGGCTTCGCCGCCAACGGCAGCCCCGCCGCCAACAAGGATCTCAGTATGGTGGTTGCTGAGATCGCGCTCGCTGCATATGGCCCGTAGGTGTCGATTAAATAGTTGATACATTGCTGGAAGATGATGTTGTTTCCGGCACCGACGAATACTGCGTAGATGTTACAATATAGTCTTACATCATCGGAAGATCTTATGGCATACCTCCTGCAACTGTGGGCAGTACCCACGAGTACTTTGGTGCTGCAGACCATCCAAGCCAAAAGAATCCTCCTGGCAGGAAAATTCCCCCAAGTACCAGCGGGGGAAGTCGCGCTTCAGGAACGGCTTTTCCATCGTTTTCCATAACCGCTTTTGCATACTGTGTTCGATACGCAAAGGTGATTCCGACAGCGCAAGCTGTGCCGACCAGGATCCCGAGAAATGGCAAGGAAGCAATCACTGGACTGTATCCACGTTCCTCTTCAAACACAATGGGGTACACCTGGAGACATAGATAGATCAAACTATATGAGAAAGATGCATATGCCGCAACGCAGGCCATGATGCTCTCGCTTGTCAACATGCTAGGGGAGTCAGAGACGGTTCGCGACTTAGGTTAGGCATGGTGACACACCGTAATGGGCGAATGAAATGTTTCGTGGCTGCATTCTCTAAATTTATGCTCTCGTGCTCATGAGGGTGCCAGTATCTCCTATCTCCTGTCGTCCTGCGCATTCTCTGTGCCTTATTTCTCAACAAGACAGGAGAATACGTTTCAGACAGCGTCAAGGTGGCAAGGGCGAATAAGCCAAAGCAGCAGATAGCTTCGATATACATCGTCCCTGAACTTTTTAGTCCACGCAATAGAAGCTCCAATGCATGAGACTTACAGCGCCATCCAAGTTTCGAGTTTGCCACCACTGCAGAGCCAATGAGAGGTCCGACAGATGGCCCTCCTGTGATACACAGCATCATGAATGCCACTGCTATTCCTCGCTCTTTCGGTGCGTAAACGTCGCTTAACGCAGCATTTGCATTGCTAATGGGTGCAGAGCCAAATATACCACCAATGAACCTGGTAATGAATATGCTGGCGGCGTTCTTGCTTACTGCCGTTCCAATGCTGAACAAGCCTAAGCAAAAGAGAGCTGGAAGCATTCCCCATTTGCGGCCATAAACCTCGCTTATTGGACCCCATATGGTTGGACCGACCGCCCAGCCTGCAGAAGTGAGCAGATGAGTCTGTAGTTGAATGAAGAAGTGACGAACCAAGGATGTACAACGAAGTCGCAAGCACTGCGACCTCGGAGCTGATGTTGGTATACTCCGCTATATCTGATTGTCCCGGAGACAATATGGATGAAGCCAATGCCGCAACAAAAGTGAGCATACTCAATTGGCAGGTAATATAAACCTTGTGCCAGCTGCCGAAGTTCCTTGGGTCGTCAGAATCACCCTTTTCGAACTTGACTACAAAATCAGGATCCGACACTGGCGTTGTGTTCGTGTACGCATGACCACGAATGACCCCGGAGTGTATATCATGGTGCAGTTCTGGCTTATATTCCGATAGCGGTAGATTTTGATCGATCTGGTTCAGATCATCGCTGCTGTGTGCCATGATAACCTGTTGGGCCGCTTATATAGATGGATGTATATAGTGTGGCAGAATGGGAGGGACGAACAAACAACGAAGTCTCACCAAGGACAGGGAACTGCAGCTGAACGGAGATGCATTGCGAAGTAGCCATGACCAAACGCAAGCGCATTATAAGTGAAAACCTCAGCATACTGGAGAGAGGTGAGGGAAGCAACACTCATCCATGCAGCTGTTGTGTTCCCATTGCAGCTAGCAGATCAGCCAATGACAGCGCTGGTTGGGGGATAGTCAACTGGCCGTAAGAGGACTAGTGGCGGCCGCTGGTCCCACAGGCAGTTGATTTTATCACGTGATGTGTCCCTGGCATGGGAACTTGACAATCCATCTATAAGACACCGTCGTCATCCATGTCACGATCGGGCACGATGTCTTAGCGGCGGCCGACAGCCCCAGTGAGTTACTTGATCTTGTTCTTTGCTAATATATGGCTCTGCTGTGTCCCTTTCAGCACTCTACGTCCGAGACTGACAGCCCAATTATAGGCCGATCGGCATTTCGATAGATTCGCTTCTCGATCGCAACTGGCTTGTCGAATAATTTATAGTGAGGGAAACGGAAAAGATGACTGTACCGGTTACTGAGCGAGCATTGCAAGTATGCCTGACCTGCAAATTGAGAAAGAAGGCATGCGACAAGACACTGCCAACCTGTGGGTACTGCACCAAACGGAACCTGCCATGTCGATACCAAGGTCCTCCGGCGGCTGAAGAAACGGGCACAGAAGCGACTACTCAGATAGAAATAAATGCGATCTTGCTACAGATGGTTTCCCTGTTTGGCCCACCATCGGGAAATGTGTCCACAGCACCCAGAAGGACATGGTACCAAGTATGCCGCATCATCCAATTGGCAGACCTCTCGTTGCAGGAAATCAGTCGCCGGTATTTCAGCAACTTCCACAAATGGCTTCCAGTAGTATCGTACGAAATCTTTCAAGGAACTTTGGCCCAGTACAATAGCCCGTCTTGCCCACCACCGGTGGACTATTCTGTCCTTGTGCTGGCTATGTGCCTGGTGACGCTGCAGCCGTCGAGACTCAATACACACTTAACACCACATAGCCTATATGCCACTATGAAGATGCTATTCGCGGAAGCTCAAGCCATAATATGTGCCTCAACATATTTACTTCAGGCTGGACTGCTCATCGCTGCATATGAGTATGCCAACGGTCGGCCTGAGGCAGCGAACATTACGATGGGGACTTTAGCCAGAACCGCTTTTGCAATTGGGTTAGCAAATCCCAGCTCCTGGCAGACAAACGAAGCTAGTAATATCTCACTTGAAAGACTGGAGCGCCTAAATTTGTGGTGGGGTGTAATCATTCTCGAAAGGTAGGTCAATTACAAGAAGATTTTGCACACATAGGCTCACCCAGCCTAGGCTTATTCTATGCGAGATCAAAGACAAGACACAACGACCTACAACAGAATGTCCATCTTCTAAGTTTCCTCTGCCGAGTGACCTCCAGCCTATCCAAGCTAGCCATCAATCAGTAGGAAGCTCCTCACATGAAAATCTGCCTTCGAACCAGGACAGGAAACCCTGTGCTTTTGGCCATCAGGCACGAGCTGTGCTCCTCCTTGATCGGGTGTTGGCAGTGCGAAGGCTCCCCCGAACCGATAGTGGTAGGACGGTAGAGATTCGGCAACTCGACGAGCAACTGCAAAACTTTCTTTCAGAACGGATAAACACAGCTACCGCGGAAATTGGCCATGATTGCAGTCCTATAGCATCTGCCGTGAGGTATGTCAGCCGTAATCTCCCTGCCTTGTGACCTGAAAGGGAATGGATACTAGTCTGAAGGACCGCGCCACTCGGCTGCAGCTAACTGATTCTGCCAGAGCGCTTTGCCTATTACATCAGGATGTCATAGAGTCTCCTTCCAACACCGTTGACTTGCAGAGTCTGCAATACTCACAGGCGGCTCTAGGAATGGTATCTAATGTAGTGGTGGATGTCGCGCGCCACCACAAAGCGCAAATTGCGTGCCAAAATTCCCATGCCGATCTACTACCCCTGAGCTGCTCGTACACTCTGCACATGGCAATGAGACATATTCGGGATTGCAGGAAGCTAGTCTGCCCATACAGCCGCTCTAGCGACCTGAACTCTCTAGTGCAGCTGGATCAAGAATTTTCCGACAGATGGAAAGCCTGAATCCCCTCTTCCTGCAGTGGGCATGAGCGAATTTCGTGATAGGAAAAGCGGCTACGGGGTTGGTCCAATCCAAGGGTAAAGCAGAGGCCCACCGCCAAGCGAATGGCCGCAAATTCCGTCCGCAACAGCCCAATGAAGGTGCATCGCCGTTATGTCTTAAATTGCGATGGAGACGGATTAGATTGCTCGAATCAGGATGGAGGCCCGACGGTCATCAACCGCCGAACATCCGGCTGCTCGACCGAATTCGGAGAAATGGTCGGAGCTAGGCGGGAATAGCCGTCCAAGGTCACGATAGGTCGCTTGTACTGTGTAGAAGTCAGACCCTTTGGATCCAGCGTTCGTTGTGAATGGCTCCACGCAGCCTTTGCTCTGACCAATTTGGGGCTGAGTCACTTGGTTGATGATGACTGGCTATACCAGTGCACAGCGTGAGCACCATGCTTACACTATTGCCTTAGCCTGGCCGTTGAAGCTGACATGAGAGGAGCAGGCAGAAGAGAAATGCTGCCTTGCCTCTTGGGGGCCAATTTAACCTCCCCAGACTGCGGCACATCCGTCTTGGACTTGTGCTTCTTTGCAACTTACGTTATAAAGAGTCTGTGAACAGGAAAACAGACGCCCGATCAGTCAAGATGAAAGGTGCGGCGCTAATTCCTCTTGCGGCGGGCATTCCTTTTGCCCATGGCCTGTCTCTCCATAAACGCGACGGGCCTGCCGTCGTTCGTATGCCCATTGAGCGCAGGAGCGCCCAGTCCTTGCAGAAACGAGATTCTACGGTCGGCGTGACTTTGCAGAACTGGGTATGTTAAAATATACAGCCGTGAAGTATAGATCATGCTGACAATCGCTAGGATGCGACCTATTACGCAGTGAACCTGACGTTAGGAACACCTGCGCAAAAGGTGTCATTAGCTTTGGACACTGGCAGCAGCGACCTCTGGGTGAACACCGGCAACTCGACCTACTGCTCCATCGACAATTTATGCACCCCTTATGGCTTGTACAATGCTAGCGAATCGTCCACTGTAAAGACCGTGGGCACACACCTCAACGATACATATGCGGACGGCACAAATCTTTACGGTCCTTATGTGACCGATAAGCTCACGATCGGCAACACAACAATCGATAATATGCAGTTTGGGATCGCCGAGTCAACGACTAGTAAACGTGGGTGAACCGTTTGTCCATGAATGATCGTCGCTGACTAGTTATACTATAGGCGGGATCGCCGGCGTCGGTTACAAGATTTCGACCTACCAAGCCGAGCACGACGACAAAGTCTACGCCAACCTCCCTCAGGCCCTCGTCGACAGCGGTGCCATTAAGTCTGCTGCGTACAGCATATGGCTAGATAGTTTGGAGGCGTCGACTGGCTCCCTCCTTTTCGGAGGTGTCAATACAGCCAAGTACAAGGGCGATCTGCAGACTCTTCCGATTATTCCTGTGTATGGCAAATACTACTCCCTCGCCATCGCCCTTACGGAGCTCAGCGTTGCGACCGACTCCAACTCCAGTAGCTTCACCGACAGTCTCCCCCTCTCTGTGTCACTTGATACTGGCACCACCATGACGGCACTGCCCAGCGACCTGGTCAACAAGGTCTACGATGCGCTCAACGCAACCTACGACAAGACATACGACATGGCCTACATCGACTGCGACACCAGAGAGGCCGATTACAATGTAACATACAGTTTCTCCGGTGCAACGATCACCGTAAGCATGAGCGAGCTGATCATCCCCGCAACGGAGCCGGGGTGGCCCGACAACACGTGTGTCTTGGGCCTCGTGCCTAGCCAGCCGGGCGTGAACCTGCTCGGTGATACATTCCTGCGCAGTGCATACGTCGTGTATGATCTCGAGAACAACGAAATCTCTCTCGCCAATACCAATTTCAACCCAGGCGACGATGATATCCTCGAAATCGGAACGGGAACGTCTGCTGTGCCAGGAGCCACACCGGTTCCCTCGGCTGTCTCTTCCGCGACTGGAAATGGACTAATCTCGTCTGGCACCGCAGTGCCCACGCTGTCGGGTGTCACAATAACTGCTACAGCCACAGCAACCGGCTCAACCGGCACTGGCTCTAGCGGTGGTTCGTCGGCTGAAGCTACGAGTACTTCCTCGGAGGGCGCTGCGGCGCAAGCTACGAGCAACCCGATGAACCTGCTCCCAGGACTTGCGGGTATCGGCCTACTTCTCGCCCTGTAACGCGATTGTACCTACTCAAATAGATATCACGACGAGACTATAATGTAATAATGTGGTATACGGTAACCTCAATATCTACATTCCCTTATATCGTAAACTTCATACTCTACACCAAATCCACCACCAAGATACATACTTCCAATCCCCTCAACCCCTCCCTAACCAATTCCCCATCCTTTACCACCCACTCCTCCCCACCCCAAAGCACGCTCTCCACCCCAGCCACGCTCACACCTTCCAAGCCCACCCTCACCTCCCCAGTGCCCCCATAGTTCAAATTCAACACACTGACCAACGCTTTCCCCTCCTCCTCCACTACCCACCCAGCAACATCCACCCTCTTCGCCCCCCTCACCACCCCCTCTCCTCTAACTCCCTCATCCAAAAACCCCACAAACACCTCCCCGGTGACCACGGGCGCCAACTCCCGCGTAACCCGCTCAATCCCCTCACTACTCGGATAATCCCACATAACAATCCCCATGGCCCCATGATTCACACTCAACATGACCATCACCACCTCCTCTTCAGCAGTAGGGTACCTCGTCCAAAACGTCTCCTCCCCAAACGCCTGCGGCGCGGCCCAATGCACCTTCTCCCATCCAATAACCCCATCAAAATCATAGAACTGATCCAATCTATCGCTAATATCCTCGAACTCACCCGCGCAATCATCACACCCACAACACCCATACGTAGCATTACACGGCGTATCATATACCGTAGACCAAGATGTGTTTGTGGAGATGGGATATACATCCGACAGAATGATATCTGCCCCCGAGGCATACTCCTCATAATAGAAGTCCTTACAGTTCAGGGCTAGAGAAACAGGATGGTACGGGTCCATGGAGCGGATGAGGTCGTAGGCGAGACGAGTTGAGTTCAACGGGTTGGATTTACCGTCTGGTTCGTCGGCCGTGTAGTACAGGAGGAGGGAGGGGTGGGTGTGGATGTGGGAGACTTGGTCGGTGAGCTTGGTGAGGTTGGTCTGGTCGAAGAGGACGTCGTATTGGAGGTGTAGGTTGTGCATGTCGGATGAAGTGAGGTAGGGGGTGAAGGTGGACCAGGGGAAGGGGGTGTCGCTGAGGGTCCCGGTGGGAACTATGTGGATTACATTGTAGCCTTGGGAGGCGAAGGTGGTTAGAGTGGTGGTGTTGGTGTCCCAGTAGAGAGACCATTGGGCTGTTCTATGGTTAGACTGGGTGTGTGGAGGGGAGCGAAGGGACGGGGGAGGTACCGTAATATGTGTAGGGGAAGATTGGAGTCCAGGTTACGGATTGGTTGCGGATGTAGGAGAGCATGCCCGTGCGGTGGTCGATGCGGGTGGCGCTGCCGCCGTCGGTGCGTTGGGGGAGGTAGAAAAGTTCGGAGGAGGCGGTGAAGGTGGAGTTGGTGATGCTATTGGAGAAGGATGCGGTGGTGGTGATGGTGTAGGGGGTTAGCGTTGGGGTGAGGTCGTCGAAGGAGAGGGGAATTTCGGCCTTGGTGATGTCAAGAGGGAGGGTATAGTTGGTGATCGATGCAATTGGGGTCTTGTCGGCGGAAATGTGGATGTCGACATGGATGTGCTGGTCTGTGTAATTTGTGCTGGTCTGTACTGGTAGAGGATCACCAACGAGGTGAGAGACGGTGGTGTCGACGAGAAGGCTACCCTTTGCATCTGTCTCGAGGTAGATGCTCATCCGTGGCCGGACCTTGAGATTGAGCAGGGGGGTGGAAGAGTACGAGGGCTGCTCGAACCAGCCACCAGGGTTGAATGAAGCATTGCTAACAAAGTTAGTCGTGTTATATCAATTCTTTGCTATAACATACCTTGCTCGATAAGCCTTGCCGCACCAGATGTCCACCCCTGGGGGATTGTTAAAGGCACGAGTCAATGGCAGACTGGCTAGCCCAGCTGCCACAGAAAGAAAGGTCGTCCACATTGCGTCGGTGCATCATGCAGGAACATCCTGGGAGCCGGTGCTTCTTATCAGTCGGCATACTGCAGACCTCCACTCGGACATCAGCCGATGTAACAGTGGCGTTCACGTTGTTTAGTGCCCGGCTGGGCCGACCAGGATATGAGCGTGATTAGCACTTATCTCCGCGTATCTTTGCCGCACTTGATATCTCCCCGCACACCGGCCGTTTAATCTAAATGATCGGCGTGTTCCAATGACAGGCGGCCACTTGCTGGATTTGCTTCACCTTGCAGACAGGATGTCACTGTGCCATTTCTGGTGGGGGGATATGAAGTTGGCATGACTACTTCTGCACTGATTCCCCGCTTCGTCGGGTGAGTGTAGATTTTACGCCCATACAGGAGAGTGTATGCATCATGAAGCTCGTCACCCAGATAGCCATCGCATGGCAGTTAGCTGTCACTACAGCTGCAGTAACGCAGGTTAGTAGTTACTGTGTCATTGAGACTCAAGCTGATTATTCAGTCGAAATTTATCTCCCTCGATTCGTACTTCAACAACAAGGCATTTGGCGTATATCCCGGCCAGACGTCCTTTGATGCGTTGAATCAGTCCTATCCAGACCCCAGCATTATTGGCATCAATGGAACCTACACATCCACACACACTGGTGTTGTCTACGACTTTCCAGGCTATCGTGGGCCCGTCCTTCCAGACAATGTCGTCTGTGAAGGCCAGACAATCATTGTGCCTCGCGACCAGTACTTCTCTGCATCCATGCTGGTAACATCCGACGTTCAACTGTCCACCGTGTCGGGGAATGTGACATACACGTATTCAGACAACTCGACACTTGTCTCCGAGCTGCGCAGTCTACCCTGGTGGGCATTCCTGACAATCAACCGGGGCGAGATCATCTTCCCCTACCGGTACACTCACAACGACACCAACTTCAACACATCGCACATCTTCGAATACTCTGCAGCATTGGATCCCAACAAGACTCTACATTCAATCACACTGCCAGTCACTACCAACACAACTACAGGCAGACTGCATATTTTTTCCGTATCCCTGTGGAAATCCACCGCCCCATCAGCCCAAGTGCAATTCGTGCGCCCGACCCAAAAGTGGACAGAAAGCGGCAACCAGATAGTCGAAGTGACCATCAACAACCCAGGCAGCAGCTGCATCGCAGGACCTGGGGTCAACTTATCATTATCCATGCCTGGAATCCGAACCCTAGAGCCCGCAAACGTCAAACGACTCTGTCCCGGCGACCAGAAACGCGTCAACATCGGCATCAACGGCACAGCCAACGGAACAGCCACCGTTATCCTAAACTACACCCACTCCATCCAGCACCAAACCTATCCTCACCCCCTTTCCCTCGGCCTAACAGAATGGACCTCAGACCTGTCCAGCCTCTCACACCACGAAAGCCCTGAATGGTTCGACGACGCCAAATTCGGCATCATGATCCACTGGGGTCCCTACTCCGTCCCCGGCTGGGGCAACTCGACTCCCTACGAAAGCTACGCCGAGTGGTTCTGGTACTCCTTCCCCCTCCCCATAATCCCGACCTCTTCCCCCGAACCCATCTAACATAGACAACCGTCAGGTGGTACACCACGCACCGTGCCGCCGACAAATCCGACACCTACGACTACCGGCTGCGCACCTTCGGGCCCACCTGGAACTACGACGACTCGTTCCCCTCCTTCACAGCAGCCAACTTCTCCCCGAAAGCCTGGGTCGACCTCATCGCAGCCTCGGGGGCCAAATACTTCGTGCTAACAACTAAACACCACGACGGGTTCGCCCTCTTCGACACGCAGAACACCACCAACCGCTCCTCCCTCCACTACGGCCCGCACCGGGACCTCGTGTCAGAACTCTTCACCGCGTCCTCAATCCACCACCCCACCCTAAAACGCGGCACCTATTTCTCCCTCCCAGAATGGTTCAACCCAGACTTCGGGCCCTACGGGTTCGCCGAACTCCCGGGGAACACCTCCACCAGCTGGCCAGGCATCATCGCCCGCAACCCATACACTGGCCTGAACGAACCCTATACAGGCCGCATCCCCGTCACGGATTTCATCACAGATGTAATGGTTCCCCAAATGACCATTCTAGCTCACAATTACAGCACAGACATCATGTGGTGTGACTGCGGGGCCGCGAACGGGACTGCGTCTTTCGCTAGCGAATGGTTCAATTCCGCGCGTGCAGATAATCGCCAAGTGGCAATTAATTCGCGGTGCGGGGTCGCGGAAGTGTCCGACTTCGATACGCCCGAGTATGCGACGTTTAGTTCGGCACAGTTGCGCAAGTGGGAGAGTAATATGGGCATGGATCCGTATAGTTATGGGTTTAATCGGGCGACTGCGGAAAGAAGTTATATGAATGCTAGTACGGTGGTCAGGGATTTGGTGGATATGGTGAGTAAGAATGGGAATTTTTTGTTGGATGTTGGGCCGCGCGCGGATGGGAGTATTGTCGAGAGGGAGGAGAGGGAATTGAGGAGGGCTGGGGAGTGGATTCGAGGACATGAGGAGGCGGTGTTTGGGACGAGGGTTTGGTGGGTGAGGAGTGAGGCGGTTGGTGTGACAGGTGGTGGTGGGGAGGTCGGGGTGAGGTTTACGCAGACGAATGAGGCGTTTTATTTGTTTTTTCTGGAGGATCCGGGGAAGAAGGTGTTTGTGGATGCGGCGGTGCCATTGTTGAGGGGGGATAGAGTTGTTGTGGTGGATGGCGATGAGGAAGGGGAGGTAGAGGTTGAGTGGGAGGGGAGTGCGACGGAGGGATTTACGTTTAGGGTTCCTGAGGGGGCGTGGGATGGAGAGGAGTTTTGCTGGGTGTTGAAGGTTGTGTATGTTGCTTAGTTGTGCCTATGATGGGGTAGAGCTATGTGGTACATTGGGATAGAGGAATGACGAGCATGCATGGAGCTTCTCTAATATCACCTCACGGGAACGGTCAAGCCAGACTAATATTTCCAAACCTCCCATCCCTCCGTCGAACCGTATATCGCATATCCATAATCCGAAACGTATCTTTCATCGCTGTCCTGGCTCGTCGGACACTCCCTAGGTTCCGTGTCCGTTCTATCCGCTCTAGTCGATCCATCACGAACCGGCGATGATCCTGATCATCCAGTGCGGTCTGCCCGAGAACGTATAATGGCCACAGTAGAGTGGCAGAATCAGGAAGACTCTGGATGAGATCAATCATCTTATTCACTAATGTGCGCTTATCCGTTCTTGGGATGAATTGCCTGCGATAGGTAGTGGAGCCGACCCGCTCGATCAAGTACAGTAATGCTGCTAGACGCTTCGTTTCGGCGATTCGAGCTATATCTTCTCTGTGTTGTAGGTGGGGTGGGAGGGTCTGAGCGAGGTTGATGAGGGAGCAAGCAAGGCGATTTGCTCTTGATATGTAGGTATCTGCTGGCCCAGCGTTTGTGGTTTTCTGTGGTGCCATTAGACGCGTGTCGATTTGCTGAGTTGAAAGCTGAGGAGATGTACGTTTACCATATGCTCATCGGAAGGTAGATCAGAAATGTCATTGATCATCCCCATGAGCCGCCGTGAGCAGCCCATTATTGTATCAATCTAACAAAAGATCAGAATCGGAATCGACGAAGTTCATGTGGGACAAACCTCATCAAGATTATCGTTTTCTGACCAACCATATCGCCCATTTTCATACATCATTCCTGGCGATGCCGTCCGACGCATGATAGCGTGAGCGACAAAATACATTTGGAAAAACCTTCGCAACCCCTGGCTTGACGAAGCACTACAAGGCAGGCAGTCCAAGAGGTCCAGACCTGCTTCGAGATGTTTTACCCAAGATGAATCGCATTTATCCGATATCTGTGAGTTGCCATGTCAGCAGTTGTTAAAGCCAATGTCCACCATATCACGTACATCGTAAAAGCACAACATCAGAATAGTGCCTATTATGCCATCATCTATATTCTGGAGCTCGACTGCCTGCTGCAATCCCTGTATCGCTCTATTCTTGTAAAGTGCCGCCTCGTTGGCATATCGGGCATCACCAAGTAAGCGAAGCTGATTCGCTGCTACAGACACCATGGCATTCCGGAGAGCTGGATGGCAGAAAGCAAGTGGTGTCAGCAAAGTGATGTATGGGTTGTCAATGCTGCTGAGCGAACAATCCGGCCCGATACTCTGAATAAAGTATTGGAGCAGATAACTCTCAGAATGGGAGTATGCGGAAAGCGGATGGCTTAGGACAGAGCGTAGTTGAAGCGCATCATCCGATTCACCAGACAAGCCCTGCATGACTGTGTCCTCATTGTCGGAAACATAGTCTACCTCGCCTGTGTCCTCGAGGTAATTCTTCACAGTGAGATTAAGGAATACCCACCGGCCACTGTACTCGTCCAGCGATACCATCTCTCGATGAGCGGGCTTAGAGGCGGGTAGATCTAGAATACTTCTCTGTTGTTTTGACCACGTTCCTATGGACAATCATGAGCCATACCTATGATAATGCCAATAACGCTCATCTGGTGAAACCCACCTCTACGGCCTAGGCTAATTCCTTGCTCCACGGGTTCCTCCACAAACGTAAACTCCTCGCACGTCAAATCCAGAGTTCTGCATCGTGTACAGCGGGGGAGATCTCCAATGCAGCGCAGGCCAAGTGCTGCATCCGGCGTCAATATGCCCGCCTCGAGAATTCTTCATGTTCAGGTCCGTACCTTTACACTGAAAGCAACCAGAGGGACGATGATTCCCAACCGACATTTTCGGAGAAGATGGCATGCATGTACGTGGCACATACGAAATGAGGGGCGGTTACAGGTGGAAGTGTGTCCCGGGCCGTCGTCGTGGCCTGCGTCTGTTAGGGGGCGTAATGGAAGGAAGGAGGCAGCCCGCCGGAAGAGCGGGGAATGGGCCGGCGCTTATATTAACAGCACCAAACTACGACTAGCTGCAGCTCTTAGAGTGACGCGGCCACACCACATCCCTGCCACTCATTATAGCTATCCGGAATGTATCGGAAGTGGGAATCCGGGCCTAGAGATAGCACATCGAGTGAATTGCTAGCCACACATCTGCCATTGGATTGTGTTGGCTGATTAGGCTGAGACATAATAGGTTATTACTCTATTCAAGGCTTTTATAAGAGAGCATAAATAGCCAAACGTCCTCTTCGGAAGGTGTTGTGTCATGTAGTATATCTAAAATTCGTCTGTTGGAAGTCCGTTCTATCGGCAAAAGCTTCTGTCAAATATTCATTTGTAACTTGTGAGTCTGGGTCAATGTTGGCATGTCGTCGGTTGTATTTCAAGACCAACACCCAGTAAATACCCATCAGTCCGACGCATATGCAGTAGCATATTAACATGGCGATAAATCCGCCTGTGTAGGCGGGCGCTTGACTAGCACGGAAGGTTTGGGGTCCGATGAGATTTCCTTCAATTACATTAGTAAGTGGAAATAAAAGCAAAGATGACACAATCTTATGAAAAATAATTATCCAGCATAGACTCACCAAGGGCGTATCCTATATATAAAATGGAGTACTGCACAGTCTTTTTCGTGTGTCCAGCAGTATTAGCTTGCGCCATGGAGATTCCTTGCTTGTCAGCTTGCAAGATAGGGAAAAATACACATGACAGACAGCACTTACCGACTACGTACGGGCCAAAGTAAGTGTAAAGCTAGAGCTCTGTGAGCATGAATACTGGTCAACGGCTGGAAGGACCTACGAGGTAGATTCCGACTATTTGCCCTGCAACGTTTGTTCGTGGGAGGGAGTACACCAAGGCCGATCCGGCAATGGGCAAACAGCATGCCATCATCGTAACGAGGCACCTTCGATTTGTCCAGCGTGCGGCTAGCCAGGAGAAGGAAAACGCAGATAAAGTGGACATTACCCCGGTCGGCATGTTCAGGAGGGAGGCCTTAACCGCAGTGAAGCCAAGATTGTTGATAAGGATGCCACTAAACGTAGTCAGACCTATATCGTAAGCGATAGTAGAGCTACACACGAGAAGACAGTTTACCTCCATTAGGAATGTTGATAGCTATGTTGAAGGAAAACAGAATCCAAGTTTTGGCATCCAACACAGCTTCAAGAGCCTGTTCCCGTTTCCATTCTTTGTTTATGATGCCGGTTTGGTTTTCCGTCAGACGTTGGGTTGCATAGAACCTTTCCTGGTCGGTGAAAAAGAAGGCGTTCATCGGCGATTCTGGTAGAAGCACGAACGCTATTATGGACCACACTGCGGAAAGAGAGCCTAAGTACTTAGCAGATCGCAGTACTATGATAGGTGATTCACTTACCGACAATCAGGTAAAGATATTGCCAGATAGCCAGAGGTGCAGAGTCGGGGATATGCCCGACTGCCCAAGACAGGAACCCATTGATCACGGAGCTGAAAGCAGCGAACACAATTGCATTTCGTGGAGGTTGTTCCGCCTTTTTATAGAAGCCGGCGACGATGAGACTAATCGTTGGGACGATGATTGCTTCAAGGTAGCCTAGATTAGGGATATCACTATCATGGCGTCCTTATCAGTGTTGTTGAGTGTACCTTGAGAACATACCCATAAAAAACCTCAGCGCCATCAGCCCGTTCCAGTTTTTCGATGCGGGTATCAGCAGAGCTAAGCAGGACCAGCCGAGGGAGCACGAAGAAAGATATTTTGCGGATGGGAGTCGCTGTACGAGGAAGGAAGAAGGGCACATCCCAATGATGGCCTTCCTCAGTGTCAGATTTTGGGCAATGGACAACAGTAACAAACACGTACACCGATAGATAAAATTGATCCCGCCCAGGAGTATTGTTGACCAACGAGGTGAAGATCTAGATACTTGTTAGGGCAATATGCGATAGCGATGGCCATCAATACCTTTCTCCAGTCCGTAGATTGCCGCAGTACTGAGAGCAACCTTGTCCACTGCCCCGAGAGTGGCGGTGAGCAGAAGCTGGCCTTGATCAGTAGACGTAATGCTTATGGTCTGGTAAGAAGCTTACCATAGGAACTAGAATGCAGTCGATCTTGCGCAACAATTTTCTTTCCACTTCCAATGTCATGGGAGGATAACTTGTGCTTTGAGCAAGGTACGCAGCAGCTCCATCAACTTCCTTTTCGATCTCCATCTTCCCTAGTGGTAATGTTGACATCTCTACTGCTGTGTTCGTCTCTCCCATGGCGATCTACTAGGGTCGGTGAATCACGGGATGGGTTCACGTGCCATACTAACAACTGAACGTCCCCGATTTGTGCGCGGTGGAGACCAGTTATAGGGAGAGATATATATTCTACTATCGTTTCCCGCTCTGCTAGTTGCACCACCCCCGTCAAGAAAATCTCTGCGAAGACTACTGCGCCGGGCGCTGGAAGGCTTCCCTCGGGTGGGAAGCGCTTGCAGGGGTCTAATCACTGTCACACTAATCTGGCACACTCATTGGTGCCCCCAACGCGGCCATGTCCGATGCATAAGCCAGTCAAGTTCTAGTACTGGCAATCACATCATTCTGAAGAGGGGTATTAATCTACAATGTCCGACAGTGGAGCTGCTGGGCGGCTGGTTATCAAATTATTGATGGATAAATTATCGGTTGACCAGAGATGCGGCCTTACAGAGCACCGGCGCCTGAGGCCCTTGTTCCTTCCCCTCTTTTCTTAGCCCAATGCGGCAGCAGGTTTGCAGCCGGAAGTGACAATATCGTCCTGCCATGCACTCGCGTCGAGTCATGCTCCCACAGACTGCTGAGAATGACCGGCTTTGGGCCGAGAATCATGGGTTATCGGCGGATGGATCCGTCAGAGACTCGTTTGGACCTTCCTCGCTCCCAGGACAGCCTGTCGAGCAGGTGCAGCGGTGTTCTGTCCGATCAGTGAAACCAGGCTATAAAAGACAGTAACCTGCAGTGCCGGAAAAGATTTCTTGTAGCAGATCAACCACAGTTTCCATCCACCATGAATGTAGGTGTGGGAAAGGTGAAAATTGCAATCGGTGAGGATTTCCATATCCACTAACCCAGGAAAAATTTCGCTAATCTGGCTTGGCTTTATCTAAGACCGAGGGGGCACTTTCACTGACGTCTGGGCCGGTCTGCCTGGACGGTCAGACATTGTCCTCAAGCTCCTTTCGGTTGATCCGTCCAATTATGATGATGCACCCACAGAGGGTATTGCAATTTGACACCACACCATGATCAAGGGCTCACTGTGTCAGGTATACGTCGCGTACTATCTTTATACTACGGCAAGGAGATCCCTCGCAGCCAGCCACTTCCGAAGACAGACCTAGAGTTTATTCGTATGGGAACAACTGTTGCGACGAACGCTCTGCTTGAGAGGAAAGGCACCCGGCATGCATTTCTCGTAACCAAAGGATTCCGCGACTTACTGAACATCGGATACCAGTCACGACCTCGACTCTTCGAACTCAACATTGTCAAGCCGGCTGTTTTGTACGATGAAGTCCATGAAATTGATGCTAGAGTGACGATTGAGGGATTCGATGAAGATGTCGATGGGCTCTTCAATACCACCAAAGAAATACCCGACGTCCTGGTCCGTGGTACAAGCGGTGATATGGTGCGTATTCTGAAGCCAATCGACGACGAACAAGTCCGGCGTGTACTCAGGGAGCTCCGTGGTAAGGGGTTTGACACGCTTGCTGTCTGCTTGACCCACTCCCATATATTTCCAGACCACGAGGTGAGAGTTCATCAGTTAGCCATAGAGGAAGGTTTCAGTCATATTTCATTGTCCTCTGCCGTGGCAGCCAATATGATCAAGATGGTACCCCGAGGCAGTTCAGCATCAGCAGATGCATACGTCACCCCTGAAATTAGAAGGTATTTAGCTGGATTCATGAAGGGGTTTGAGGGTGGAAACCTAGAGGGTGTGAGGTGCGAATTCATGCAGTCCGACGGAGGGCTCGTTAGCCACAACCAATTCAGCGGAATCAAAGGCCTCTTGAGCGGTCCTGCAGGTAAGAGCTACCTTCTACCTAATTGTCGTCTGATGCTAATTTGCTAGGGGGCGTTGTTGGTTACGCTCAGACTAGTTACGACGAGATTTCCAAGGTCCCGGTGGTTGGTTTCGACATGGGCGGAACCTCAACAGATGTGTCACGGTACGGAGGGCAGCTTGAGCATATCTTTGAGACCACTACTGCTGGCGTGGCGATACAGAGCCCTCAACTAGATATAAACACGGTCGCTGCGGGCGGTGGCTCTATTTTGGCCTGGAGGAAGCGTCTTTTCGCAGTCGGCCCAGAGAGTGCATCGTCACATCCAGGACCTGCATGCTATCGGAAACGCGGGCCTCTGACAGTGACTGATGCAAACCTCTTCCTCGGAAGGTTGCTTCCGGATTATTTCCCGAAAATATTCGGCAAGAATGAAAGTGAGGCACTAGATTTGGACACAGTGCAGCGAATGTTTGCAGATTTAACAGCGACCATTTACTCCGACACTGGGAATAAAATGAGTCCTGAAGAGGTAGCTTGGGGATTTCTTGACGTTGCTAACGAAGCAATGTGCCGGCCAATCCGAGCTTTGACAGAAGGCAAGGGATATGACATAGGTACGTGCATGTCCTAAAAGTCTGTCTTCCAGTATTGACTGCTTGCCAGCAAACCATCATTTAAGTGTTTTCGGAGGTGCTGGAGGACAGCACGCTTGCGACGTTGCTCGCAAACTAGGAATATCCACCGTCATCATCCACAAATATTCAAGTATCCTTTCCGCCTACGGTATGCAGTCACACCTCTCAAATGTGGAAACGAGCTGAACAAGTACATCAGGAATGGCGCTCGCAGACTTTGTGCAGGAAGCTCAAGAGCCAGTTAATGAAGTTTACGGGGATGAATCCCGTAGCAGGCTTCTCGATCGGCTATCACGGCTGCGTGATAAGGTTTGCCGCCAGCTAAACGGCCAGGGGATTTCAAATGGCGACATATCCTACCAGCGATATCTCAACATGAGATATCAGGGAACTGAGACAGCGATTATGGTTCTGGAGCCAGCAGATGGCGATTTCAAGGAGGAATTCAAAAGGATGCATCTGCGGGAATTTGCCTTTCTGTCTCCTGATGAAAGACCGATCATTGTGGACGACGTGCGCGTTCGAGGCGTTGGGACTTGTAACGCGCTTGAGAGATCAGATGGGCAGAGACTGGGCCAAAAGCTGAAGTACGCCTCTTTCAGTGGTGCACCGCAGGAAATGGTAGAGCGAACGGTATGAGACTCGACATTTACTTAATCGTGCCAGTGCTAATAGTCACAGACAAAAGTCTACTTCCCCGGAACTGGAAAGCTTTCGGTGCCCGTGTTTCTACTGCCCAAGCTAGATCCACTGACTCTTATCACTGGACCAGCTATTATCATCGATCAGACACAGACCTTGGTGATCACGCCCGGGGCAGAAGCCAGAGTCTTGAGTAACCACGTGGTTATCCAGATCAAAGACACATCCAGCCAGATAATACGGGATCCTGACTCTACGCACAGCATCCAGCTCTCGTTATTTGCACATCGTTTCATGAGTATTGCTGAGCAGATGGGTCGTGTTCTACAGAAGACAGCCGTGTCACTCAACATTAAGGAGCGACTGGATTTCTCTTGTGCATTATTTGGGCCAGATGGTATGTTGGCAGATGATGAACCCCAATAGATTAACTAACGTAATGCAGGAGGGCTGGTCGCGAATGCACCCCATGTCCCAGTACATCTTGGCTCTATGAGCTACGCAGTCAAGTACCAGCACGAGCTCCACAAAGGAAAGCTTGTTCCGGGGGATGTTCTGGTGTCCAACCATCCTGAGGCCGGTGGTACACACTTGCCTGATATCACTGTGATCACCCCAGTTTTCGAGACGTCCGAGCGGGTTGCATTTTATGTGGCTTCGCGTGGTCACCACACTGATATTGGTGGCCTTGGGGGAACATCCATGCCACCAGACTCCACAGAGCTATGGCAGGAGGGTGCTGCGATCAGATCGTTCAAGCTCATCCATGCGGGAGACTTTGATGAATCTGGTATCGCCGAGATCCTCCTTCGTCCAGGCGAATACCCAGGTTGCACAGGGAGCCGACATGTGTCGGACAATATTTCCGACCTCAAGGCGCAGGTTGCGGCGAACCACAAGGGCGTGATATTGGTGCAGGATCTGATCAAGGAATACACACTACCAGTGGTGCAGAGGTACATGAAGGGCATCCAATCGAATGCTGAATGGGCGGTGCGGGACTTTCTTCGCGCCACTATCATTATGAAAGGCACCCAGCTCGTGGCGGAAGACCGAATGGATAATGGTTCACGAATCAAGCTTACTGTCATGATTGGTCGCGATGGGTCTGCTGTGTTTGACTTTACTGGGACCGATTGCGAGCTGCTCAGCAATATCAATGCGCCACCGGCAATCACCTACTCAGCCATTATATACAGCCTACGTGTCCTCATCGGCAGTGACATCCCCTTAAACCAGGGCTGCCTGACACCTATCAATGTTGTCCTACCCAAGGGCACATTTCTGAATCCATCCGCAGGCCCCGCTGTGTGCGCTGGGAACACCCAGACATCGCAGCGAATTGTGGATGTCATCCTGAAAGCCTTCCGAGCCGCTGCCGCCTCTCACGGCTGCATGAATTGTATTGGGTTTTTCGGCGAGGGCGGCAAAGATGCCGAGGGCAAGAAGCTCAACGGATACGCATACGCGTTTGGGGAGACAATCGGTGGTGGCTCCGGAGCGACATCTTCCCAGCCGGGGGCATCCGGTGTACATACGCATATGACCAACACGCGGATCACTGATCCGGAGAGTCTAGAAAAGCGCTACCCGGTTATCCTGCGTGAATTCGCCATCCGCCCGGGCACGGGAGGGAAAGGAATGAACAGGGGTGGTGATGGTGTGGTGCGAGACATCGAGTGCCGCGCTCCGCTGAGCTTCAGTGTCATCACCGAGCGCCGTACTGTTGCACCTTATGGAATGAACGGAGGTGAACCTGGACAGTGTGGAGCAAACTACTTGGTTCGCAAGATAAAGGGGGTGGAAGGGGAGGAGTGGCGATGGGTAAACATGGGAGCGAAGAACATGGTGAAAATGGAGGCCGGTGATCGCGCTGTCATTTATACTCCTGGAGGAGGAGGATGGGGGCATGACTTCAGTGGAGGATTGTATGGCGAAGAAGTCATTACCTATCCGCGAGCGTCGGGGAGTGTGGCAGCCCGTATGATGGCGCAGGAGAGTTCTGCGTAGCATGCCAGACGATTGTTCAAAATGTTTTGGGTTATGATTGTTGCGTCCGTGATGATACCAACGGGAGGCTATCTGATAATTTGTTCGGGCTACGGGTGTTGAGCGCGCAGGCGACGGCCAACCCAGCCTCTTTCTTTAGTAGTATATAAATTGAGTTAATGAATGGTCAAGCATTGATTTCAAACAGCTGGATGTGCGAAACTTAATATCGAATTGACTTTTCAGCATCTCCCTGACACCTCCATGACGTCATATATAACTTTACCATATCTGCAAAGCACTTGTATATCCTCCATAGCAAATCTACATAACAACACCAATCTTCCCATCCCCTTGATCTCTACACAACTCCAGATCCTACAATAACACAGTACACAGAATCAACCACCAAAATGCCCCCCACCACCTCCCCTCACCCCAACCAACGCGGCATCGAACCGCACCCGGACCTCCCCCACAACGCCGCCCACGAAGTCGACTACACCCCCCACCCCGAGAACTCCCTTCCCCTGCCCCCATCCCGTCAATCCATCCAAGACCACATCATTGCGCTATACTGCGGTAGTGCCTCCGCCGAGGACATGAGCGTCTACGCCGAGCAAGCCGTGTACGACGATCCGTTCAGTTATTGTGATACGCGGTAGCCTACCTCTCTTCCTGACCCCCAATATCCCCATCCATTCAATCCTAATAACCGGGAAATAGGTACAAAATAGCCGGCCAATGGTACGGCATCCCCAAGCTCTTCAGCAAGAGTGAGAACCTAGGGACGGAGGTGGTGTCGAACACGGAGGATGAGATGGTCTGGAAGCAGAGACAGAGGTATACGTTTCGGGGGATTGGAGCCTCCAGGACGGAGGATAGTTTGGTGAGTTTGAGGTTGCAGGGTGGTGGAGGTGGGGATGGGGATGGAGAGAGGGTGGTTTATCATAAGGATATGTGGAGTGAGAGGGATTATGATCATCAGGGGTTTGGGGCGCTGATGAAGAAGGTTAATGGGTATGTTTTTTTTTTCTCTCCTTTCGTTCTGTGATTTGGGGGGTTGGGGTTGGGCTAATGGGTTGGATTGGTTTAGGGATAAGTTGACGGGGATTACGAGGCCGCCGGAGGAGCTTTAGGTGGGTTTCTTTGAGAGTGGGTTGGTGTTTGGAGTATAGGTTGGGTGGTCGATTATGATGGTAGTTCAGCTGTCATTCCATAACATTGGGGAATATTGTGCTTTTGGGATGATGGTATGGTGTTTGTTGGGTGGGTGTATTGAAAAAGCTGTATAGTAGAGGAGCAAATGGGAATTTATAATTTCTGGATTCCCAAGTAAATGATATTAACTGTTACAACTGTCAAAGAAACTATCAATAGGTATATAATTCACGGTTTTGTCAAATATCGACTGCAAAGCTCTAGCCAGATACTGAGATAAAACCAAAATCAAATCTGGAAATAAAAGCACTATTATACCCTCGAAAAATAAAACATGAAAACTGCATGGAATACATCACCCCATCCTTGCAAGCTATGCATCGCAACATTATGATGTGCAAATTGCTTTTCTCAAGCTCCACAAAACTTTTATTATAGAGGAATCACGTTGGTTATTACACACACGCCGGGCCAACGGAAGAGATGCATGTACATCACCATTATACTGCGATATTTCCAATAAACACATCACTTCCGAAGCAGTTAACAGCTGTTCGCACCCATATACTCTATCCATCCACGCAGTAAGTAGTATTGCTCTACTAAATCCGGTAGATATAACTCCTTACCCACCCTGGATTTACCCGCACACCAAACCAAGTACCTAGTAATCAATTAATAATAATCCACCCTGCTCCTCATGGCTGGATCGATGTAAGGTTTAGCGCTATTTCCCACCTTTGAAAAAGCAAATATGGATATATATCGAGTGTGGCGTTCCGCGGTATGCAGGACGTGTGTGTATTCGGCTTGATGTAATCTGATCGGTGTGGTGTGTTTGTTTGGGATGTATCGGGCATTCAGTTGTGGACATTACTGATGATCTGTTTTAAGTGTAGGGATGGCATAGGTGGGTGGATGTTGTGTTTATGGATATCAATAGTTATGGTATTTGGAGAGGTGGAATTTTGGTTTAGGGGTAATAGGTGGATATGTTGAGCGTTGAAGCGACGGGGCTGTTAGTGAAGTATACATGGATTACGAAGTACTGGAGATGGTCATAATAGTCTGTAGTGTTTCGAATCTTTGCGTGGCCTGTGCGTAATACCTGATGTTATATGTGCGATAAATTGATTCGTTATAGGTTGTTGGTAAGCATGCGACGTGTCCTGTGGGGTATATGCCACTGATGACGAATACCTGAGCTACTCATGCACTTGACAAGGTATATTGCAACTCTATATATACCCCTATCATCATCCATCCCTGTACAGTTCTAATATCCCTACAACACCTTCACCCTCACGCCCTGAGTCCCGGGCTTCGGATGCGGCAGAAACATATCCCGGTAGACATCCACCGACTCACGGCTCGTCTCAAACAGCTCAAACTCAAAGTTCCGATACACATTCGCCAACGAAATGTACATTTCCGCGTAAGCGAGGTTGATGCCAAGACACGAGCGGGTGCCGCGACCAAACGAGACGAGATAGCGCGTGAGTTTCCGCCCGTCTGGCGCGACGGGGTCGTCGAGCCAGCGCTCGGGCTTAAAGGTGAACGAATCGGGGAAGATCGCTTCGTCGTGCGAGACTGAGTAGTTGTCCATGCTGATGATGGTGCCGGCAGGAATGGTCCACGTCTTGTAGATGAGGGGGAATTTGTCGCTGACGCGGGGTGAGCGTTGCACGATACCGTAGGACATGCGGATGCCTGGTTCGTAGGTGTCATGTTAGTTGAGGGTATGGGTATTTGGCAGTAAAGCATGAAGGAAAGGAGACGCACATTCTTGGAGACATCCAGTCAGGTAGGGGAGCTTTTCTAGCTCGCTCAGTGGGGGAAAGTTGGTCGGATCGGGGATCGCTGTTATCAACTCTTCACGCAGACGCTTGTATATCGACGGAGTGCTAAGAATGTGGTAACTGGCGACAGCCAGAGCATATCGCGTGGTCTCGAAGCCGGCTCCGATGACGGTAAAGGCTTCCTCGCGGAGTCGTCGCAGCGTCAGCTCCTCAGGTGGTAGACCGCCTTCTAGCAGAGCGTTGAAGACAGTTTTGCGTTGAGATTCTTTCATCGTCCCGTATTCTTTGCTTCGGAGGATATCCGTGATCTGGGATGCCATTTCCTGTGGCGGTTAGCAGTGACACTGGGAGCATAGTGTACATGTATATGAGACTTACCCTATTGTAATGGTTGATCGACTTCAGCCCAGGATTCACTGCTTCCACAACCTTCTGGGGCAGTCTATTCAGAATTACACCCACCCAAGGGAACTGGACTAGAACATGCACCATGTCGAGTAAATCAAACATGGCCTGGATAAAGACGGATCGAAAGTCCGGGGCATTGATGAAGCCATAACCATCGTTGAAGCAGTAATGAACAATGATGTCCGACGCAATACACCCCCACATCCAGTCGAGACGTAAAACCTTCCCAGTGCCTTGGTATTCCCGACGAAGCCGATCGCAGAGCTTGTAGAGCTTGTCCTGCATCATGGGGGTAGCATTTGTAATAGCCCGCTTAGAGAAGAACGGATTGAGCGCGGCGCGCCTGGGCTTATGAGCCTCATGCTTTGGGGTCGAGAAGGTACCCAGCGCATTGTCGAAGCGATACTGGAGATGTTCTGGCTTATTCCATGGCAGGGAATTGGAGAACATCTCCTCAAAGAACGACGCGTCTCTGATGTGGATCTCATTCGGGCTGATGCGAACGATGGGTCCTACGATAATCGTGGTGGCCATGTCAGCTTGCCAGTGCTGTTTGCGAAGGGATTCACCCATACTTTCGTGACTCACCATACTTGTCGTGCAGTTTGTGGTATTGGAACAGGAACTGCCCCCCAGGCGACTTGAAAACCTCATAGTAGGTTTCATACCAGTATGTCAAAGCAGCCAGCTTGGGACCAGGAAACTTGGCTAAGGGATGAAAGGTGAGCCGATAGATTCCCAATCCGACGGAGTAGACAATCAAGGTTGCTGTCAAGACAGCACACACGGCAATAGGGGAGTCAGCGACCGATGAAAGGCCGGCCACCAGGCCTTGGATCAAGCCCATGATGCCAAAGGAGGGGATACATGAGGAAAGAGGAGATCACAAAACGGTGAGGATCCTGACGGGACGTGCAGATATATCTAGATAGTCGTTTGTGGGTAGCAGGGGAACAGACAGACAGACAGACCGACAAACATAGTTGTCCCGAGGGCTTGGGTCCGCGCCAGAAATCCCGGTCACGGATTCTGCAGTGGAGTTTGACAGGCCCCCTTTAGTGGACCGGGCCCGTGCGAACTATGGCCTCTAGTTGGAGCGTCAATTGGTGAACATCCAGGGCTGGACGGACGGCAGCGGCAGCGATTCGAGCACCACTGAAGAATGAACCCCGCTGATAGGCAGTCGCTGCCTTTCTGCAACGCGAGGAGCGAGAATCCAATGTCGGTGGTTGGCCGGGCTGAAGGGGAGGGGACGAGGGCGGATCGGCCGCCCGGCTGCTGTAAGCCCGTAAGTAAAGTGAAGTAAAGTACTTTGTGCATGATTCACGCATCGCCATGACAAATCTCCCTTAACTCTGTTCAATAACGAAAAATGAACCTTAAACCCATGGTCGAGGCCATTGTGGGCAAGGCACCCAAAGGCACTTTCAAGGCACCATGACGGGAATCCGGTTTTCTGCCAACTTTGGGCCTTTCCCGCAACTGTGCGGGCCCGGGGATTTTGCCCTCCACTCACTAACTGAACTGACCCTGGGTGTCATACAGCATACGGTGGTACCTGTCGCCTATAGACTCTCGCTAGAGGCCTTGAAAGGATATTAGAGTTTCCCTGCTTTGACGTGCGGCCGTGCCAGCTGAAAGTTAACGACAAAAGTATGGACTTGGGCGGGCCCATTATTTCCCTATCCAGACTAAGATAGCCGGGGTGTTCGCAATTCCCGAAGTCAGTGAGAGTCTCTCTCTCAACCCTCAGACTCAGCCGGGGATCCACCATTCTGCAGCGATACGAAGTGGATCCCCTCCCAACATCTCACCAACAGGGGCTCTCCGTACTGCTGGTTTCCTGTCTTTTCCTCTCCTGAATGGTCACTTTCCCCCATCACAGTGGAGATACCTGCAACTGAGGGTTCCTACTGTTTTGGGTAAGCCCCGGGGTGTCCGTCCCGCGTTGACTATTTACTGATTTTGTATGTTGCACTTCGCGGTGATGCGAATGATGGGCCAACCTCCTACCTGCATAGGGGATGTGCTACCCACGTCCGACGGCGCACTTCTGCACGGCCCAAAAGAATCATCATATGCACACCCCCGTTCGTCACTCCCACACTCCCACACTCCCAGTTTCCCCCCCAGGACAACACCGCCAGCCTGGGAAAGGCCGGGCTTAGACCCCGACCAGTCAGACTTGGTAATAAGCTTCACCGGCATAATAGCTAGTCATCAGTGGGGAGAATCTGTTCTCCCATCCCCGAGGCTGAGACTGAAAAACCTCCAGGCTGGTCGTAATCAAAGAAAGTCCGATGGGTCCACTCCCCGCCCTTCGTCGGGATTGACCTTCTTCTGCATTCCTTGGAATCCCGTCAATGGACAGAGTGGTGCCATTGAGTCTGACCGCCAACGTTTACCCGACTCGTGATCCATCCTCTCCTGGTACTCAAGGCCAATGCTCTATGACTGATTCCGTTAGCACAGAAGGGGCTACTTGTATTACATGCGATTTCCTCTCGGTGTCTGCCCCCAAAGCCCGTCGCACGTCTTTTCGAACGTTCCCTGCCCATCGTCCCTGCGATCGTGGCTTCTGACGAGAATCTTCGCGATATCCAAATCTTCTTCGATCACCGGCAGTTATATCACATCTGAAACCTTGCAATTGGCGATTGTCAGATTAAAAGGCCACTATGGACGGGTAGAAGTATCTACTACGAAAACACTTGAGTCCAGAACAATCCACTTGATTAGCGTGGTAACCTAAAACTCGCGGCAGGCCAATGAACGCTACAACCCCTCACCTCAATGCGTAACGGATGCATTTCCCACGGCTCGTCTCTGCAGAGGCGTCATACCATGTGCCTTCCTGTAGTTTCCCCGTTCACCCGTTGCACGTTGGGACGCATCTGTCGGATCGTTCCGATGCGAATGTCGGTCATGCGGCGGTTGCCTATCCGCCGAGTTGGCGAGTGGCAAAGTCATTGAGAACGTCCCCAAGACAGATGGAAGGATGCCTTGAGTTGGTGATACGGAGCCGACCGCCTCACTCCTGCGGTCTGTTGCCTTGTACATGTCGACATGGGCATCACGGAGCCAAGAATTTCCAGCTACCCGGTGCCCGGTTACCTGGGGTTTCTCGGGTTTCACTGAGATGTTGTGGGAGCAAGACCTGAACAGGGATGCCTATGTCGTCCATTTTGACACTAGTCGGACACGTAGCTGTCGTGGCACGATCTCAAGCCTTCTAGACTTCTCTACCAGTTAGCATGTGCTAATCTAAGTGAGACTGTCTCCCCGATGAATGGTTTACGTGTACTAACGTCTCAACTCTGGCTACTCTTTCGCATACTGTCGCTTTCCGTGACAGCGGCCTGTTCGGAAGGCGCTATACCCAAAGCCGATCAGAGATAATCTCAGAAGTGTTATTTCAAATTTAGATCGGAGACTAACTGGGCTTCAGGATACCACTTGTACTAATGGCTGCAGTGCAACGACAAACTACGCGGTTGGGATCAGTTGCCACTCATTTCGGTTGCTCCTGGGAAGGGTCAAAGTCCACAAATGCGTCCCCGACTCCCTCTCCGCGCAAATACTGAAGTGGGGTCTGAAAGTTCACAAAGCCAATATTGGGGCTAGATACCTCGTATCCCATCACTTTCTGAGCCTCCGGAGACCAAGATAGAACTTCTTCAGCTGTGTTGGCAAGATAGACATTTTCCTCCTGTCGATGGAATCCGCGCGTGAAGAACATGCCATGTACCACCCGTCGTTCGTTTTGTGTGACATTCGCACCCCCTGCATGGTACAGTCCTCCCAGCATCACCCAGCAGTCGGTCACATTCATCTCCGCCGCCACGGCCTCGTCCAGCTTGGGTGCCCGGTCGGATCCCCACAGGTGACTACCGGGGATGGCGATGGTAGCACCATTCTCGACTGTTGTCTTGATCCCGGGAACCATGAATGCCATCATCACATCCGAGCCCACCCGATAGCCCGTAGCGCTCTGATCTTCATGATCAACATGAAAGTTCTTGTCGTCACGATGAAGCCGCTGTGCCTTCGCGCCGGGCCCAATGTCAAAAGTCATCGCGATCGAGCATATCGCCTCGCTGGTATACGTATGCTTCGTTTCTCCGTAGAAGTTGGAAGTCGTCTTGTCAACGAATTTTGCTGTTAATGTACGAGTGAGCGGGTCAATCAGCCAATTCTCCCGGGCAGACTTGCTGCGACCTGCGAGGTTCGCACAGCGGCGGGTTTCGGGTGGGAAAAGATCACCCTGAATATTGTTAGACAAACAAGGATTAGATGGGACGGTCCACCTACCTTCCATGGCTTGTCGGCATCAAGGTAGGGCTGTACCTCCTCATTAACCTGCTTCACAGTCGCTACATCGGTGAAATCCTTGATGATACTGCAGCCATCCTCGATGATAGCTTGGATGATGGCCTCCACGTCGGCCCGGTCGATGCGTCGGATTGGGAGCTGCTTGACAGTCATAGCTGCAGAGGAAGTCTGTGCTGGTGCTATAACACGATGGAATTCCGTATTTTGAGCGGCTTGATGGCTTCTTATCTCCTCTGGTAGCAGTTTGGTTCAAGTATGTGACCCCGAAGCGGAGTATCTCCAGGCTGTTTTGGCAGGTGGAGCCGCAATCTCCAATCATCCCAGGCGCTTCTCCGCACCTGGCCGTCCTGTGACGGACATGAATGGCAAATCAATCACTGGGTGTCTCAAGGCGATAACATATCATGGGTAAAGCCCCGCATGAACAGCCAATCATCATGAGTGCAAATATCGCAACCATACTACTGACTGACTGACTTGTCGAGATAGCCTTGCTTGAGCAACTCAGAATAGGATACAGACGGCACATCAAGGCATTCCACGCTGCCTTTTTCCGCTGTCGAGCCAGAAAGGTGAGATGCGACCGAGTGCGGCCTCGGTGTTTGATGTGTGAGAAGCAGAAGCTCGACTGTGAGCGCCCATCGGACCCACCGCGCCTACGTTGGCTATCTCCTCGCACTGGCCTCATCCACGAGACTGCCTGGGAAGAGCTATCTGCACGCAGGCAGCCTTTGTTTAGCGGTATTGCCTTGAGGTGATAGCTGCTTTAAGGTGCAATCTACTGACAGATCATTGTGATAGGACACCACCTTGCCCCTTGATCATTTACTTCTATCGGTGCGTCAGGGGCATAAACCCAACAATTTTACAGCCCTACGTTCAGCAGACGATCCATCATCTCTCTGAGTTCGACAAGCAGAAGCAAATAGCTGGGGATCGATCTTCGAATACATGCTGGCCGGGATTTGTCGCAGCGTGTAAAGCCATTGAACCTCAGACACGACAGGCCTTCATTAGATGGCTAGAACGATCTGGTGAGGGCACCGGCATCCGTATGTTCAATGTAGCCCTCGAAGCTGTCCGGAGTTATGGCACGTTCGAGGCCTCCCTGGAATGCAGAGCATTCCGTGGACTCGGATCCTGGGAAGATCCGGTGAGCTACGGGTGCTGGTGTTGAGTTAACCCAGAACGAGTACCCGCGACACCCCTTATCTTGCTAACAGCGCCCATGGTTTAGCAGCAATCAACTGAAAAGATCTGAATTCCGCTTGGCTGATCAGCGATAAGTCACGAGCGAGTCGGATCGACCGCTGCTTGCCTCTTATCAGTGCGGAGATTCTGGGTCGGGAAGGCGAGACCGACTTAACATACCGATAGCGACATACCCTATATGCAACACCTTTATTTAAAGATCCTCTTTATCTTTCCTCGCTTTGGCACTCATTTAATGACCCAGAAGTCAATCTAGTACTAGACCTGCTGCAATGGACTCCCAATTGAAAGATACCAATGGACCAGGAAGCTCATCGAAAGTGTGCAATGAGAAACCAGTAGATCTCACTCCCACACACTCAGTGGATGAAGGTCAGATAGACTCCGACGTGGAAGGATTTGGGACATTGCATCGAACATTAACCCCACGGCTGATCCACGTACGCTCCCATGTCTGCATGCCCCTCGCCACAGACACATGCTGATTGAAACAGATAATATCCTTGGGTTCCAATGTCGGAAGTGGCTTATTCATTGCGACGGGGAAGGCCCTGGCTGAGGGAGGCCCAGGAAACATGTTCATAGGTTATTTAATCGTCTGCATCGGAGTTTGGGCCAACCTGCAAACATTGGCTGAGATGACAATTGCTTTTCCCACGTCAGGCAATTACATCGACTACGCCGATCGATGGGTTGACCCAGCATTGGCGTTTGGTGCTGGCCTTGCGGAATGGCTAGGTGAGTGGACAGGCACTAAGCTTTTCGGAACGGTCTTCTGAACTCGCCCTATTTCCAGGATGGACGTCTGTGTTTGCGTCGGAAGCGACCTTTTTCGTGCTTTTAGTGGGCTTCTGGTCCTCCGGAGCCATTCCTGAAGCAGCTTTGCGTGAGTCTGCTTCCAGATTACTCGCACGGCACCTGCTTACAACTGAGGTAGTCACGATATTTCTGGTCTTCTGTCTGGCGGTGTTCTTGGTGCCTAACAAGTATTTTGGCTGGCTTGAATACTTCGGCTCCTTGGTCAAGGTGCTACTATTCTTCTTTATCACCATAATCTCGCTGGCGATAATCGGTGGTGCCGGTCCATCAGGGTATGTGCGAGACGGAAGCACATGGACGGACCTACCGGCCTTTAAGAACGGCTTCGGAGTGAGTACATCCGTTTCCACACCCTTTTCCACTCTTAACTCAGCAATTCAATGTAGGGCTTTGCCAACGCCGCACTACTTGCTATCTGGGGCACCGGTGACCAGGTCTTCATCGGAGTCATGGGCGGTGAAGCCGAATCTCCTCGCTACTCCATGGCACATGCAGCCAATCTAGTTCCATGGCGAGTGGCAGTCTTCTATCTGGTTTCTGTGGTTCTTGTCTCGATCATTGTTCCCTCAGACGATTCACGCCTCCTAGGCGGTTCCAGTGTGACTACATCCCCTTTTGTGATTGCCGTCGAAGATGCAGGAATCAGAGGTATTCCCAGTTTAATTAATGCATGCTTAATTATCGGGATCTTGGCCATCGCTCTAGAATGCATATTCCTCCCATCCCGCATTCTCCGCACTATGGCCCTCCAGAACCTACTACCCTCGTTCATTGCCAAGGTCGACGAAAAGGGTCGTCCAAGATGGGCACTTGCCATTACTTCCGTTGCGGCAGTCATACTTACCTACATGAGCTTGAGCGGTTAGCCCCTTCCCCCAAGTGCCTGTTATACCTCATCAATAAGCCCCCCACCCTAGCATTACTAACTCATGGAACATAGCCGGTGGTCTCGAAGTCCTCAATTGGCTCATCGCCATAACCAGCGCCTCCTTCTTCATCAACTGGGCCATCATCGCCTTCACCTCGTTCCGCTTCCGCGCTGCCATCAAAGCACAAAACAGCACCCTCCTAACAAGTCCAGCTTACGCATGGCACTCCCCCCTATGGCCACTAGGCCCGGTCACTGCCCTTATCATCTCAACATTACTTCTCGTCTGTATTCTCTATCTGGGAATCAAGCCAGTAAGACGCCCTCTATCTACCACACACCTTCACCATAACCCCATTTTTTTTTAATGAATTGACTAATCGATGACAGATCGACGAATCCTTCTCAGCATATAACTTCTTCTCGTATACCATCGGACTCATTTTGATTATTGCTGCCACGGTCATGTACAAGATTGTCTTTCGAACCGAGTGGCGCAATCCAGGCAGTGCCGATTTGGATACTGGAAGGGCGATGTTGACTGCAGAGGAGATTCGGCGGTTGGATGTGTATTATGAGATGCCGCGGTGGAGGCGCGTGGGGGGGTATTTAAGGGTGTGGTGATTCTCCGCTTTCCTCAAGCGGTTTTTTGTGTGGGTATGTTAGGATTGGGGCGTAGATAGTTGTGGTGATGTGTAATATGCTTGTTCCGATATACATACAATTAGTGCTGGGTTTGGGGAGGGATTGATACCATTTTAGGTGTGCCGTACGTATATAAGTCTAGCCATGCGCGAGTCTAAATACCATACCCAGAGGCGACTAAAGGGAAGTGAGATGTCAAGTGCTAATCTAAAGCGCCCTAAGTTCCATCATATCCATATCCATACGTCCATCCTGAACCATCCCAAGTAAAGGCAACAAACCGAACCAGTCCTAAAAACACCCGTACTCATCACTCATTACAAACATAACATACAGTAACCCATAACCCATGAAAACCAACATGGTATCAAAAATCAATTCAAACACTCTCCGCACTCTCCGCCTCCTTCCGTCTCGACTCCCTTCCCTTCTCCGACCACGGGAAATGAAACACAGGAACAAGAAAGAAACTATTACTATCGTCCGCGATACCCGCCAACGCAACATACCAAGCCATGAAGGCGCCCAGCAACGCAAACAGCCCACCAGCTTTAATGATCTTCGCGTTGGGCACCTCCGGCGCAGTGCGGTGAATATACCCAACTGCTAGGAGGAGGAGGGCGATGTCGACGGCCGCGAAGAGGGCGCAGAAGACGTAGGTCGATTTGAGCGTGCAGAGCCAGAGGAGGAAGGTGAAGATGAACCAGCCCTGGATTATTGTTAGTACTTCGTGGTAGTGATTGTGTGGAGAGTGAAATACCATTAGGTATAATCCGAATGCGTCGTAGAACATCCCCATGCTGCCATTATCGGCTGCTTTGTAGGCGCCCTGGATGTCGAATCCGCCTGGAGTGAAGACTATGGATAGGGAGATCCAGAAGCCGCCGTAGGAGGAGAGTGCGGTTGCGCCGAAGGTGTTCCCGGCGGCCATTTCCCTGGTTTGACCAGTTAGTGGACATGGATGGGAGAATTGAGTTGCTGGGTTGGATTGCCCCGGGGCGGAAGCTATGTACGTACCACATGCCCGCGAGAAGCTGGACAAGACCCCCGTATGCGAGAGCAGGGCCGACGATCATGTTCGGTGTGGCGATTCCCAGAGTCTGCATGTTGATGCAGCCCAGGAGGAATGTAGTGAGTGCGAACCCGCATAGTCCTAACGGTGCGGGATTGGCGATCTTGCGACGCTTCTGGGGCTTCCAGAGACCGGGTTGGAGTTCGCCGGCGAAGGCGGGATAGATGGTTCCTGCTGTGTTGACGTGGGCGAGGGGCCCGAAGTCGAAGTGGTAGGAGTCATTGGGAGTTGCTGTGGAAGTGTTTGTTCTCACGAGGGTTGGTTCAGCGGTTGGGGGTTTCTCCTGGGAGCTGGGGGTGGAAGACATTGATGTGGCAGGAAAAAGGGAGAGATTGTCTGAAGGCATTTTCTCTATGGTAATTGTGAAGCATTGGAGGACAGAGATTCAAATTACTGGGGAATCATCGATTCAGCTAAATAGGAGATGAATATATCTCCAAGCCAGGGGCCTACTCGATCGTCTTCTCCAAGCGGGGGATCTACGAACAGTATCTGGAACGCACATGGCGGCATGATAAATTGAGCTTGATCTTCGATCTAATTGAGTGATGATGCTCGCTGAAGGTGTGGGATCTCAAAATTGAGACGAGTTTGATATCATTACTTAGATGCAATGGATGGATGCGCCAGTGAAAATCCGGGGTGGTGCTGGGGCAGTGGAGAGCCAGTGCGGAGAAGCTGTCCGTAGGTGGCCAAGATCAGCGTCATCGATAGGAGGGGAGTGCGAATCAGAGGGATTCTAAGTCACTGTTACGGCCAGCCCCGAGGGAAGTTAGCTTTTGCTCAATCGATAGTGAATGTAACCATACGCATGATCATCGTACCTTGACTGTGTCCAATAGAAATGCATGTGGCCGCTGGTAGGACCAAGTCTTCAGGTCGGAGACAAGTGAAGCCGGGCAGGAACCAAAGAGGAGGAGATCACGGATGCTGACGCGCCTCAAACTACCGAGCTTGTAGTGGCCGGGCGTCGCCGGTTAGCGTAACTGCCGCGCCGGGCAGGATCGGGTCTGATCCCAACCGACTGCCCGGAGCGGAGGAACAATGTACCATGCATCGGCAACGAGGTGACCATGGGAGGACAGGAGCAAAATTTGGACTGATTTGTGGATGAGACGAGGCCAATGGAACAGAATTGTGAACTCTAACTATGCGGCCAATTGAGTCCTGCGATTCTGCTGTTGCCCTTGGTTTACCATTCTTGGCGTTGCGCAGAAAGCAGTCATGCCTGAGGCATATGTATTCCGAATCACATCTTTCCCACAAGTAGTAGAAATGGGACTTATTGTGCTGGACTATTTAAATAATAAATGAATCGTGTTAGACAACCCCTGAATAGTCTGTATTGATAGGTATCTTATATTTGTTTGTCAGGACTGTTCCAATTCGATGGTGTCCTCTGTCTCCTGTTCAATGTGACGTGTAGAAATATATACTATCCATATACTATATGTAATACAGTTAAATGTCGACACCGGCCAAATGATCCTGTCGGACACATTTCAAGGAATCCTAGGAATTAATTGCCTACTGAAGTTTTCATGAACCATAGTTGAGTTAAATTCGCATTATACCGGATCATGGAAAATATTTGTCACGAGCAGAAAACATGATGAATGCATCCACAATGAGACACGTCCGAACCTGCGGTACAACATCCAAGAACCCAATTTAAGTCACAAAAGCCCTACCTGAGAATAGTAATTTCCAAAAGAAGCCTATAATATGCTTTTTCTGGAGCAACATGAAATTGAGTTCCGCATATTAAGCGGTTAATGACATTGGTTGCGAAATCTACAACGGTTTACCCAAGAACGTTGAACCAGGACGTGCCACATACTATGGTCCCCAGCTGCAGGGCCTGCACCAATAGACTATTAGCCAGGAACGGCCCGTGCTAAAGCTGGGGAAGGACTAGTCAAACAGAGCACAGAGCCCAGTCTAGACCGTACTATCGTCCAGTTGGTGCCTCAGGCGCCAGAGATGGTGGCCAAGAAGGTGCTAGGTGAGCTGACTACTGCAAGTATGACCTAGTCTGGTCCCTGCCGGAGACGTATCCATGTATACAAGGTTTGGGAATATCCGGGGAAGGAATCGGGACGGTCCTAGCACCCACTCCCGGGGATTTGTTTGTCCCTTGATTGGATCCGCTTGTCAAGAACGGATGGCATGATGAGGTGTCGAAGCTTTGATGACTTGGAAAGTTCCTCGGTTACCTGTTGCGGCTAGCCAGGGAGGAGAGGCGCTGACACCATGCCTGTCCTTCGTGTCTATTTGTGGTGTAATGGTAAGTTTCTGATCCACACCACTAAAGCTGGCTGCACGTGGCTAGGCTTGAAGCATAGATCGCAGGGCGGGCAATGTGCTCCAATGGAAATTAAACGCCTGAGGCATATTAGCACTTAGCACAGCTTGTGGGAGGACCAGCTGTCAGTTGGCATGAAACTATCCGAACAGAGTGTATGTGGGGGCCGGCGTGGAAAGTTGGTCTGACACCATGTGCTATACTACAAATGCTGCTCAACTTGGCCTGGAATGCATCAATTGCCAGCAACTAACTAGATTGATTCAACATTGAATAGTATCTATGTTACTACTGACACAATATGGTCTGATGTGGTAAAGGAAGTATCCTGTCACGGCAATGGAAGGTTGATTCTACCGGTAGCTCATCCGCGACACTCGACGGAAGAGTGAATCAAGGTGTCTGCAGCGATGCCGTGCTGAGAGGGAAGAGGGTAGATCCACTCCCGCAATCTTACCATCGTACGACATCCAGGGGTAGCCGTGGTTAATCACCACCCCGGATACTGCCCTACACAACAGCGTGGTTGACCTGGGGTCTACTTCCCGGGGCATCGGTATGCCGCCCCGCTTGTCAATCCCGAGATTAAGGATGGCACGTGCCCAACGGCAACGGGGTCCTGCCCGGATGCCGGCCTCATATCGGCTTCGAGGCCGGAAAGGGTCAGCGCCAATCAGTAACCGTCAAAAAGTAAAGGCGGACACACCGCTGTCCCCTTTTGGAGAAGAGCGCAGGTTTTTGTTTTTCCCCCCGGCAGTCACCCCGCCCCCGCCCCCGGATTGCCAGCCGTCGACTTGCCGGCAGAATTTTTGGGCGAAGAAAGATTTGCTAGGACATTGATTGTGAGAGGAGTTTTGTGTCTTTCTATGTCAATGAGGAGAGTTGAAAGGCTAAGAAAATAGATTATCTTATGTGTCGATAAATAATTGTATGCTGTAGCATCGATACCAAAAATATGCTGTCAGAAGGCTCAGCTGCCTTCCAGAGTAGGATTACTACTTGAACCGACTTGATTGGTCCACACTAAAGAGCGTAATGTGCATAGAATTCCTGGTCCAGGGGCTAATCAGCCCATTCCAGTAAGGCTGTTGGCCGGTTGGTGAATAGCAGGGCGGAAAAACAGTTCGTCGAGGAGGAGTCAGTCCGGATAGGAAGGCGGAGAGACTGGGGAAGCCAGGGAGCACTTACCCGCGGGTAAGAGCATCCCCGGGATCACCGCGCAGCAATGCAGCTTGATATCAAAATCAATTATCGATTTTGATATGCAGGTAATCCTGCTAATTCGGCAAGGCAAATGCAACCTGCCGTCGTTCGGCTGTTCCACTTACGAACTGCGAAAACTGAAACATCGCATCATGCAACCCATCAGATCCGTCGGCATGTGGCAACGGTAACTTTGGGTGTCTGGTACCGTCGCACTGTCCCCACACGGAGTTGTAGCCGATCGATTTGCCGTCGCTCGCCGTTCTATCCAGACTTGCCACGACCAAATTCACCGTGTATATAGACCTCCAGACCTCGCTGGATTTTTGTCTCTCATCACTCCTCTCCATCTCATCCTCTTTCCAACTTCTACTCTTCTACCTTTCTTCCCTTTTACCACACATACATACACAGACAACATGTCTACCAACCGCCGCTTCGACCCTAACTTCACTCCCTATGTGGTCAACTCCATGGGACCCAAGACCCCCGAGCGTGCTCGTGTGGTCCTTGGTGCCCTGATCAGACACATCCACGACTTCGCTCGTGAGGTTGAGCTTACCTCCGCTGAGTGGATGCTTGGTGTCGAGTTCATCAACTCCATTGGAAAGATCAGCACTCCCATCCGTAACGAGTGCCACCGTATCTGCGATGTTATCGGTCTGGAATCGTAAGTCCACACACAACAACAGCGATCGCGCCAAACTCAAAACTAACCTTTATCTCCGCACAGTCTCGTCGATGAGATCGCCAACAAGATCGTCACCGAGGACGGTGTCTCCCCCACCTCCAACGTCATTCTCGGCCCCTTCTGGTCTCCCAACGCTCCCTTCCGTGAGCTTGGCGACAGCATCATCCAGGACCCCAACCCCAACGGAAAGGTCACCTACATGCACGGTGTTCTGAAGGACATGGAGACTGGCGCTCCCATCGTCGGTGCCGTCCTCGATATCTGGCAGGCCTCCGCCAACGGCCAGTACGACTTCCAGGACCCCAACCAGAGTGAGAACAACCTTCGCGGCAAGTTCCGCTCCAACGAGAAGGGCGAGTTCTACTGGTACTGCTACCACCCCACTCCTTACTCTCTCCCCACCGACGGTCCCGCCGGTGTCCTCCTCAACCTCATGGAC